ATTTACTACTAAATTATCATAATTTATTATTAAGTTATAGATGATTTACAACTAAGTTATAGATGATTTATTACTTAGTTATTGATAATTTACTATTAAGTTATTAATAATTTATTATAATGTTATTACCGATTTACTATAAAGTTATTAATGATTTACTATAAAGTTATTAATAATTAACTAATTTACAACTAAATTATCATTGATTTATAATTAAATTATCACTGATTTACAATTAAGTTATTAATATTTTACTATTACGTTATTAGTGATTTACTACTAAGTTATAAATAATTTACTACTAAATTATTAATGATTTACTATTATACTATTATACATTTGCTACTTTGTTATCATTGATTTACTATTGAGTTTTAGTGATTAACTATTAAATTATCATTGATTTATCGCTAAGTTATTTATGATTTACTACTAAATTTATAATTTAATTACTTTTAAACTAAACTAAATTTATTGTTATGCTATCACTAATTTACTACTAAGTTTTCATTGATTTACCACTAAATTATAATGATTAACTATTAAGTTATCATTTTTTTATGAAGTTATCATTAATTTACAACTATGTTATTATGCATTTACAACTATGTTATAATTGATTTATTATTAAGTTATTATGCTTTGACTATTATATTATTACTAATTTACTACTAAATTATAATTGATATACTATTAAGTTATATCTCTAATTTACTATATTAAATTATTATGATTAACTATTAATTTACTGATAATTACTATTAAGTTATACTAATTTACTTTTAATTTTTAATTATTAATTACTACTTAGTTATAAATTATTATTATTGATTTATTACTAAGCTATTTATAATTTATTACTAAATTTATCAATTAATTACTACTCCTTTTATCTGTATCAATTAAATTGTCACAGTTAATTTTTTAGTTAAAATTTTCTAACTTTGACATATATTATTTTAAATATTTTAATAAATTAAAATTTACAAAACATATATTTAGAAACCACTTCATTTAAAGTTTTAAAAATATTTTTTCATATTTTTATCAGTAATAAATAAAAAATAATAGGCGATTAAAATTGAAAAAAATTTGACCAACAAAATTCAAAATGTGACAATTTTATTAGGATGGAGGGAATATTAAACTGAATATTATTTACTATTAAGTTATCATTGATTTATTACTAAGTTATCAATAATTAACTTCTAAGTTATCATTTATTTTTTATTAAGTTATCTTTAATTTACTAATATGTGTTATACATTTACAATCATGTATAAATGATTTACTGTTAAGTTATTTGTTATTTCCTACTATGTTATTATTATTTATTATTATGTTATCATACACTATTTTTTTGAATTATTTACTACTAAGTGATTATTATTTTACTATTAAGTTATTATTATTTTACTATTAAGTTATCATTAATTTAGTATAAAGTTATTACTGATTTTGTCTAAATTATCACTAATTTATAACAAAACTATCAATAATTTGCTACTATGTTGTTATATATTTACTACTAAGTTATAATTGATTTATCATTAAATCTTCTATAATTAATATAATTGTGTAAATCATATTAATAGGTGTAATATATTATAAACACTAAATTATTCATTTGTAGAAAAACTATTTTAAGCTTTTTAGCCGTATTGCTTGCGTTAATTGGGGCATAAATGACTTAACAAAAGAAAAACTATTTTAATAAGAAAATAAATAAAAAAATAGATAATATTTTAATTTACTAAAAAATATTAAATAAAAATAAATATAGATAATTTAATAAATTATCACATTTTATATATAATATAGATATATATTAAACATTTTCTTAATTATAGATTGTCTTATTTAAGGTAGGCTATAAAATCTAAAGTATGTATATGTTTGTGAGTATTCTAAATATTTAGCTAAAATTTAAATAATTTTTTTTATAGTAAAGTTGGTTAAATTCTAAGTGGAGCACTTTTTACATATTAAGAGAAAAAAAATTAAAGGTTACATTATCATTTGTCATCCAACATCTTTTTTTTAATCATTTTCATATATACTATGATACGTAGACCCATTGAATAATAAAAATATTAATTTAATAATTTTACGATCTATATGAAATATTAATTGATTAATTTGTTTTATTTTTGTATATATATAATTTAACATTATTAATTGAATTAATTTATGATCTTAATTGTAAGATGATATAAATAAACATATTTTATTTCACATCCTCATACTTCAAATTTTTTATTATGTAACTAATGAGTTTAATTGTAAGTCTTTATTTCTCTATGAATTGAAGAATTGGTTGGACATGCATGATTGGCATGCAATGTATTATTAATAGGAGTTTAACAAATAAAAAAATTGTTTTTAATATTATTTAGAGTTCACATTTTTATATGTAGATATCATAGATGATACATGTATTTATCTATAATAAACACACTCATAAAGTAGAAATAATTATTAAATAAATGCTTTCATGATAAGAGTACAAATTATTAATCATATACTTAAAGAATATAAACAAATAACAAAAAATAAACTATAACATTATTTATTCAAAGAATATAATAATTGGTCACAAAACTAACAAAGCTTTGATCATTCAACAAAACGCATACAATTAATCATGTTATTAAAATATTTTTCACTATCAAAATTCAAAAATATTCTAGAGCATTTTTAATTGAAAAAAATAAATTTATATTATTCAAGGAAAAATTATAAAATATATTGATAGTAGAGTTTTTAAATTTCACAATTGAAATTAATAACGTAACACACATACCTTTAAGCTTCATAGTACATTAAAAAAGACTAATTGAAAAAATAAGTAAGTGATATTAAAAAAAAAAAAAAAACTAATTGAAAAAATAAGTGAGTGATGTGTTAATTTTTTTAACTCATTGGTGGAATTAAAAAAAAAACTCAATTAACATTATATCAAATAATTTATCTTATTCAAGATTAATATTTCTTAACAATATTGATTATAGTTTCATAAAAATATCTTAAGTAAAAGATATTTAAAATTAAAAATAAAAAAATAAGGATTGACTAAAATTAACTTGGATGTAACATAGAATCAATCTATAGAAGACAAAATAAAATCTAAGTTGAGTAACAATTCACATATACAAGAGATTATGTTCATAAAGCAAAGATTCATTTAGTCATTGGAACGTTAAGACGTAATTAGATAGAGTGATTAGAAATATTATAGTAAAATAAATCAACCATTGTAATCATTAAACATATAAATGTATATTTATCATAAAAAATAAAAAAATTTAAACATACAAACTTACCGCAATACATGTATTACTCTTTCTCAATAATATTTTAATAATTTAATTAATAAGTTTCTATAAACTTTAATTTTAATTGATCTAAATTAAATAAATAAATAATATAAATATATTTAAGGACTAATTATATGTACTATTAAAAAAGATAAAGAGTAAATTAGGTTGTATATTGAAAATGAAAAATTTATGTTTTACTTAAGATAAAATTAAAGGTTTTGGGGGCATAAACATTATGATATAATAATTTAGACTAAAATGATTACTCATTGAGCAACAAAGGAAAGATTTTATTATGTTTTGTTTAATATCAAATACTCATAGCATGCCATAGCCCATATGATGAGAAATATGTTTTATATGAATTTAATTGAATTATTATTTATGAAATTGAACAAAAAAAATCCTATAAAAAAATATAAGAGTAAATTTGGGATAATTTTTTACAACATATCCAACATATCCCACAAATAAAATTTTAATGTAGTTTAATTTGATATAAATTCTATTCATAAATTTTTAATTGATTTAAATTTAAATAACTAATGAATAAAAGGTTATATATTTAATGACAAATAATTTTTATTAAATAAATAAATGCTAGAAATTTAAAAGTAAGTTTGTTATTTTTTAAAATTTATAATGATATTTTTACGATTCACTTTTAATACTTTTGGATTAATTTAAATAAGTAACTAATAAATTATATATATTTAATGAAAAATAATCTTTAATACATAAATAAAAAAATACTAGAAATTTAAAGGTAAATTTGTTATTTTTTAAAATTTATAAATATATTTATGTCATTCATATTTAATAGTTTTAAAGTTTACATTTTTATATATAGATGATATACATTTATTTATAAAAAATAAACAAAAAAATAAATAAAACTTTCAATTATCTGTAAATTGATTATTTAGAGCCATAGTAGCTTTATAAAATCCACCATGAATCAAAATTCTTAGACTGTCAGTATTCGATTTGGTAAATTTAAAAATTTTAAGGTATTATCACAAAAATTAAATCTTAATTTATAAAAATAATTTTGTATCAATTAAATTAACTTGTACTAAAGCATATAAATAGTTTGGGCCAAGAAAAAACATACAAAATTGATATTCAAATGAATTTTTCATCCAAGTCATTGAGGGAAACATCAAGGAAAGTCACCCATACTCACCAAATTAATAATTAATTTTATTAAAAAATCATTTAAAACATTAAAATTTTTAAAAATAAAAAAATAAAAAATCATTAAAATAAAATCAACTACATGCCACGTCAATCTCTTCCAAAATAACATAAAACTTAAATGAAATTTTTTAAATGAAGTTTGTAAAAATTTATATTAAAAATTATTTAATAAAAATTTTAATATAAAATTTAAATTGATAAGTGAAAATTAATAATTCGTAAAAATTTAATAAACATATTATTTATAATTTAAATTTAATTGATATTTATTTAATTACAAAAATTATCAATATTTTTATTAAAAATATTTATTTAAAAATATATAACAAAATTTATTAAAATTTTTAAAATTTTATACATTTAATCAATATAATATAAAATTTTAATTTATTCATTTTTAAATAAAATTTTTTTATAAATATCGTTCAAATAATTTCGTCTAAATCTTTCTCTCTCAAAAAAAAAAAGGGGGGTGGGGTGGAGAGGAGAAAACGACTCGGTCCATAATTGCCACATTTTTTTTCCCTCCTACCCTTTCTTTATTAGTCGTCCCCGGCACCGCCTTGTCCTTTACATCACTTTCTTGTACCGCCGCCAAAACCGAGGGCGGTCAAAGTCCTGCAGTTACTTTAATTAACAAACCTTTTTTTACCGCGGTTAAACAAAATGAAACGAAATTTCAAATATCTAGACGTCAGGAGGATGATAGTTCAGTCTTTGAGTGTACGGATTTTCAAACCCTTAACTAATTGAAAACAAGGAAAATTGTCGGAAGTCTAAATTTGTTGGTGTTGTGCTGGATTTGCCTCTGACTCAGCTGCGTGTTTTCATCCAGCTCAGTGAAATTTTCTGGTTTTTTGAGTTAAGCTTTGATCATAAGAAGAAGAAGAAGAAGAAGAAGAAGATGATGATGATGATGATGATGATGATGCTCATGAACAAGAACTGGAAGTTTGTAAGATTAAGACAAGAGTTCGGAGTTGGTGTTGTGCTGTTTTTGTTATGTCAAAGTTTGGGTTGCTGGTCGTTGAATGAAGAAGGTAAGCTTTTTGTTTGCTTGTTTCAAGTTTTGGGTTTGTTTTTTTCATGGGAAAGTGGAGGAAAAAATGATGATTTGGTAATGGATATGCAGGATTCGCGTTGTTGAGACTAAGAGAGAGTGTGGTGAGTGATCCGTTTGGTGCTTTTTCGGATTGGAAGGAAGAAGATCGAGAGGTTGACCAGTGTTCCTGGTTTGGTGTCGAGTGCTCTGATGGCAGAGTTGTTGTTCTGTAAGTTTTTCTTTTCTTTTCTGTGTCTTACTCTTTCTTGCTTCAATGATGTTCTTTGAGGTGGATGCTGTTTGGTTGCCCAGAAAAGAAAGGAAAATAATTGAAATCTTGAATCTTTAGATAACTTTTTTTACTTTTTGGTTGGGAGAGGTTAGTTTTGAGATATGATAATAACCATAATATTCAAATAAAACTTTGATTTCCAATTTTGCAAATATCATTTTTTTTTCTAGTGAGTAATAGAATATGTAAATTGTGATACCTTTTTTGCTTTAATTTGTTCTAAAATTTGATGGATGGAACAAAATGCAGGAACTTGAAAGATCTTTGTCTTAAAGGAACATTGGCACCTGAGCTTGGAACTCTAGTTCACATTAAGTCTATGTGAGTGTTTATAACTTCTCTATCTGATTGTTGATATCAAAAGCAAAGTGCTTTCCTACTTGACAAATGACAATCTCTTCAAGTTTAGCTATTCTACTTTCTTCCATGCACCATTCTGATGCAATTGGTTTCCCTACAGTATTTTGCGGAACAACTCTTTTACTGGAATTATTCCTGAAGGGATTGGAGAACTGAAGGAATTAGAGGTGTTGGACTTGGGATACAATAACTTCAGTGGACCACTTCCACCTGAACTTAGTAGCATTCTGTCACTAACAATCCTGTAAGTCAACAATGTCAAACAATTCCGTTCTCATTCCCAGAGGTTTTCTCTCTCTCTCACCCTGTATAATAACTTAATTTTATGCTCATGTTGCAGTTTACTGGACAATAATGAGTTTCTCGGCAGTTTCTCTCCTGAAATTTATGGACTTCAGAAGATTTCAGAAACTCAAGTGGATGAAAATCAACTATCTAATGCTGTTAAATCGTCTTGCAAGCAAAGATTCAATACATGGTATGCCATCATAGATGAATAGATGCTATTCTCATGCAGCTAGGTCTAACATGTAAAAAGATAGAGATAAGCATACCTGAACAAGTTTAGTTGCGTCATATTGTTCATTGTTCTCAGGCACCTTTTAGTGCCATTTAGGAATTTCTCTACTGTTAATATTGAAAACTGGATAAAGTTATATGTAAAATGTTTGTTTATATCTGTTTCACAAAAATTATATATATATAAAAAATAATTTGGCCTTGATCAAATTGATGTAATTGTCATGAAAATTTTCAATGTTTAGTGATTATTAGCTATTTTCTGTTTCTTTCTAGTATAATTTTCAATGGCAGTTTCTTTATGGTCGTGTGTTCTTATTATTTAATCCTTCTTTATGTCTCTGCTAGGAATGTTGACCAATCTGAAGATGCAGTGCAAAGGAGATTGCTGCAAGAAATACCTGCCACTACTGCAACGTCACCAAAAGCTGCCTTTTTAAAGTTTAATATACCTTCATCTGCTTCTGTTCCTCCTCAAGTTCCACCTCCTCCTGCATCTGCTGAACCTTCTACACCTGGTACATTGGCAAGAGGTGTTCCTGCCCAAGGACCTTCCTGTGCTCAAGCTCCTTCTCCATCAGAAAATAATATAGTATTACCAAATGCTTCTGCTCCATCCCCTTCAGGAAGCAATCCTTCAAGTTCTCATTCTACTACAAATCATCGAACTGCAATACTGGCTGGAGCCATAGGGGGTGCCATATTTCTTTTAATAGTAATAATCGTTGCCTATCTCTTTGAGACTTCTAAGGTATCTACTGTGAAACCTTGGGTGACAGGGCTAAGCGGGCAGCTCCAGGAAGCATTTGTAACTGGTAATTCTTCTGCTCCACTACAAAATTAAACAGTATACAATTTTAACATCTTTCTTGATTTCAGATCAAATTAATGTTTTAAATCCAACTTAAGACAGTTGCTGAATACTGGACATGGAACAATAGTTGAGATTTTAGTTTAATTCATTATAACCTAAAAACTACAAAAGTCTTCTTAGAATGAAAAAAGTGTCATTGAATGTCTTCTATTTGGTTGGCAACATAACTTACAGGTCATTGATAAAAAGGGGTCATCCCAAATACACAACTGAATTAGAGGAAAAGGAACCTTAATTTTGTTTTATTGCGGTGCATCTGTTATTGGATTGATTTTTTATCCAAGAGAGAAGCATGCATCTTTTATTATTAGCCTCAAATTCTGCCAGAATATTTATAATATAAGATCAATTACTTGCATTTCAGGTGTACCAAAGCTGAAGAGATCAGAACTTGAAGCAGCCTGTGAAGATTTCAGCAATGTAATTGGTTCTTCGACAATTGGCACTGTGTACAAAGGGACACTGTCTAATGGGGTTGAAATAGCTGTGGCCTCTGTCCCAGTGAAAGCTGCCAAAGATTGGTCAAAGAATTTAGAAACACAATTCAGGAAGAAGGTATTGTACTGAAAAATTCCATCTTTTTTTTGGCCAAACTGAAAAATTCCATCTAGATACATGTGCTTGATGTGTTCTTATGGTCTGTCTAACTATTTCTAGGTTTATGGTTTCAGATTGACAAATTATCAAAAGTGAACCACAAAAATTTTGTCAACCTTATTGGATATTGTGAGGAAGACGAGCCTTTCACTAGGATGATGGTTTTTGAATATGCTCCAAATGGCACACTCTTTGAGCATTTACACAGTAAGTACCTCATTGTTGTTTCTGGTGTCTTTGTGAAAGGACCTCTAATTTATTGCTTGTTATCAACATTTCATTTTTTTATCCCTTTTGGGGAGCATTTAGCCTAAGAACACCAGGCACTTCATAGGCTCCAATAGAGTGTCCAAATTCTGCTACTTCGAGCATAGATAGAATCTGGGGCTCAGTTAGCCTTATTTTTTCAAAATATGATATTATGTCAATTTCATTAATTTCTCATTCCTCTTTATTGTATCATCTTTGTAGTTTGATCTTTTCAGAATAGTGCCAAAAGACTTGGTCAGCCCTCTTTTCTGTCCAACTTGTTGATTTTCTCAAAGGAAACTCAGTCTGCAGTTTCTGAATATGAATGTCATGTGGTTGACTTTGTCTTGCAATGCTGTTCACTTAAAGGATTTGTATAAATAAGCGGTTTTGTGCGAACCTGATATGTAGGAATCCCCTTATGTCAGTGACATTAAACGTCTTAGGCTCTTACCTTAGCATAGAAGAATGGAGGACAAGAAACATTAGCCACCCTTTTCCATTTTCATGCTAATGACTTCCAAGATGACAGGTTAATCAATGCATATGGTTTCAAGGTTCCTCTATGCTTAGAATTATGCACGGTAATTTGCTACATAACCTGGCATTAGAAGATCATATCATATACTTCCCCACTTACCATGAAGAAGCAACATTATGTTTTTCATTCTTTGCAAGAATTTGCCATTTACCTTTTCTTTTGGTGTTAAGCATTGACATTATATCTTTCTATTGATATTGCAGTTAAAGAATCTGAACACTTAGACTGGGAGATGAGGTTGAGAATTATAATGGGCATAGCTTACTGCCTCGAGTATATGCACCAGCTGAACCCACCTATACCCCATAACAACCTGTTCTCCTCGGCTGTCAATCTAACAGAAGACTATGCAGCCAAAATCTCTGATCCAAGTTTCTGGAATGAAATAAGTACTGCAGAGAGGGAAGCAGACAGAAAAAACCTTTCAGATACCCCACCAGCAAGCCTAGAAAGTAATGTTTATAACTTTGGCGTATTATTATTTGAAATAGTAACGGGTAGGATGCCTTACTTGGTGAATAATGATTCACATGAGGATTGGGCATCAGACTATTTGAGAAGGGAGCAAGCCCTCTTAAAGATGGTTGATCCCACTCTAAACTCTTTCAATATGGAGCAACTTGAGAAAATTGGGGAGGTCATAAAAATTTGTGTCCAACCTGAACCTGGACGGAGACCAGATATAAGAGAAGTCAGCGCAAGATTAAGAGACATTACTGCAATTACATCTGATGATGCAAAGCCGAAGCTTTCTCCCCTCTGGTGGGCAGAGATGGAAATTATGTCCACCGAAGCAAGCTAGGGGACGAAGTTGATGTTCTAAGTATGAAACTAGGATGTTTTCTTAATCTTATGTAGGTGAAGAGGCAAAAAGAAGTTTGCCTGTAGGTCAGTACCAGTCGTATGTATTTTAGGGTAGTTGAAAGTTTGTTGTATATATTTGAGATGGAGAGGAAATCCAGGAAATCTTCCTTATGTTGGCTTTCAGTGTGACAAATACATAAAAGAAAAAAGAAAGGCTTTATTGCAAGCCTCTTGGTTTCTATTTGTTCTGATTTATTCGTTGTTACCTTCATTTTTTCAATGCTGAATCAATTTGTTGCCCATTCTTGCATGCAGGAATTGAAATCATATGAATCTGAAAATGATGCTTGTGATTGTCAATTCTACCCAGGGACCTCTTTTTCTTAATGGTAGATTCATAAAAAAATCAAACACAATTCTTGTAAACTAATACTAAATGCTCTGTAATGTTTATTGATGAATAAAGTTCAACTTCTTGAATGGGATTGAGTGGATAAAAAGAGCCAAGATTGATAGGATTGGTTCCCTATAATTTTAAACAGAAATGAGGAATCCATAAATTAGAACTCCAAAAACTTACCCAAAAATGAACAAAATTCCATTGATTTCCAGACATACTTGAAAATGTCAACCCAAAGGATAAGCCACGGCAAAGCCTTTCATTGTTTATAGGAAAGTGGCCTTCACGTAAACAAATAGAGAATGGAAGAAGAGAAGGTTGGCTATACTTCGTAGTTGGTGACCTCCACGTCTACCAGAACTTCAAAACGTTCTCCAACTATGTAAATATATATAGCACCCCAGGCAGTAAACCTCCATCCCACAATTATCATAGCCTTTTTCCTGCTCTTCTCCCAAGCTCCAAGCTGATATCCCTGAAAAATGGCAAGCAGTCACCTGGCATTTTTCATTTCATCACTGTTGCTTCTTCCATTGGCCTTCCCCTCCATAGCTGCTTATGGAGACATCCCACAAGAGAAGAAAAGTGAGGTAGTTGTGGAAGGAATGGTCTACTGCCAGAGCTGTGATAATTATGGACCATGGTCCTTGTCGAAAGCAGAACCAATCGCTTCATCTAAAGTTAGTGTCACCTGCAAAAATTACAAGAATCAAGTTAGCTTCTACAAGGCTTTTGAAACAGAGGGGAATGGTTACTTTTTTGCTGAACTTGAAGGGTTCCAAATGAGCAACTCGCTGTTGGACCATCCTCTTCAATCTTGTCATGTCCAGCTTGTTTCATCACCTCTTGGGAACTGCAACCTCCTCTCCAATGTTAACTACGGGCCGTATGGCTCCCCACTTCGTTATGAAAACAAGAGACTATACAGAAAGGATTACGATGTTGTGATCTATGCTGCAGGCCCCCTGGCTTTCCGACCAGCAGCACATTGTCCTGCCCCAGCTCACCATTAAAGTGACTACCAGATTACCTTTCAACCTGAACCGGATTAAATTTTTGATTTATTTTGATTCTTGTTTTTCTGATCAGTTTAATTTTAACAATGTTTATCCATCTATGTTGGTACTTTGTTCTATTTCTTGAAAAAATTGATTTTTTTTTTTTTGTTTCTTTAACTGTTTAGACAAGCTATGGGTGTGAATATACAGTTGAGCTCCAACATAGATCAAAGTAAATGGCACAAGGCACAAAGTACATTACATTTCAAAATTGTCACATGAAGAAAACAAGATGGAAATTCCATCTGCTTCAAGGTTTTCACATTCAAATACATGTGACAAGTAAGGATAAAGACTCACGCAACTTCACCATAGTAATATATTCAAACTCTCTCTAGGAGTTTCTTTCTCCTAAAAGTCCAGTGGCATTCCAAACATCTTATTTATATCATCTATTGCTTCTTTTGTAAACAAAGTTGGCTCAAATAAATCACAATCACTTAATTTGCATGATGATTTTGAAGGAGGCTGCCGTTCTTGATGTTCCAATTCATCATCAGGAAGTATTGAAAACCCACCAAGATTTTGTGTCTTAACTGGTGCTTTGTCCTGCTTCTTTCTCTTAGCCCTAACAAAATCTATTGGTTTTCCGAACATGTTATTGATATCTTGCATGGCCTCCTTCAAGTTAACTGTGGGGTCTACTAAGCCATGGTGGCAAACATTTTCTACCACTGGCTCATCTGAAATGGTCGAACCAACAAATCTGTGAACCACTGTATCCTCTCTAAGCTTCGTTTGATGTGAACTTTGTGCATCAACATCATCTGAACTTTCAGGAGAAAGATCATTAGGACAGGGAAACACAAAGGCATTTAGATGCAAAGCAGAAGACATAGAACCTCTTCTTGAATTTTGAACCTCAATCAGTTCTACATTATCTTTCTCATCATTTCCCTCTTCAGCCTCACTATTTCCTTCATCATCATCAATATAAATTTCAAATGATTTCTCCTGAGGCTTACAAGTTCGAGCTTTACTCTGCTGCCCCTTTTCTTTAGGTTGAATTGATGAGTTGATTCTGCTCTCCAAATTTTCATCAAACACCTTAAATCCTATGTTCAGATTATGATCTTCTTTCTCTTGCCTTTGGTGTGATCTCCTACCAATAGGAGCCGTCTCTAAAGGTTCTCGAAACATGCTATTAATTGCATTCATTGCCTCCTTCAAGTTTATTGTAGGATCCACTAGTCCATGATGGCAGGCATCTTCTGCTTCAGATTTACCAACAATAGCAGTATCAACAAACTTCACAACAACTGTATCATCATTCCCAACCTTCCCAGGCTCATCCAACTCTCTTTCCATTAAAGCTCTCTTCTTGGACATATTTTTACTTCCAACAATCTCCTTGCTCTCGACCTTTTTACCATTATGTAATGCCGAAGACCTCTTATGCTTATCCTCAACTATGCATATGCCATAACTGTTTTCTTTCAACTCGCTGCATTGGAGAGGCCTCCTGGCAGTTTTCCCTTCCTGGCGCTGCAGCACACAGCGCATGGTAAGATTGTGAGAAAAAGACAACGAAAACAAGCACAATAGATAAGCAACAAAAAGACTACCTGGATTTTCTTTGTCTTATGTCTCTCCATACGATTCAGGAATTGCTCATAAGATATTTGCAACTCATCAACCGGCTCTGCAAGGCTGTCCAACAATTGATAGAACTAAATAAAACATTAGTTTGAGTATCGAAAATACAAATGCCACATAAATAACTACACATTTCATGCAATTTCAAGTTAAAAAACTTGTACATAATGAAAATTAGTTAAGGGAAAAACAAAACCCCTTGTTTGTGAAAAAAAGAACTAAACTTTAATACTATAATCAAGTACTAAGAAGATGAAATCAGTAAGTACACAACTCTCTAGTTTTCCCCACTGTTCTGATTGTAGAATAAATTGCATAAAAAACACTAAACATGAGTTTCCTTCAAAATCTTCATTCAAATTTCCTTTCGGATTTCGGATTATAATGCATATACTCAAAAACTCAAACCACCCTACATTACATTAAGTAACCAAAAACAACATTTAAACGGATTTACAGATTATTCAGTATTAATTTTGAAAGCTAAATAGAAAATTAAAAAAACAAAACATACTTTTGAACACCCAAATGGTACATTTTTTCAGCCTCATCAAATTTCTTGATCTTCTCATAGTAAAGAGCATATGCTTGGTAGTACAAAGACCGCTTTGTCCCTATATGATTCATCTCCATTCTTTTCAGCAGCACCCTCGGATCTTCGACAAAATCCATCTACTCAACAGAATAAATCAATCCAAAAATAAATAAAAAAACCCAGAAACCCAATAATTGCTATAAATTTCCAAAAAAAAGGAAAATGAAAAATGGGTTCGTTAGTTAAGTTAGTTAGCAAAGTTACCAACTGTAACCAGACACGGAGGTAGCGTGAATCGTTTTCGTAACGGCGGTCGGATTCAAATGTTTGGGTGCATTTTTGTAAGAACCGAGGTAGCTTCGCGGTTAAAATCTCGGGTGGCAATGATTCTTTGATTTTCTTAATCCCCCTGTAAAAAAAAAAAAAAGATTAATATAAATATTTTGAATATTTCAAAGAAAAAAATGAGAAATATAAGCTAAAAATTGAGGAAAAAAAAGAGAGTACCGAAGCCAAGGGAGAAGAGGGTCTTTGCCAGAGTAACATTTGATTTCGGTTATTACTAAAGAAAAGAGATTGCTGTACATTGTCTCCTTTTTTTCTGCCATTTTTTTTTCTTTTGCAATGAAAAAGGTTTTGGAGGCCTGTGATTTTGAAACGGAGGGTTTTGGTTTTGAATTTGTGTTAAAGGCCACGATCGGGTCGCGTTGGGTTTGGATATCGGATCTGAATCATAGGTCTGGGTTTTTTATAGTTAAGCGGGTGTTAGGTGTATTTGAACTTAGGACTTCCTGTTTTCGAGGAAATTATAGGGTGATAACGTTTTAAATTGAAATTGATCTGATTTGATTTTTTTAAATGATATATAATATAATAAATTTTTAAAATTTGATTGGAATTTTTATTAATTTAATTTTTAACTTTATTTGATTTAAATTAAATTTTATTAGTTTAATTTAATTTATTTTATTGGTTTTTAAATTTATTTTATTTTTTATATATTATTTTAATAAAATTTTAAATATATTTTAATATATATAATTTTTATTTTTATTTTACAAAAATTTTAAAAATATATAAAAATTAATAAAAATATATAATTTGATTAGATTTGATTTTTTTAAATAATATATAATATTATAAATTTTAAAATTTTATTTGAATTCAACCTGATATTTTTTTGAAATGAATCTGATTTAAATTAAATTTTATTTTTTGATTTGATTTTTTAATTTTAATTTTTATATATTATTTTAATAAAATTTTTAATATATTTAAATTTATATATTAAATAATTATTTTTATTTTACAAAAATTAAAAATATATATAAAAATTGATAAAAATATATTATTCAATTCAATTCATTTTTTTATATTTTGATCATAAATTCAACTAAAATTTAATATATATATTTAATATCTAAAATTAATTTAAATCAAATAAAAAATTAATTTAAATTTAACTGAACATCATAATTTAGAATTAATTTTCGATATTTTCAATTTTTCAAAAGCCTATAACAAGCCCTGGGAGTCCAAAATTGTTTATGAACAGGCTTGAGAGCTGAGGCTAAGCTCCAAAAGTTAATTGGTCTTTAGACCGAAACAAGTAACCCAAGATAATGCCCAGCAGCCAAGGCTATAACAATCCCAAAGGACTGAGGTTCACCACCGGGCACTGACAAACATTTTCATCTCTTCGTTTAGTCCCATGTACGCCAGTTAAAGAAGTGAAGAAACCCAACAAAAATCTAAAAGAACCAATAGAAATTCAGCAGCAGATGAGGTTTTTAGGACAAAACGCCACGACCGGACACGTACGTACGTGTTTGACAGTTATGTTCTTTTTCCAACCCCCTGTACTCTTAACTTCCTCCAGGATCCTCGGTATATGCTCCCAGCATCTGTTCTTATCCTCCGTCCTTCCTTCTCTATTTCCTTTCTTCTTTTCTTTTCTTTTCTTGTCATCTTCTTCCATTGTAAACAATGGCCAGCAGTACTAGAGCTTCTTCTCTTCTTCTTCATAGTCATAAAACTAACCATTTCATTTTTTCTTTAAACCCCAAAAAACCTTCTCTTTTCCACTCTTTTCCTTCTCTTTCTTCTCCCTCTTTCTCTTTATCACTATCCTCTTCTCCATCCCCTTCCACTTCCAGCACCATCACACGCGTCTCCACAGTGCCTTTAGAATATGTGCCACCGGCACCAGACTCCAACAATTTCCAGCAAGAGATCTCCCGCCTGAAAACGCTGCGTTTGAAACTCTCAACTTCTAAAACTCTCAAGCAGAAACTCAAAGTTCTCAACTCTGATTCAAAAGTGAAGCATTTTTTAAATACCAAAGGTTTTGAAAGGGTTTTAGGTTCACTTGGTTTGGGATTAAACGAGTTGTTTCTGGTCAAATGCTTGGTTGCAGCTGGTCAAGACCATGTGTTCGACATGGGTTTTGGAGAGAGAGAAGAGGATGGATTGAGGAGTTCAGTGAAGACTGCGCTTTATGCTTTGGTGGAAATGATTGAGAAATGGGATGTCAATAATGGTGGCAGTGGTGGGAAAGAGGGTTTTGCAAAGAGTCAAAAAGGTAGTGTTTTGGTGGATGAGGAAAGTGGGGACTTGAAAAAATTGTTGAAGATTTTGGGAGAGATTGAGGAGTTTTATGATTGCATTGGAGGAATTATTGGGTAAGTTTTTAATTGCCCCTAATATGTATCTTTTTAACATTTGTTTGATTGGAAAGGAAAATGTTGAGGAAAATTATAATTTAGGGCCAATTGTGAATAAGATGATTAAGTTTAGTTAAACCACAGTTTACCTTTAGTTATGGAAGGATTGGACTTTGAAGGAATGGAAAGATGGCATTGTAGTTAATCAACTTATTTGGATTACCATTATTTTGCTGTTCTTTATGTTAATTGAAGCTTCATTTTTTCTGACTCTAATTAAAAGCATTTTTCTTTAGTATGCAAATTGTTTCCTTTTTTACACTTTCCCTATAGCAATCTGCTTAAATAGGAGATGAACATAGTTTAGCTGTTTCGCATGAAGGATCGATTTTCATTTGTCTCACTTGTGTTTAGGGTGCATTCTGACTAAGCATGAGATAATTCAAAGAAAGGGCTCTTTCCATGACAGAAGAATTGAGCTATTACCTCAAGATTCTGAAAGAAAATTGTACATTTCATGCTCTTGGAGAATGCTTTTTCGTGTGTCTTCCTCTTGTGTTATTATGCCCCATAAGTGGCTTGGACCTTGGAACCTATGCTATTTTCGGACCCCAAGGACAATTTTGTTAATAGTAAATGCAAAATGATTGATTAAACCACAATCGTAAAATTCCCCACATTATCATTTCTTTTTCATATCCTCATCTGGTGGCTGGAGCCTGGAGGTTGAGTCATTTTCTTGAAATAACTTTCAAAACATCTTTACTGTAAATGGAATTTACTACGTGCATATTGCTTGGTTATTTTCCCCATCATTTCTTATTTTCAAACATTTTCAGATTGTTCCATGTCATAAAATTTTGGAATATATTAAATAGTTTAAAGAAAATACTTGCTACAGATATCAGATAATGGTGCTAGAGCTCCTTGCTCAATCCTCAGTTGAAATGCAGACTACAAATCACTCCCAGCATGTGCATGAATCAATGGATTGCCACTTTTTGGAAATTCATCCGCCTACTGGGTGTGACCTTTCTCAAAGCACTGAATATGCATCTCAAGCAGCTTTATGGGGAATTGAGGTTAGTGCCGAGAGTGTCCTGTTCATGTAAATGAAAAGGATGTCTGCAAGTTTTCTGGAATAATAAGTTCTTACCCCTTTTAGGGTTTGCCAGACTTAGGTGAAATATATCCTTTGGGAGGTTCAGCAGACAGGCTTGGTTTGGTTGATCCTGACACAGGTGAATGTCTTCCTGCTGCAATGCTTCCTTATTGTGGGAGAACATTATTGGAAGGTCTTATAAGAGATCTACAGGTATGGAATGTTTATGTTTTTTAGGCCAGCAAAAGATAACAGTTAAGTGATTCATTACTGGAAAACAAATTATAAATATGTTATTTATGTTAACATTACATTTTATTGTATAATTGAAAGGCTAGAGAGTTCCTGTACTTCAAACTGTATGGAAAACAATGCATCACTCCTGTTGCAATCATGACAAGTTCAGCAAAGAACAACCAAGAACATATCACTTCACTTTGTGAAAGACTTGGATGGTTTGGAAGAGGCCGGTCGAGTTTCCAACTCTTTGAACAGGTTTGGAGTTGCAACTATGAGGATGCCTTCTATTCTATTCCATTAATATCAGGGTTGATTAGTAATTTGACTTCTAAATTTCCAGCCTCTAGTTCCCACTGTAAGTGCTGATGATGGGCGATGGTTGGTCAGAAAACCATTTGTGCCTGTATGCAAACCTGGTGGTCATGGTGTAATATGGAAACTTGCTTATGACAAAGGCATTTTTCAATGGTTTTATGATCATGGAAGGAAAGGTGCTACTGTTCGGCAAGTCAGGTTAGCCATATTTACTATATATCAAAACTTATATGCAAATATTATCATGTATTGGTTGCTGAATTTGAGATTTACTTTGGTGAGTTTGCAGTAATGTTGTGGCTGCTACAGATGTGACCCTCTTGGCATTGGCAGGGATTGGTTTACATCATGGAAAGGTGAGCTCATATAAGAAACACCAATTTAGTATGCTTTTCCTTTCAATGGCCTAACAAAGCTAGATTGAGGTGGAACTATCCACTAACATATCTCTATACATATTTCTTTCAATATGCATATTAAGATCAAGGATAAGAAATTGTTACTGATTTCTTGGAGTTCATTACTAAGTTTATTATATGTATGAAGATACCCATCTCTGGTCATATGCAGAGTTCATCTTGAACCTAGGTCTTATTCTATCTTTTATTGTCATACTGATTCCAGTTGTAACAGAAACTGGGGTTTGCTTCCTGCAAGAGGAACTCAGGCGCTACTGAAGGAATCAATGTTCTAATTGAGAAGAAGAATCTTGATGGGAAGTGGGCTTATGGTTTGTCATGCATTGAGTACACTGAGTTTGATAAGTTTGGAATCTCCAGTGGACCTCGTTCACCTGATAGGTACATAGTTATTTTTGCTAAAATGTGGTATTATAGTTATATACATACACACAGTTCTAATTTCACTTCTGATTTTCATTTTGCCGTGTAGCATCAATGTAATAGCTCTCCTGGTTATCACATATTGTTTTTCATGTTCATTTTTTATTCAAGTTTCTTACTTAAAGCAACAAAGTCAGAAATTTCTCTTCCTTGTTTCAAGTTTGCAGGCAGAGTTCCCTGCCAATACCAACATTCTTTATGTGGATCTACCTTCCGCCAAATTAGTTGGATCGACAAGAAGTGAAAGAAGTTTACCTGGCATAGTTTTAAATACAAAGAAGTCAGTTGTATATATGGATTATTTTGGAAACCGGCACAGGTACTTAGCTTGTTTCTTTTGGCAGGGGTAGCTAGTTTGTTTGATATCTTTTAAGTGGCATTTCATATTTCACTGCCCTTGTTTGCATAGTTAGTGCTAAGTATATGTGGATCATGTTCCTCTTCAACATTTTTGAAATTAATAACCAAATAAGGGGTACATTACAAACAAATAAATAACCAACTTTGGCTCCAAGAGATTATATTCAAATGCCTACAACCTCTTTTAGTATTCTAATAACACTTCTAGGATTCGAGAGTGACAGAAACTATGATTCTGCTGCTGCTAAAACATGCATGACTTAGAATAAAACCTAAAATGCAGAAACTGAAAAGTAATGAATTCTCTTCAATGGCTATATAGTTTTTTCTTAACTGATTCCTAGCACCAGATAAGGCACTTTCTAAAATATATTACTCTTTGAGCAATGCTAGTATAACTATCAGTTTATGATGATGATGAAACTGGCAGTAATGCTGACAATTTTTTGTTTGCAGTGTCCCTGGTGGGAGGCTGGAGTGCACTATGCAAAACATTGCAGATAATTTTCTTAATACATATTCATCTAGATGTTACAAGGATGTGGAAGGTATTGTATTAGCTGGGTTCAACTGTGACTTCTCATGTCCATCATGCATTATCATTTGGTTAACATCATGGGCCCATGGCTACATATGTCTACAGATAAATTGGATACCTTTATTGTTTATAACGAACGGAGAAGGGTTACATCATCAGCTAAGAAGAAAAGAAAACATGCAGACATGTCTCTTCATCAGGTAGTTCTCCGAATATTCTTCTTGTGCATCCTCATTCTATATCAAATGAAACTGCTTCAGATACAAATTTGTCTTTCTGGGATGATCAGATGCTCAATCTTAATCATGTCATTTATATTTCTTCCTGCATTAATTGGTGCCCTTTTTGTTCTTGTCCTCCTAATTTATTACTTGAATTGCTTTTGCTCAATCTGAGCACATCACAGCATGCTTTAAGTTAATTTTGGTTTCTGGTAATATATTTAAGTCTGATTTAATGTGCAGACTCCTGATGGTTCACTGTTGGATATCATGCGGAATGCCTATGATCTTCTTTTGCAATGTGATATTGATCTTCCCGAGGTATTTCCTATAAGAGTTATGACAATATTAATGGCCAAATCTGTTTCAGTTGAATGAGGTGGATGATCACCTTGAAGTATATCTATTTATTATCAAGTGTATTTGTTCATTATGATGTACAAGAAATTGTTAAAATTTTCCAGAATTTTTGTTTATTATTATGTGCATGACTTAAAAGTAAAAATTTTCAACCAAGCTATAACTGTCAAATATACTATTCATGTGTATTTAGCTATTTTCTTCTTCTTTCATAATATGCAGGTTGAAGGTAATGATAAGTATGTAGACTCTAGACCACCATTTCTCATCTTTCTTCATCCCGCACTTGGTCCACTTTGGGAGGTTACCAGACAGAAAGTAAGTTTATTCGCTCTTTAGCAAATCAACCATTTTTGCTGTTTTCGTCATAATTGTTCTGTGACTTGGTAGATATAAGATCATAAATCCATTTCACAAAACATTGTTATTATTAACTTTTAAAAGTTACAACAATGAAGCTGTAATGTTAATCAATTAATCCATCTTTTGGTGGAGTAATAACAATGTTTTCTTTTCCTCATTAGTTTCATGGGGGTTCCATTTCTAAGGGGTCAGAATTACAAATAGAGGTTGCAGAGTTCTTATGGAGAAATGTTCAGGTTGCGATATCTTGACAGGTATTTTAACTAATACATTCTGGATCATCATCTTTTATGCTGATATGGTTTGTTTTTTCCAGCTTGAGGGGAGCATGATTATTGCAGCTGAAAACATCATGGGCTCAACTAGGAATGATGAGAATGGTGAACCAATATTAAAACATGGGCACAGGTTTAGTATTTGCATGCTTTTTCAAATCTTTAATGATGATAGCTATCAACTCTCAGGTTCAAAAGTGAGCTATCTTTGCAGGTGTGGAAGATGTAAATTACATAATGTAAAGGTGCTGAATGATGGAATTGACTGGAGCTCAGGAGACAATGTATATTGGAAGCATGATGTTCGTCGTTTTGAGGCACTTAAGGTCATACTACATGGAAATTCTGAGTTTGAGGTCAATGATGTCACCATACAGGTTATATGTGATAACAATCACAATATTTTGCTTTCTTTTGCATTTCAGGACTGATATAATAAATCCAATCAGTTCTCTTTCAACTTTGAATGGTTTTTCAAAATATGATTTATTGTGCATGCAATAACTCATGCACACACTTACATATATAGGCGGCTGCTTTTCTTAGAAATCCATGGACTGATTCTGGCTGATATCCTGAATCAAAAACTGTCTACATTTCTTTCTTTCTTTCTTTCATGCAGGGAAATCATGTATTTGAAGTCCCAGATGGCCACAGACTGAAGATTACTTCTGGAGATCCAGGTTTTTGTACCTCAATATGTCTTCCTTCTTTACTTTCTTGAATGCCTAATTGAGGTTCACTTCTTTTGGTGTTGTTATTAGTTGTTTTAGGTTCCTGACCCTGCTTTTCAGATTTGTCTTGTTAATCGTTCCCTGAAGGGATGTAGAAATTACATGGAGGTACCAACACAAGTTAGGATACTTCTCTCTCTTAATCTGGTATTTAGTTAAAAGGGAAGAACATGCATTCCTTGGGTTTGGCGCGACTGTTCAGTGGGAAATCATACGTGTCTGGCTTTCAGATTGTGCTGTAACAATTGTGGTTAACTTTTGAGGTCTCATACCAGTTGCTTAGAATCTGTACCGTTCTGTGGATAACATTTGAGGAATTCTTTGGTCTCTAGTAATTGTAATTCAAGTGCATCAGCTTTTATTTTAGTGTCCGTAGATTTGGGAAACTTTGTTATGGTTTTAGTTTATTACTTTATATGATCTAAACAAATAAGCTTGTTGTTATGCTCTATAATGATCTAAATTTCGATATAATTTTTATAGTGAACTCATCTATAGTATTTATTTCTGTTTCAGGTTTAGCTGTTCAGTCAGACCCCATACCACAGAACCTGATGGATACCGGAAGCTGGTTCTGGAAATACAACATCAATGGCAGTCATATTTTGTTGGAAATGGCAGAGTTGTGAAACAATAGCCAGATTCTTAACCTTGTGAATCATGGTTCACAATGCTGAGCTTCAACCACTTTAGTTCTGATTGGTTGAACATAAGTTTAACCTTTTCTCTACTAGGATGTTTCAATATAGTAACTTGAATTCGAGTCTTCTAGGAAGTTATGAAGTCCTGGCCATAGTTCTTTTCACATACATTTTTTTTGAATTATAGCTACATCCCATGTATCTTAAAATGTAAAAGAACAGTGCAAAAGTTCCAGCTATGAAATCTGTATGCACTTGCATTGCTCTCTCTCCCTCTCATATGCACTTTTATTTTTATTCCTTTCTTTTCACCTGGAAAATTGGCCACATTCATTGAATTTTCGTACTTGTATTCCATCGGCTACAATCAGGAGTAAGATAAATTGCTTTTTTTTTTTAATTCTGGGATGAATATACCAAAACATGAAGCATCAACCGACTTTATACATAGAGAAAGGAAAACTTGAAGGGGGAAATTAATTATAAGAGAAGCTGCAGGCATTGATTCATGCAGTTAAATATTGATGGTTACCTTGAGAACATTGGCATTTGAAATTTTTTTCAAAAAATTCCTGCACGATTGAAGATAAATAGGAAAAGAACTAGATTGTCAACTTGCTTGCATACTGGTATATCTTTATGAGGACTTTGTTTTTGCATGTAAAATGTTCTTTGAATTTCTTGGAAAAGTCTCTGCCGCCAGCAAATGATTTCCACTGTCATTTTAATGGAATCTGATAGGAATTAAAGACGTTGAAACTAATATTTTGCAGATCAGAATCAGCTATCATCAAGGTGATTTTTTTCCACTTGAGAATATCAAGGTTATATTTTGGTATAAAATCAAACTGATTTAATGCTAATGAATCCATCAAATTGCTTTAAGATCATTTACAGAAAGAGGTTTTTCACTGTCTTTTCCACACATTTACAGTCTCTAGAAGTTGGTGACATGTTATCCGACAGGATTGTGAGATTGGGAGCAGCACCTGTTGAGCAATCTAAGCAGTGCATCAGCCTTTCTTCGAGCTTTCAAAGAACCATCAGCAGCCAAGCTTCGAAGGGAAGGAATACTTCGTGGATTTATTAGCAGGCGTCTAGCAACTTCCTCTCCTCCATCTTTGCACAACCCCAGCAAAAGTGTTATTGAGTTCTCCTTCCCTTTGGCTGATCCAAATCTCAAGAGATCAATAAGAAGAGGCACCAAAACCCTACTCTTTTTTAAAGCTTCAAGCCCTTCAGGACAACTCAAAAGTAGAGCCAGCACTCTTAAGGCATCATCTGTTATGCCTGCTTTGTCATCCATTAATAATTCAATGAGCAAAGGAACTGCCCCAGCAACTACAATGCTTGCTTTGTTAGCATTATAAAGTGCAAGGTTGGATATTGCAGTCGCAGCATCCCTTTTGCCAGCTGTTGTTCCTTCTCTCAGGAGCCCAACCAGGACCAGAATTGCTTTAGGACGAGCTCCAATTGCTACCTTGAAGTCATCTATCATTGACAGGCTAAAAATTGCTGCTGCTGCATTTTCTCTTGCCTCCATGGTTTTTCCTGATTCCAAAACTTCCACTATGTTGTCGATAGCTCCAGCTGCCATTATTAAGACCTTATTGTTTTCAAAAATGGAAAGATTGAGTAAGGCAGTGACAGCATTTTCCTGGATTCTTGGATCATGTGAACTTAGTAATGTCACAAGAAATGGTATAGCCCCTGCCTCTGCAATTATCTTGCGATGATCCATGCCAGTTTTCGCAAGCAACCGAAGCTCATAAGCCGCCTGCCTTTGGATATCAGGGGAACCCATTGCTAACTTTCCCACTAAAAACTCAGCTGTCATTTTGACAGCATCTATTGCCACTTTCGTGACAGAAATGTGATCAATGGCTTTCTCACATGCTTTTTTCTTGCTAGTACTTCTCTCCAAATGTGATGCATTCGATGAACATTCTGTTAATGGGATATTGTTCACTTGGCACCATTGTTGCACTAGAGTCCTTAGTGCATAGTTGGGTATGAGGGCCATATGAATTAACCTCTGCCCACTTTTTGGGCACGTGTGATGTCCTGTGTTGATCCATTGGGCTATTGAATTTCGATCATAAGTGTGCCCAGATGCTACAATCACTGGATCTTTCATCAGGTCAAGTGAAATCGGGCAACGAAATTCATCTGGAATGATAGACGACATAGATTGAGAAGATGAAGACTGATCAAGATTTCTACTATTAGAAACATAAGGCTGCTGCTTGATGTCTTGCTTGGTCTTCTCACTTTCTTCGCTAGAGAAAATCATGGATTTGGAATATGAAACAAGGGATATGAGATTGTTTAAATTGGAAACTACAACTAGCCCTCCTGTGCCTGCCTGCTTCTGTGCTTCTGCCTCTAGCTTTGATATTTCTTCCTCATAATCCAGTGGGCTTCTCATACCAATGCTGCAGAAAACTTCTTTCACTGCTTCAAAGTCGATGAAACTTTGGTTTTTCCTCTTCTTTTCATTGTTAGAGGCCATTACTTGGAGAAGCTCTTCTCTTCTTTGAAGCTCCCTGGAGTCTACAAACAATTCCACCCTTTTTGCTTGCTTGTGAAGAAGCTCAACTTGCTCACTGGTATCTGTGGTTATATTAAGCAAACTCAGAGGCAAAATATCAAGTGCACTTCCCATCTCCTTCACTGTCATATAAAACTGATTGGAAATGAACTGTGTCTGTATGAGACCCCAAAGAGAGCTGCCATCCTTGCACCCTTCAATCAAACCTTTAACTCTCCGGATCACTGAGAAAAGCTCAGTGAGACACAAGACTAAAGATGGAGGAAGTGGGGTGTCTATTTCTTGAATCTCTTCAAACAAAGATGACAGAAGCTTGATCCTCCTTATCATTGTTGAAATGTTCCTAACCTGTATAAAAGGAAGCTTTTCCATTGAAGCTACTTCACTGGATACATAAATCAAAGATTCTGGCAAAGACCCAGACGGTAAAAAACCTGAGGATCCCATCGAAGGAGTGAGAGCTGATCCCATGATTTTCTTTCCTGAGTGAGTCAGTTTCTGAAGTTTACATTATTTTCATGTCAGGTTTTATTACAAGTTAGGTAACCTTAAACAAACTTCTTCACTAACAATTCTTTTGACATAAATTATTAAACCAGTAGCCTAGGATTTTGACTGCTTCTCTTTGCGCATTATACACAAAAAACCAACAGGATAGATGCCAGAAGGTGAACAAGGACTTCACAGGCTGCCGCCACTTGGAGGATTTCCCTGGTTTAAAGGGTTAGCTTTATTCCCCGCCAGTTTTATATTGGAAAACTGATTATTTGATGGTAAGACATTTCAACCTTTCTGTTTGGTAGCTTTCTAGACAGTTTCTTGCAAATATTTATTTCCATTTTTAAGAGTGTCAAACAACTATTGAGCATTTCAACATCACTTCTGCCATTGCTGGCCTTCAAGCCACTACAAAAGAAAGCTGTGCTACACATTGAACTGATAATTGGTTTCTAAAGCTAGAGACAATGATCTAGGTCAAGTAATTTCTCAAGGGCAAACTTAAAATTTATCCACTGTTTCTTCAAAGCATCAGTTGAAGTTGAATTTTGATTCATACTTGGAAAAACATGGAAGTCAAGTCATGATTTGAATCTTCTAATCAGCAGTGTTTAAGCCCCTAAAGCCTCCCCTTTGCTGTTCTTAACACTTTGACAAAGTCATGCATCAACTGAATTTGGAATGTTTCATTTGGCTTATATGCGTCAGATAAGCAAACAATTGGTTTATTTAATTAAGTTTTGGATTTTTCTACTTTTAATTTTCCACTCTTTTGTTTTATTTATTTTACGTCCAGAAGATTATGTAAGATAAATCGTGTAAGTATTTTAGAACATAAAACCTGAAAATGACACAATATTCATTTGTATTCAATCTTCTATCCATACTTTTGCTTTTGTCTTTTATTAGGGTGCATTTGGAAGTGCGGAGATTTTCATGCACTCCAACGTGACGGAATTTCTTCCCGTCACACTTTCGAGTTTCGATGATATTAAAATAAATTATCTCATATCTATTAAATTTTTATTATTTTGTAATTTTATATTCAGGTAGAGCTCGTCTACTTATTATCAATTGATTTTGAATTAAATACTTAATATAATATTGTAACCAAAATTTTTTTCAATTATCCTTTCCTAATTGGTCATGTGAAAGTATTTTTTTCATCTTCCTCCAAAAGTGGGATAAATTTTCAATATCCTGTATTTTTATATATAGGTTGGACTCCTCCAAAAGTGAGAAAAATTTTTAATTTTTAATATATTGTATTCTTATATTCAAGTTGGATCCCTCTAAAAGTAAAATAAATTTTTAATTTTCAATACTTGTAATCTTATATTCAAGTTGGACCATTTCACTTAATGTCAATTGGTATATATTTAAGTATTATACGTGAAAAATCAATAAATTACATCAAATAAAAAAGCCAATTAATGAACCAACAAGCATATAAATTATAAATGAATAAATTTTAAAAACTTGAATCAAATTTATGCACATTGAGATTTCAATTTAGATATAAAATTTTAAGATTTCAAGATCTCTTATTTATCAATAAATCAAAATTTCATCGACAATTCAATTATATCATTTACATGTATACTTGGTAATTCGTGTTATCATTTAATTTCATATCAAATATGATTTCAAATACAATATGAATAATTTTGACATGAATATAATACAAATACTTAAATAACACGAATAATTAAATCACAAATATGATACATTGATTATATATGTTACATGTAAATGACACGAACAATATATTTTAATCTATTTTAAGAATGAGTAACACAATACAACATTATTAAATAAGATTAATATTAAAATATCTAATCAATAATTCAACATTAAATTAAAATCATAATAATAAAAATATTAAAACACGATTATATGCATGTTATAGATGTATCATTTATATGTATTGACACGATAATATAATTAAAATAAAATTAATTAATTAATCGTGTTTTAAATTTGTAATAAGCATAAGACACGTAATGAATTATAAAAAATATATACATGATTTATTACATGTTATTTTTGTATTGTATTATTGTGTCATATATAAAATTATCATACCTACTTACATATAACTACATACGTATTTATAAATTCACTATTAAAAAATAATTAAAAGCAAAAAAAATGAAAAACTCTATTTATAATATGCAAAATGTTACTCTATTATTTAAAGAAAAACTTGTGTCCAAATGACATGACCATACAAGAAAAGTGAAACTCTTAGGTTGGCCCATTTCTATTGCTTTGATATGGATGTCTCCATATTCATAAACCCACTAAATTTGTAATTTGTTAACTTTTACTATGCACAAAAAGAGAACGTCATTGACATCAAAACCATAAATCTTATAACCAAAAAAATTATCAAAATGGATGATTTTTCTTTACTCGTTTGAAGCAATGTAGGTAACAATGTCAATTAGTACCAAAAAAAAAAACCAATATCAATAATGTCAAAAAATGAAAATAAATAGCATGTCATTAAAATAATTTTATTTAATATATCATATTCACTCTATTAAAAGTAATAACAATTTAAATCAGATTAAATTCGATTTGATTTTTCGGATAATATATATTATTATGAATTTTTAAAATTTGATTTGAATCCGAATCGATCTTCTCTTAAAATCTATCTAATCTGACATAAATTTTTTTTATATATTATTTTAATAAACTTTTTAATATTTTAAATAAATTTATATATAAAACAATTATTTTTATTTTATAAAAATTTAAAAAATATATAAAAACTAATATAAATATATAATTTAATTTGATTCTCTTTTTTTCAAATTTTCACATTTCGATCTTATATTGAATCTAAATTTAATATATATATTTAATATCCGAACTGATTTGAATCAAGTAAGGGAAAATTTGTTTAAACTAAACCAAACACTACGTTTTCAAGTCAATTTTTTATTTTCTCAATTCTTTTCTCACATCTAATCTTTGTTATCATGCACAATAAAAAAAATTATAATCAAATAAATTATAATTTTTTATTTTATATCATCTATATATAAAAAAAAATGACATAAAATATCAAACAAAATTTGTTGTAAGCATAGTATATAAGAATTGTATAACTATTTTTTCTCTACTTTTTCTTTGGAGTCTTCGTTGCTTGAATTAGATACAAGTCCCATCACAAGATTTAGAAAATTAATACATTGAGATTTCAAATGCTATAATTAGTAATTAATAGAGGTTTTCGTGAGCCATGTCTCCATTGACATTTTCATTTGTTCAATATCATTCAATAAAATTTTTTAAAATTTATTTAATTTAAACATAATATTAAAATGTTAAAAAAATATTTTAGTATTAAATTATTTTATAAATACAATCATAACTTAAAAATAAAAAATTTATTGATACTAGAATTTAAATTTTAAAACGATTGAATATCTTATTTTTTAAAAAAATAATTATATAAATTAATTGAATTAATTGAATTAATTTTTAATATTAATTACAGGTGATAATAGTTCAAATTGGATTAAATTTAGTTTAATTTTTTAAAATAATGTATAGTATCATAAACTTTTAGAATGTGATTCGAGTCCAAATCGATATTCTCTTCAAAATAAATCAATCAATCCAAATTGAATTTTATCAGTTTAGTTCGGTTCAATTTATCGATTTTTAAAATTTTTTATACATTATTTTTAATAATATTTTTAATATATTTATAAAAATTTATATATAATAATTATTATTTTTATTTTATAAAAATTTAAAAAATATATAAAAACTAATAAAAATATATAATTTAGTTTGGTTCAATTTTTTAAATTTTTTATATCTTAGATCTAAATTTAATATATATATTAATATATTAAATAAAAAATTCGATCTCAACCAAATTAAACTTTATGATTCCAAATTGATTTTTAATTTAAAAAAAAAATTTTTTTCACTACTAGCATTAATTTAGAAATTTTTATTATGGGCCACGCAAATCAAATGTTTGAAGGATGATAGCTTTAATCAATTGCAAAATAAAATAGTGGAGGTGGAGCAACACCAAAGTCAATCTACAGTCTCCCACACACAAACATTTACAACCCAAAAAAAAAAAAAAAAAAACCAAAGTGGAACTTCTATGATCTCTGATCAATCACGATTCTTGGGCCGGCCCATTGGCCTTTTGTTCTGTTGAAACGCAAGCCTATTTCGCGTGTCCATCACCGTCCGTTTGATATACGGGCTCATGCTCATTGGACGGCTCGTGTTTTACCCATATAGCCTTGTGGGTTTGGGGAAAAAGACAGGCATTAAACACAAAGTGGCTCGTTGAGAGGAGCATTATTGTCTCTCGTCCACTTTTTCTCCTTTCCCTACCACACAAATTGTTGAAGTGACATTAACTAATTTCTTCAAACATTGATTGCTAAAAGAAATAAAAATAAATAAAACTAAATTATAATTTCGAATTTTGGCCAAAAATATTTATAATTTCAAATCTTAAAATTTATCTATTCTTCTTTTTGAAGGTGATTTGATGAATTTTCAATTTTAAATATATATTTATTGATCTATCAATATAATTTTATAGAATTCGAATATTTAATTAAGTAATTGGTACATAATTTTTTGACCCTTTTTAAAATAAAAAAATAATATTGAGGAATTAATAAAATAAAATTATTGGCAATTACTTTCTTATGTAACTAAAGCACAAAATAAAGAAAAACTTCATTTTATATTATTTATATTGTAATCAATTCTTTAATTTATAAAAAAAAAATGCTTTAACATCAACCAAAAAAAATGTTCATTCATTAGGTTAATTTTTCAATTTTGATTTTGTTAAATGATGCTCTCATTTTATTTCTATACCTAGCCATTAATCTTCAAAATTAACACGAAATGTCCTACAAATTAATTGTGGAAAATTGGAAATAAAACACCCAAATAAGGGAAAGAAAACATTGTTGTTGGAGAAAAGGAACCAAAGAATTTCAGTCTTTTTCTTTCCTCTATTGTTTTATAAATACCCGAAAATGTATTTTTCTAAAGGAACTTTGAAATGTTTTTATTTAAAAAAAAAAAAAAAAGGAAAATGGAGGGAAATGGGTGACAATTGGGGCTCCACAAGACAAAATGTGGAGTCCAAACAGATCTTAATTTTTTTGACTCAAGGTTTCCTTGGTGGGGATGGAAAGCCCTGGCAATCTTGAGGGTTCAATACTTTTGTTGTGAAAGTTCATTTCTTTCAATCACATGAAAGTCTCATCTTTATCTTATGAACTATCATTTCTCAACCAAACCTCACCAATAAATGTTTATAATGGTGCCCCATCTAAATTATTTCTAGCCCCCACTTCCAAAATATATATAGACAAAACCAATACATTTTCTTTTATCTTTTCTTTTGTTTTCAAGTCTTGTATTAATATTTAGATATTTTCACCTGCTATAACTATATTTATAGTCAAATTAAAATTTATAAGTTTAAGTAGATTTCGTAATTTATGTCATCATGTCATGTAAAATATTATATTTGTATCATATTTTATACGAAAATCACATGTTACAATTCGAGTCAACACAAAAATATAAAATATAATTTTTTGATTTTATTAAACTTATTTATGATTTTTTAAAAATTTTAAATCATGTTATCTTCGTATTATTTATTCGTATCGTTGTCATATTATATCATCGTATCGTATTTCAAATTATTAGATCTAATTTTAAAGGATAGCTTGAAAAATGAAATCTTGAATTTATGAAAGAATATACTTTTAAAATTATTTGAAAAGAGAATTAAATTCAAATAAAATTTAAAAATATTTTTTTATCGTATGAGTACAAGAATTATTCGTATAATTTAAAAATTAATTTCATCAATCTCAATTATTAAGTCAATAAAATGATCACATTAACCTTTTTAATGATAAAAAATTAATAAAATTAAAAATCAAACTAAAATTATCAAATTAAAATAATTATAATACATGATTAAATTTTAAATTTTGGTAAAATATAACAACTTCTGACATATTTTGACGTGATTTTTTTCTTTCAAGGAACACAAAAGTAAAAGAAGAGAAAAAGGAGAGCAACATTATTAGGATTTTAGGAGAAGTCTATTCAAGGCAATAAAGTGGTAAAGAAGTGGCCTATGCAACTCTCGAACCTTAGACCTGAGATAATAGGGCCAGACACTGTACAACAAAATTTCTAGTGGCTTAGTTGAAAAGCTTGAGCCTATTTAAATGGAGGTTTGACAAGAAGATGGGACATTGAGGTTCTAGCCTTTGGGGAGTGTGATATGAAGCAGCAATGAGGGGTCACGAGCCACGTTCAAGCTCTTCCTGTGCAGCTTGCAAGCTCTTGAAAAGGAGGTGCAGTTCCAACTGTATTTTTGCACCATATTTTCGATCTGATGAATCCAAGAAATTTGCTAAAGTGCACAAGGTTTTTGGTGCTAGCAATGTGAGCAAGATCCTGATTGAGGTACCCGAAGAGCAGCGTGAAGAAACCGTGAATTCCTTGGCGTATGAGGCTGAAGTAAGGCTCAGGGATCCTGTCTATGGTTGCATTGGTGCCATAGCTTTGTTGCAGACCAAGATGATCGAGCTGCAACATGATTTGGCTCTTGCTAGAGCACGTTTGGCTCGGTATGCTGCTACTTCTTCTGTTGTCAGCGATAATGATGGGGCTAGCATGGGGCCTTTCGGTGATTTCCCAGCTGCTTGTGGAGGATTCATTGACAGTTTTAGCCAGAATATTTCCTCTGAAGTGAATCAAGATGCACATATGTATGATTTTAGCCAAATTCCATATATATAAATATCTCTGTTGTTGATAACTAGTAGCTCTGAAAAACTTGGAATCTTGGGCTTAAATCTATGTTGAAGATCATGATCAAGTTTCAATTATATGGAAATCAAAAGGGTTTCTCTAAATAAGTTAAATATATCTGCAATTTGTTAAGTATTCTCAGAAGTAGTCATTTCAAAGGACAAATGAAATTAATACTCTCGGCAATCTCCAAAATGTAGGCCACAGTTGCCTTCATTTTCAGATACTCTCCTGCCCAACCAAGGAAGTATCACATGCTCTTGTTCACAAGCTTGGCCTAACTCTTCCAAGCATGAACTTTGACTAATATTCCCCATTGTTACCCTGTTCTCTCTCCCTCTGTTAATTTTTTTCGAACAAGTTTTAACAGCGAAAGACGTTAAAATCGCGATCCTACTCTCTCGAGGTTGAAGCCTCGAGTATAGGGGACGAAGAAAATTAGCATCTTTCATTTGTGATTTCAAGCCATTATTACATTAAACCATCATTTATATAACAGAAAAAACTACAGAGTAAGAATTACTTGAGAAGTTGATAATTTCATTACAACAGCTAGAAATACAAGAGATCTGCAGCAAACAACTAATTTATGTACAAGAAATGTTACAAGTTACAACCACCATAATCACATGATTCCGATGTGATTGGATCTACAGATGGAGACTTCTGTCTGAGTTACTTGAGATCAAAGGAGGACATAGTCACAAAGACACTCAGACTCAGTTTCTATTCTCAGATTACTGCTTCTTCCCTGTATGGCATGCAAAGTTAACGAAAATGCTTGTCAGACATCAGATTGTGAACAGAAACCAAGATCGAGCTTAGCAGTAATATGAACTTCAGTCGATAAATCAAGCTTAATAGCAACAGGAATTTCGCATATCAGTTCTAAATTCCAACAATAAAAAATTAACCCAATAAAATGATGGTAAAAGATGAATAGCTCAAAAGTAAGCCAACATCATTGTTGTCTCTGCAGTGTGCAAAAGAGAGAGAATATGACGCGGCGTCTTGTTAAAAAAAGCCTCTCCGTTTTCCCTTCTTTAATGACTCTATCTACTCAAAATCCAAAATAAAACTAGTACACCACAATAAGAAATTTCACATGCATCCATCATTAAACCATACACGAACCAAGGGCTATGATTCACATACCAAACTTACAATTCAGGCAGGCAGCACCTATATCAAGTACAACATCAACTTGCAGGCCAAGACAACATTGCAATATTAAAAAGTTTTTGATAAATGATAAAGGTAATGCTAACGGCGGTAACTGCTGGCAACAAAGCAACGTCCACATAGACACATACGATGGGTTTCAATATGGTTTAAGGTAATGCTAATGGCAGTAACTAGTGGCAACAAGGCAACGTTCCTGTAGACACATTTGATAGGTTTCAATTTGGTTTAAGATAAAAAGTTCGAAACATTTTGAAAGAACTAGTACATAAATACTCAAATTTCACCCCTAATTACTGCCATTAACATCCCCTCGAACCAAATATAAACTATCAAACGCGTTTATCACAAATGTTTTATACTTTTATCCAACTTCATTGATCATCAAAACTTCTTCTCTTCATTTACGACATCTAATAGCAATAAAAGATTACTTATTTTGTATAAAACTCCTACATTACCAGCTAAAGCCAAATCTAAGCCATCAAACTCATTTATCAATCATCAAAATTCTAACTTTTTTTACTTAAAATAAAGCTAATTGAAGCAAAATCAAAACTCGGTATGATAAATCAAACAAATTTAGCTTTTACCTGATCGGTTCAAATGCTTTTGTCGCTTTGATTTTTCCATCTCCAGCTGAGCATCAACAAGCATGTTCATTCGTTGAAACTCCAGATCCTTGGTGAACTCCATTCTCTGTTTCTCAAGCTCCATCATTTGCTGTTGCTTCGAGCTCTCGATCCTCTCATAGATCTCCCCGAACTTCAAAATCGCTCTTGCTAATTCCCTACACGCAGCTCCATCGGATAATCCTACATCCTCCACTCGGTGTTCTTTCCTCACCTCATCATCATCTCCGTCATCGTCATCAAACGAGCTCTCCGTCGACTTTGGCTCCTTCAATAACGACGCCGTTTTCGGTTTGATCGTGAAAGTGACGCTGGGATGCTTTTTGTAGACGGAGGCGTTGCCGCCGATGAGGGAATCGATGCGGCTAAAAAACGGCCATTTCGACGGCGGCGGCTTGGATCTTTCGAGCTTGTATTTCTTCTTCAACGTGTCGATCCGGTTCTTGCACTGAACGTCGGTTTTCCTCGGCTTAACGCCGGTTTGACGGGAGTTAACGGCGTCAGCGACTTCTTGCCAGTCCTTCTGACGGAGGTTACCTCTGTTAAGTCTTAAATAACGGTCGCCCCACGCCTCGATGAGCGCAGCGGTGGCGCCCTCGCTCCAACAGTCTTCGCGACGGCCGCTACCACCGCCGCCGGAGGAGTGAATGTTATGGTGAGGAGGCGGACGGAGGTTCATGGAAGGAGGCTGCTAACGTCCGCCGGTAGAGGGATGGTGGAGGATAAGGGAAAAGGGAGAGGAATCGGATGCTGGGAGGAGCACATGGGGGAATAGGGACAAGTAAGAGAATTGGCCGTGCCTTTTTTTTTGTGACCGGCGGTGACGTCAGCTCTCCCGTATTGGGGTTGGAGTTTGGACGTGATGTGACTTGGACTATTATATCAATCATACGTCCGTGCATATCATCCAAATGCACTCCTCTGTAAGTCAATTACTCAATTGTACTTTCACATCATTTAAGTGAAATTTAAATCCCTTCTCTCAATTTTAATTACAACCTTACTTTATGATATAATCATAAATAAGTAAACAAATTAAATATAAGTAAATTTTATTATGTTCTTAATTTATTTATTTAATTAATAAATTTTAAAATATTATTTATGTTTATTTTTTAAATTTAATTAAGGAACTTTTAAAAAATTAAACATTTTTACCTAATGAAAAATGTTATAGTTTAAGCTTTTAAGGTCTATTTTTACACAAGTACATTGGCTATGGAATGCAGGGATACATATATATATATATATATATGTTAAAAGGGAGAAGCATTTGGGAAGTTTCATAAGCTCAAAGTCATAGCTATTGTATAAAGAAACTACTTCAGATAAGAGAAGTCTTGCAACTAGATTTTTGACACAAAAAAATTAGAATAGTTTGGAATAATAAGGGTTGTAGCTACTCACCACAAGTGTGTAGGAAAAAATAAGAGAGAGTTAAATAAAAGTAAATTGGTATAACCTTATATGGTGTAAATTTCACATACCAAAATATGCTGTAATTACCTAAACGACTATCCTTGACAAGCTCCCAACGAAAGATCGATTGGCTTCCTAGGAAATTCACATTAATAGAGGCTGTGTGCTCTGCAAGCAAGAGAAAGAAAGCAAAGACTACATTTTTTCAATTGTAAATACTCTTAAGAGGGTATTATGACAAGTGCTATACCTGTGTAATTAACAAAAAAAAAGATAATGGATAGGAGAATGAACTTCAATCGGCCGTTAATAGGTCACGAGAGAAAGCTTCGATCTCAATCATACTATAACTGACTTGAAAAGCATACATATATCGAATTTGGACAAAAAAATACATGCATATTTAAGTTAGCGAAGCTCACAAAGGAGTAAATACTAAAGAAAATAAGAAATATAGTTGGATTACGATTAATAGGCCTAAAAATATAACTTATGATCAGGTTAACCAAAAACTGTGTAAAAGATATGAGTTAAGTAGGGACTCATATATGGTGTAAAAGTTAACCAGTATGTACTTATTGCTCGGTAGCACTTCCATTACTTACTGGATAATGAATAAAATTTACATTCCTTCTATAACTAATGTAAGAGATAAATCTTTTTATTAAAAATGCCACCTAGACAAAACTCAAAAACTGAAATAGCTCACATGCCATGGTTTTTAAAGCCTCCTTAATCATTAAAATGGTAAAAAAAAAAAAAAAATGTGAACTTTAGCTTCTGTTTTGAAGCTTCTGTTGATAAATTTCAGTCAATTTTTTACCAATGCTCAAGCCCCTTTTACTCATCTCATCCAAAACAAACACCGCTTCACTCTTTCTTCCCAACCTAACCAATTTACTAGCCAAAACCCCAAAGCTCTCTTGATCCAACATCGCATCCCTCCCTTGACTAGCCATCACAAACCTCACCGCCTGATCGTAATTCCCCACCTTCAACATCCCATTGATCACGTGCGTATAAGTTGAATACATCACGTGAAGTCCAGCGTCCATCATGCTCCTCAGCAACACCAATGCTCCTTCCAGCTTCCCCGTCCTACACGCCCCCAATATCAGCGCGTCATAAGTACGTGAATCCACTGCCAACCCTTCCTCTTCTATCTTCTTAACCACCGCGCTCGCCTCCATCAACTTCCGTTCAAAACAATATGCCGTCAAGAGAAAATTATACGTCGTCACGTCCGGCGGAGCTCCAGCGGAACTCATCAGATCCACCACCCTCCACGCCTCCTCCATCTTCTTCTTCTTCGTCAAGGCGTTCACGATCGGATGAAAGCTAGCGGCGTTCAACCCGTACCCTCCCTTGGCCATTGTGTCGACCACGCGCAGCGCCTCGTCGGTTCTTTCCAGCTTGCAGAGACGTGCGATAAGTAAATCAAACGCGTGTTTACGAGGGACGCCTTTGTCCAGACGAGACAACGTTTGGATCAAAGGGTCGAGGATGGAGAGAGAGGATTCGACGTTAGTGAGGAAGTTGAAGGTTTTGGTGGTGTTGAAGCATCCGTCTCGCACGCGCTTGTTGAGGAGATACCCCACAGTCACCATGTCTCCATTGCGGCCCGCTTTGTAAACCTGCTCGTCGTAGTAGGCGGAGGTGGGCTCGTCGGGAAACGGCTCGTCGAATGGCCCAGGGTTTGGGATTTGGGCTGCCACGAAAAAGCGAGTGGGGAAGATTTTGAGGATAGATTGGGGATAAGGAGATTTGTTGTGGAGTTTTCGGAGAATTGACATGCTTACAGTTACAGAGAGAGCTATACGAGATTGTAGAAGTGGAGGTTTTGGTGGTGTTCAAAACTGGAAGTAGGAAGCAAAAACTCACCGTTTCGAGCTAGAGTGTCCGGAAGAGAGAAGTTATTGTCAGGTGCTGAAACAAAGAAGGCGGTCTTCGAACAACATTGAACAGAACAGAACTAGGGTTTTCACCCCACCCTATAAGATTAGTTTTGTTTTTTTTAAATAGGATTTCGAATAGGGTCGAGGTTTTTTTTTAATAAAGTCAGGGTTAAAAATATTATAGTTATGTAAAATAAAAATATAATTATATTAAAAAATATTATTTTATAAATATTATATTAAATTAAAATTATTAAATTAATTTTTATTAAAATTTATTACAATTTTATACATGAAGCTAATTAAATCAATATAATAAAATATTTTAATATTCGAATATATATATTTTTTATCATTAGTAAAATCCTACGTTAAAGGAAAGTAAGAAGGATGAAGTTCGATTCTCAATTTTAATATCTTTTTTAAAATTATCTTAATCACTAACCAAATAACCGAAGATAATTAAATTCGAATATTTATGTAATTATAAGTCGAATTCGTAATTATAAAAAATTTGTCTGCTCCGACCCGTTGGCAGAACATAACAGGGTTTAGTTTAACTCCCCGGGCCGGGCTTTTACTTTCTCGTACAGTTGTCTTGTTGGAAGAGTAATGAGTTTGTTTTCAGCATGGGCTTTAGCAGCCAATGGACACCTGGCAGCCTTCTAACACCTTGCATTAATTTTTGGAATATTGGGCCTTAAAACGTTTTCAATTATGTAGTTCTCTTTAATAATATATTTCCATTTGAAAAAAAATATATAAAATTGGCTTTTTTGGATTTTAATTTCAAACATTGAATTTAATTTAACGTATAAATCATAGCCCTAAAAAGTTCTTAAATTCAAATAATTAAATTTGCCACAACATCGAACTTCAATGTCAATTTGAAAATTAATTTACAAGATTATTATTCTCTACATGGAAAATTTTTTAAACATTTTTATATACGAAAATATTGATCTTTTAAAAGTTTACATTCGAAAATGCAACTTATGAAAAGAATAAGAAAGATTACCTCATAAAAAAAAGATTTACATGTTTTTGTATATATTGAAAGAATAAAAATTTATTTATACAAAAAAAATTATTTTACATTCATGTGATTTATTGATGATATATTAAATTTTTAAATTTTTTATATTTATTTATTCGATCAAGAAGGTCAATTCTTTTTATAGTCTAACTAACACACACTCAACTATTACATCATCACCAAGAAAAGTTGACATCCGAATCATTTGCTTTAGAACTAGCTCATCCCTTGTTAAAAAAAAAGATTCGTCCGACACCTTAATTGACATCTCATAAATGCATCATTCAAAATTAAATAAATTGACCTTCAACTTAATTGAATTATTAAATGCAGCTCATATTTATTTAGAAATTTTAAATATGATTTACAATGATCTACATTAATATTTTTTAAATTTTACGTAAATTTATTATCAATTGTCAATTGTTTTAATCAAATCATCACATTTTATCTTATATATAAAATAAAATGAGGCTTAGGTTCATAAAGCTTAAGCATTTCTCTCCTCTTACCTTCCTTAATACTCTTTACCTTCTTCTTCATTAGACCTTAGACACCTTTTTATTGACATGAACGTCAAAAATGCATTACGAAAAATCAACTCAATGCTCCTTTAATCATATTTTCTGGCTATAGATTCAGATTCCCTCACCTTAAACATCCAATCAACTTCTCTTCAATCGAACACCTAAAAATATCATCAACAAATTTCAATAATCAAAATTTAAATTTGGATCGTTCTAAATAACAAAAAAGTTTTCTCAACTCCCAAATTTTTAATAAGAAAAAAAGGAAATGGACATGATGAGTCATGATTCTTATCATCACCAAATTGTTTTTGTTTGGTAGTTGAGTCAAAGAAAAGACCATTCCTTATCGTGCTTGGTGTCTTTTGCTATATGCTCTTTCTGCCCTGTTGTTAACAAAACGAATGGGATTCATATAACATAAAGTGCTTTTGAAATAGTAACCAAAAGAAAAAAAAAAGAATTTATATTTAACAGTCTATCAGTAAATCAAATAATATTATTTTATTAATAAATAAATATTAATTCTTAAAATTAATATATAAAAATTAATATTTTTCTAAAAAAATTACTTATTAATATAATAATATCATTTGATTCACTTTTTTAATAAAATATTATTATTTAATTCACTAATAGTATATAAAATTTGTATATTAATAATACATTAAATATAAATAAAAAAAAATATTGTGGAGATTAGCCTGGCTCGCAATGTTTAGCTAAATATAAATCTAAAATCATCAGCTTCAACTTTTAAGAAAAAGAAAGTTGGGAAGATAATAAAAACCCCACCTCCTTTTGTTTGAAAATGTCTTGATATGATATGAATCCATTACAGGCCCTCACATTTATAACTAGATCTATTATGCTTCATGCAATTAAAAAATGTGCAAAAATTAAAGAAAATTATAAAACAAAATACACATAATCACATATATGTTGGAACTTGGAAATTACTAGTTAAACAGATTTTTCAACTCTGATTCTATATTAGACATCTAAAAATTAATATTGAATTTAGTTTTTCTCATGTCCCACCCCAAACCCAAGTAGTGATGAGAACAAGAATCTGATTAGCAGTCCACTTTTATAAATAAGGAAATTAAGCTAAAATTAGAATTAATATTCGATATTCGAAAATTTTTAAAAGTAAATCACACAAGACATAAATATAAATAATAATCAATTATATGAAGATTAAAGAAATAAATGAAAAAATTATTTTTTTATACAAATAAGTGGCATAAAAAAATTTAAAATTATGATCTAATATAATTTTTTTTAAATTTTCATTCAATCAATTTTAAAATTATGAGATATAAAATTTAATTTATTATTATTGTTATATTCCGTATCAGATCCCTTCCTAACCCTGAAATATAAAAGAAAATTATCTTGCATACGGAAGCATTGTTTGCTTCTTTTTTTTTTTTTTTTTGAAAAGACGTGAAGCGAAGCACGTAGATTATGCATATCCATCACAAAAATCACAAAGTAAGAAGGATGAGAGATTACCCTTATTCTTAATCTAAGATAATTTACACTTAAAGCAATTGAACTAATTATCAATTGAATCAATGCTTGATTGATACATGAGACTTGCTACGTATTTTTCTCACTTATAAATTTCATCAATATATATATATATATGTGAATAATTAATATATGAACAAATTGGTTAATTGGCATTGTAATAATCAATGCCAGATGACAAACTCTCCTTAAATTTTTTTAATGATTTTATGAATACATTTATTACATTTATTTAAAATTTATTTTTAAAATATTTTCATAAAAAAAAAACTCCTCTTACCAATGTACTAATCTCTTGTGTATGGAGTGAAAATTGGATCGGATTAGATTCGATTTTTTCAGATAATGCATAGTATTATTAATTTTTAAAATTTGATCTAAATTCGAAATAAAATTTTTTTGAAATCGATTCGATTCAAACCGAATTCTACCAGTTCAGTACATCGATTTTTAAATTTTATTTTTTATTTTTATATATTATTTTAATAAGATTTTTAATATATTTAAATAAATTTATATATAAAATAATTATTTTTATTTTATAAAACTTTAAAAAATATATAAATATTAATATAACTATATAATTCAATTCAATTGAATTTGATACCTTATTTAAACTTAATATATATATTTAATATCTAATCTAAAAAAAATTCGATTCAAAACCGAATCAAATATTATTATTTCATATCGATTTTTTTTCCCTCACCTCTTGTAGTTCAGGGCATTTCCAATTAGTGATGTCGTGGTCATTATCATCCAAAGTAAATTATGTGAATGCACGTCCCGTCCAGACCAGTTGACATACCCAGCTAAGCTAAGCTATATCTATATACCTAACTCTTTCCTCAGATTTGCAAGTTAAAAGACAACTATGGCTGGCTATCCACATTTTTAATATTCTTATGCCGATAGCATTTGCCTGTATTTTCTAAAATTCTTTCTTGTATTGATTAGACAACTGAATCCCGTGATCAGAGGCCTCAATTACAAGTTTATTGCAGATATGTGTAATGGTTACGTTAATTACAAGTTTGTAATCCCTTTGGATTGCATTTTAATCAAAACATTAGTATCATTTGGTACAAATAGTTAATTAATTGTCATCTTAACGTCTTAAGAGTAACTCTTGAAAATATTAACAAATTTATCAATGGGCACGTTGATTTCAATGTAATCTTTAAATTTCATGTTCAAGTTTTACCAAAAGAACGTATTGTTTAATTATATATTAATCGAGATATTTTTTTAATTTATTCTTTTTATGTTTATTAATAATTAGATGAATAAACATATATATATATAATTTTTTGTGATTTAAAGATTTTATCTCTCAACTTGAAGCTCGGCACGAGTATCTCCCAACACATAACAATAATATTTGGGTTAGATTAGGTCAACCATTCTTGATGATTTAACAATCATTTTAATTTTTGTGCAATTAATAAAATACATATTAATATGCATAACACATATACATACATATATAATTTCATGCAAAGATGAAAAATTCTTTGGAATTGAAATCTTTTTTATAACAAGTACCTTTATCAACTATAGGTGAGCTAATTAAGCTTTCAAATAGGATGTATATGGAATTATAACACTAATATTATAAAAGTGTAAAGCATCTTTATGTATAATAAAGTCTTTAAGATTAAATGATATAGTTTAAAATTTTAATAAAAAAGTAGAAGATGTTTGTTATAGACATTTTAGTGTTCAAAAGACAAAATAAAAATTTTTCGCCTTAGCATAAATTATTTGATAAATGGGGACATTTTAATCATTTCAGTCGAGCTAACATGTCCGACCAACCTAAAATTTTATGTTCATATCAGCTTGGTCACTTCAGCAGCTTATCAGCTAATACTCCAATGTATTGATGTAGAATCTCGTACTCAACTTATGAAGTATTGTTTATTTTAATTTAAAGATCTCATAATTTTATCTTACAAAAAATACTTTACAGATTTTGATTTAAATATGAGATTAAGAATGTTACAATTGACTTGTCATGGCTTGATTGGATAATCAACTGTAAGCTTATCTCATGCTTACAAGATCGGCTTTAGTTTTTTATGTTGACTTTGAGATATCTAGACCCAAAAACCCTATCACATAAAAAAAAATAGTTCAATCTAGGAATTTCCAATGGAATCTAACTTTTTTAGCTTTTAAGTTTTTATTTTTCTTTCTTTTCCTAAACTGAATTCTGATTTAAATGTGAAAATGCAAACGCCGAGATAACTTCCGATTTTTATCGTTAACCGACCTCTCATTCTTATATTTTAAGGATTTTAACCCTCCACGAAAACAATGTCCAATCATTTTGGACGAAGAGAAGAGATATATAGAAAAAGCCACCACCATAGTCTTAATCTAAACGTAGAAAATTGACAATCCTAGGAGGTTTCATCAACAATATTGATTCCTGAGATATGTAGTCCGTGTCTGCAGGAGGAATAAAGGGTAGTCGATGCCTGAAAGGTGCCTTCGTTGTGGTTAGCACTCAGATTGGTGACATATCTCCATAGAGTATAGCCCTAGCTAGCTATACCCAGAGATTAAATTGAAGTAGCTTAGCCTCGCTTTTCACTTGCTTGTCATAGATCTCCTCGACAATACGTCTTTCCATAGCCGACATGAAAGAGTCAACTTTGTTAAAGCAACCCTTTGAGATGTTTAGGAAGAATCAACCTAAGTTCCTTAGCTGCTTTGAGGGAATAATGATTTGGAGAACTTCAACAATAACAGCATTTAACTAACAAAAAAAAAAAAAAAGACAAGAATGAATATTTGTTATAAACCAACAACATTTCCCCTAGGCGGACCAGTGAATCGGCAGCAAGTCACATGATTGTTTCAGTAGTGAAATTGTCGGATTGTTTCAGTATTTTGCACGAGGAAAATATTTGTAATACAAAGAGTGATTCTGGTTTAACCAATGATCAGTCTTATTGCTATCAAGCTGTCTTTTTAAAGACAAAAATTTGAAATCGATAGATGAGAAGTCGATTAATAACAAAAGTCAAAGATATTTATGATATTTATATTCTGACGTTTAAATCAATATTTAAAAAGAAAATAAGAAGGGGAAAAAGATAAAAAGTAGATATGAAAGTTCCAATGATTTGATAATATCTAGAGGGGCTATTTATATTTGTGTGGTGAAGATGTTAATATCACAGGTCGAGAATTAAGTTTCGAATTCACACGATTTTAGAATTTGGACATTTATTTTTTTGATATTTCAGATCAATTTGACTGTCATGGTTCACACTTTGTGAAGTATTGTCCGTCTGACCTCCTCTGACCTCACGGTTTTTCTACAAAAGGTACCTCATAAGTGGAGGTGGTGTGAACCTTTATATACCCCAGTGACCCTCCTATTATGTTCGATGTAGGATTCAGGACTCTTCCTTAGGTCCGTGACATTTTCCTGCACCCAACCTCGTGACGCCCTCGTCACGGAGGCTGGTCACCTTGTCTACCTCTCTCGAGGTGTTTGGCGGAGATCGAACGATATAGGGCTGGCTCTGATACCACTTGTCACGGGTCGAGACTTAAGTTCTGAACTCGCACGGTTCCGGGACTCGGACATTCACCCTTCCGACGTCTCGGATCAGCCTGACTGCTATGGTTCACACCCTTGTGAGGCTCTGGTCTCACGGTTTTGTCCTTCAAAAAGCGCCTTACAATGCGGAGGTGGTGTGAACCCTTATATACTCCAGTAACCCTCCTATTATGTTGGATGTGAGATTTAAGACTCTCCCTTAAGTTCGTGACACTAGGCCTAACTAACTCGAGCTCCAAATGACGAGATTAAAGCTTACGTGTCAATTCAAGCTGAGCTGACAGTCAACAATCCAATCAAAAGATGAAAGTTAACATCTTCACATAACATCAGGTAATCAATTGGGTGATCCAGCAGATATGAAACTTGAGATTTCAAGTCAGCTCGCCACGTTAATTCGAATTAAATTGATAAAAATATTCCCGTCTGATTGATGATTCATACACTAAAGAAACATTTATTTTATCCCTTGAACCACAAAATGCCTCTAACGAGTCGGTAAAAGGAATTACCGAAAGTGTAGTTTGTTTATTGTACAACGAAATATAGCTATCACCATCCAACACATTGGGGGTCCATTATCCTGACGGAGATGAGTGTGCCTTCGCCACTATTTGCTAGCCTAGTTGATTCCCCCACTTCGGCCCCTAAAAATTTTAAGCAACTTTAATTTCTTAATCTTACTTATAAACTGAATGAAGATATTATTATTCAATGATAAAACTATAAGATTATGCACCACAAATTCCTAGTTGAAAATCTGAGTGGTTCGTCAGCAGAATATCAGGATACATGATTGATATGATCAAATTTAAACCAAAATCTTTTAATATCCTATCCCAAAACTCTTCATTTTCCCACTATAAACAACTGAGGGCTGAACATTTCTAATTAATATATATATGGTAATGAATTCATAGTTTTTCTTTTAAAGCTTTTCCCTCCTTTTGCTCCCTTGCTCCTGATGGATTATATATATATCCTTAGTAAAATGTTAAACCGAATAGAAATTGTAGGAAAGAAAAAAACAATGGAAAAGAACAAAGATAAAAGGTTGATGGGTGGACAAACAAAGGTCCAGCAGAAACAGTGTTGAGGATATCCAAACTGGTTAGACATCCAGGCACTTTTTCACATGGTTTTCTCTTGCACCAATGCTATGCATCTTCTTCAAATACCATTCCAAATCTTTGATAATGATATTTGGGGTCCATCGACTGAAGTAAATTCCTAAAAATAAATTAACTAGACCCCACCAAGATTAATAATTTATGCATTCATGTTATGTTTAACACAAAAATTATATGTTACAGTTCGTATTAACATGAAAATATGAAATATATTTTTTTGTCAAACTTATTTATAATTTTTATCAAAATTTTAAATTATATCTTCTTTATATTTTTTATTTGTATTATTTTCATATCATATTTAAAATTATCATATTTAAACTTAATCCACACAAACCAGATCTTTTATAATATATGAACATTAAAAAGTGATTGAAGATTAAATTTAAAGTAGTAATTCAAACTACATTTGAGAAATGAGGTGTTAATGATTTTGAGGTTGACTATTTAAACAAGTAACATGAATTGATATAATATTATTCGTGTCCAAGATATGATCATAATTTCTTAAAAGATTGTGCAATAATCTCCAAGTTGTCTTCTTGTTGAAATTGTCCTAATATGTTTAAAAACTTTACAAGTAATAGCGAAAGCAAAGCCAAGCTGTTAACATTTGTTTTTATATTAATTTTTCCATAAAGTCATGCCCGGAGAATCTTGGCACAAATCTTTCACTGTTAGACACACAATAGTATTAAATTATGTTATTTATGTATTTGAATTTATTTTATATTTAACACGTATTATAATTTGTATGATTGTTTATATATTAAATATATAATATACATTTTTATTTTTATCATATTTAATAAGATTTTTAAAAATTTTAAATTATTTTTATATTTTTTGTATTATTTTCTCAGCATATTGTATTTAACATTGTGAGAGAATAATAATTATATTACGTCAATTTATTCAATCAACGTGATCAACTCATTTGGATTTTTTTTATGCATCTAATCAGCTTACGTCTAATTATCACATCATCTCTTTTAAAAAAATTAACTCATATTTACTAAAATAAAGTTTATTCAATAATCTTATTGATATCCTATTCAAGTTTCATTTCAGAATTGAATACTTAATTTTTAATTTATAACCATTAAATATGAATCATATTTACTTAAAATTATTAAATATAATTTTTATTCATCCACGTAAATTTTTTTCGAACTTCACATTTATAAAGTTAAAAAAAAAAAAGAATTAGATACGTAAAAAAAACCCTAAGATCTTAATACCTAAGCTTTCTTTCCGGTGAAGCTTACTCCACACAACTCACCTCCTTCCTCCCAACGCCCTAAATACCTCATCGACTTAAGTGTCAAAAAACATAAAAATCAACTCCGTCATCCTATTATCGTACTTTCTTATCGCAAGTTCAGGCCACTTCACCTTTAATCTCTCACCAACTCTTTCTAATTAAGACAAAAAAAATCATTAACAAATTAATAAATTAATTTTCACTAATAACAAAAAAGGCCTTAAAGCTCTATTATATAAACCCCTTAAAGCTCTCATTTTCTCTCAACCCAACAAAAAACTCAAACCCAAGCCTTAACAAAAACATGGGATCGACAGTTCATGTCATAGAGGCTACAATTGTAACTCCATCGGAGCCAACCCCAACTCGGGTTCTAGCTCTCTCAGCTCTTGACTCTCAACTTTTTCTTCGTTTCACCATTGAATACCTTCTGGTCTATAACGCTCACCCTGGTTTAGACCGACGTGCCACCACGGCTCGGGTCAAGGCTGCTCTAGCGAAAGCCTTGATTCCCTATTACCCACTGGCTGGTCGAGTTAGGGCCAAACCTGATGGCTCCGGGACCGGCCTTGAGGTTGTTTGTCGAGCGCAGGGTGTTTTGTTCATCGAAGCTCGCTCTGATCATAACGTTAACGAATTTGAGAAAGCTCCACGGTTCGTTACGCAATGGAGGAAGCTCTTGTCGTTCCACGTGGCAGATGTGCTGAAAGGGGCCCCACCTCTGGTTGTCCAGCTGACGTGGCTAAAAGACGGCAATGCTGCGCTCGGTGTTGGCATTAATCATTGTCTTTGTGACGGTATCGGTAGTGCTGAGTTTCTCAATTCGTTCGCTGAGTTAGCCTCCACGAGTCAAACCAAGTTCGCCGAGTTCAAGTTTAAACCCAAACCCGTTTGGGATCGCCACCTTCTAAACCCATCACCATTCAAGCCAACAAGAAATAATACTAATAACAACTCACTGAGTCACCCCGAGTTCAACCGAGTTCCAGACCTTTGCGGGTTCCTGGCTCGTTTCTCCAACGAAAGACTCGTCCCCACATCGTTCATTTTCGATAAAACGAGTCTCAACGAGTTAAAAAAGGTCGCTTTTTCCACGAGTAGACCCGGTGAGTCAAATTACACGTCTTTCGAAGTTCTCTCAGCTCATATATGGCGGAGCTGGGCTAGAGCCTTAAGCTTACCTTCAAATCAAATGTTAAAACTTCTTTTCAGCATCGACGTTAGAAACCGAGTCAAGCCGAGTCTACCCAGTGGATATTACGGCAACGCGTTCGTGTTAGGGTGCGCGCAAACCAGCGTTAAGGACTTGACAGAGAAGGGTTTAGGGTACGTGACAATGCTGGTGAAAAGAGCGAAAGAGCGAGTGGATAGTGAGTTCGTGAAATCTGTGGTGGAATTACTGAGCCATAGTAGGGCGTGTCCTGACTCAGTAGGGGTTTTGATACTCTCTCAATGGTCAAGACTGGGATTAGAGAAGGTTGACTTGGGGTTGGGGAAGCCGGTTCATGTGGGACCCATTTGCTGTGATCGATATTGTTTGCTTTCGCCGGTTTTTAATCAGACGGATGCAGTGAAGGTGATGGTGGCGGTCCCCACGGCTGCCGCCCAGAGATATGAACATCTGGTCAGGAGTTTCTACTTATGAGGACCACTGGAATTTGGCCCATTCGTTGACATTTTATATTAATCTTAATTTGACTTTATTCAATTTTTTTCCTTGGTTTCTTTTTTTTTTTAATTTAACTTACCTGAGTGATTGATTTCAAATCTCATCCAGAAGCCAGTAAAATAGAAAATAAAAATAACAACCACGAAAATTTTTCTATATATATTTTCGGTACAAAAGATGCGTTTTGAGTTTATTATGGATCTAATTCGAAAAAATTATAGATATAAGAGATGATAATAGATATTAAATAAATGAATATATGTCATTATTTGATTCGTTTATATTAAATTTAAATAATTAAAAACTTATAATTAACATATTCAAATAAAAAATTTGTTATTCATAATATATTCAAAGCGGATATGAATAATATTTTTAATATTTAATATTCGAATTTGTTTATATTTTAAATAATAATAATAATAAATATTTAAATTTGTATTTGAATCTATTACTTTTTTATATATGTAAAATATATAAAATTTTATTCTAGTAGAAAATTTCAAACCTTAAAAAATAATTTTTATTTATTATTAATTAAGGGTGAACTTGAATTTTAAATTAATTTTTTTATTTATTTTATATTTTGACAAAAAATTTAAATAAACAAACTTTTTAATGATTCAAATATTTAAATAAATAGTACTTATTTAAACGAACTCAAATTTAAATAATGATATTAAATTTAAATATTATAAATATTAATATATTCGGATACAAATATTTAAAACACAGCGAATATTTGTTGTATTGCCATTTTTAATTGATATTAAAATTTAAATTTAAATTATTAAATATTAATATTTAAAAATAATTATATGAATCAATTTAATAAATTTTATTTTTTATTTATATTCACAAAGTAGTAATTTTCTTTTTATTTACTTTATTGGTTGGGAATTGGTGGCCACGGTGACAACTCAATTTTGGAATTTTTTTCATTATGATTTTGTTTTTCTTCTCACCCTTAAACATAGGGCAAGGTCCCCATCCAATATTAATGGAAAATTTTGGAAGAAATACCAAGTTGAACAATGATGGCAATCAATCGTCTCTTTGAGTTTGCCATATGCAAGAGTTGTCAAAATAATTAAATTGAATACGACAATTCAACCTTTTTGACTTGATGGTTCAAGTATTAATCTTTCATAAATAAATTTTGTATGTACCAGTCCTAATCTAAACATCCATTATTAATTTTAATTTGTTTTAGGGTTTTAAGAAATAAAAAAATATTTTCAATATTTAATTTAATGATGGATGCATCATTAAATAGCAAAAATTAAATCGTTTTTTTTTTCAAAATTCAGAAAAAAAGGCCTCTATCCCCATATCCTTGCCTTTGAATACAATTTTTTTTTTCTATTTACTCCAAAAGCCTTATAAATTATAATATGAGTGGTATTAAGGTGAAAGGATAATCATTGAGATCTTGATTTAATATTAAAGAAATAATTTTCAAATCTTGAAGTCTTGTACTCAAGTTAAATTATGTGAATTTGATTTAATTTTATATTAAATTTATTTAATTATGTACTAGTTTATCAAATTATTTGTTTGATTGATTATATGATTTCTTATATGAATGTAATATTTTATTGTAATTGTAATTTATTAAAAAAGTGAAATGGGTTAATTTAGGGAAATGAATGACACTTAATTGAGTAATTCAACTAATTGAAATGATAATAAGTATAATCTTTTTTTTTTAAAAAGATTCAAATAATAATATAAAATTTAAATTCTATCTTTCGTATTAAACTAAAAAATAAAATAAAATCATATATACGCATACACACGTTATAAAATTATACATTTTACGTTTTTTCCTATCTAAGTCATGTCTAATAGTTAATACTTGATACCCTATCTCAAATCTTTTTGAATCATAACACAAGTATGAAAAGAACATGGAGAGGCCCTATTTTATTTTTAAAAAAAACTTCAATCATGTTTCCAAATTCATTTAGAAGATTGAATAAAATTGAATCCATTATTTTTATGCTTTGTGAGAGATTTGGAAGCAAGCCTGGAAATCTTAAGCACATCAATGTCACCTAACCCAAACTCCCCTACTCCTTCCCATGGTGTAGACTGGGAAACTTAACTGCCCTCCAGGCTTCAGCCCCTTTGAATCTAATTGTAATATGAAACATGATAACCATGAAACAGATGAGAAATATGATCTGTTTCATGGTTATCCTCTCCTAAATTATTGTGAACCAATGTGACAATCTTGTTTCGGGTAACAATAGTTTTGAGACTTGAATTTCTGACTTCAAAATTGCTTGTTTCATAAATCAAATATAAAAAATTCAGATATTGCTAGATTCGTGACAAATTACTCAACAAGCTGTTTGATATTTAAAATCTTGTATGTACTAAGTCGATGCAGAGAAAAGAACACATTTAAAATCGTCTTGGAAAAAAATAAATTTAGACAAAACTTAGATATAATTATAAACTTATTATACAAAAAATAAAAAAAAAAAAAAAGCCATTGAATAATATAGGTTAAAATAATAAAAAGAATCATTGAACTTTATCATTTTATTTAGATAAATTTTTATATTTTTATTATATCCAAATAACCTCCTAATTTTTATTTTGCATATAAATAAATTCTTAAACTTTAATTTATATTTAAATAAGCGTTTATACTTTAATTTTTACGTAAATAAATCCTTAACACAAATTTATTTTTTATTTGAAAGAAAGAACATACTTAAATACAAATAAAACGAATAAAGATTGATTTAAATACAATCAAAATATAAGAATTTATCTAAAGGTATATATGTTCCAAGTAGCACGTAATTCCTTATTCACCTAATCAACAACAGCCACTGAATACGGGCCATGAAATCATTTTTATTTATCCAATGATAGCAAAATTTTGCTACAGTACGATCACTATCTCGGTGCATTGAATAACCTTTGCAATTATTTCCTATCATTTAATCTATCAACTTGTATTGTCTACGTTACATTCAATATATTGGTATTTATATTTCAAGTATTACATAATTTCTTATTCACCTGATCAACAGCCATCGCATGCAGGCTGTTATTTCCTCTTCCTTCTTATACAATCTACAGTTCTTTTCTCTCCATATCTAATAGATGCAGGCACTTCATACAATAGGCAAAAATGACCGAGATCAATACTTTCCTTTTCATTTTACTAACTGCCTATTGTAATTCAACAGCTCAATCCCCCCACTTCTTCTAATCCTGCATTTCTGTAATATTTCTTGCCAACTAATTTTTGTAAACCCACATCCAAAAAACAAGTGATCCCTGGATCCTCTTCCCTGTTGGCACAAGTAGGCATTATTCATCCACCTTCATTCCCCCCCCCCCCCCCCCCCCAACCACGCTTTCAATCTGTCCCTTGTTGGCAGTTGATTTTAAATAGTACATGGATTTTTGGGCCTCAAAAGAGGAAGCATAATATCAAAGCCCAATTACCCAACGTGGCCTTTAGGCTTTAGGGTTTTGCGCCTGATATGTATATGATATCTCAAAGCCATCGTTTTGTCTTCATTATTCTCGCTGCAGCGAAAACATCAAACCATAGATTTTGAACTGCAAAAAGAGAACGATTTGGAAGCCTTTTCACCATGAGAGCTAAGGTAAAATTGTCAATATCTGAAGCATTATATTCTTTTTTATTGAAGTATTGACGTGGGTTTTTGTTTTTGTGGTAAATTCAGTGGAAGAAGAAGCGTATGAGGAGGTTGAAGAGGAAGAGAAGAAAGATGAGGCAAAGATCTAAGTAGTCTAATTTCCTTAAGAGCTTGTCTGATGGGTACTTTTTATTTTTTTTGTTAAAAGGATTGAAGTTGTTGTTCTATTTTTATGGCAAAGTTTTGTATTATTGTTGAACCAATTTTCATCTACTTGAAACAATGGTATTGAGTTTTTGATTAAAGATTTATGCTCTTGGATGTTAGCTCTTTGATGGGTGTTCATGTTTCGTGAAAGCTTCAGCCTTAGGCATTATTTACTTGAAAGTTTAGCCTGCCCAGGTTTCCAATTTTTTTTTTTTTTGTAGCTTAAACTGAACCATTTGGTTTGTTCTGCGCTGACGGTACTGAAAAATGAGACTTAGTTCTACAAATTTGTCACGACATCTTTCAAAATGCTACTCTATGGTCAAACTAGATAGATGCAATGGAAACAAAGGCTCTGAAGTCTTATGCTTTGCTTTGTACTTTTTGTTGTTGACTGGATGTAACCTGTGAGTGTTTTCATGGATTTTGATCAGCTCGTAATCTATGAATGTAACTCCTAACCTCCTTTTTAATCATACGTTGCATGCTGGTCAACAAGCAAGTCTCCTCCATCTTCTCTTCTCCACCGCCACCACCACCACCACCACCACCGACGCCTTCCTCACTTTTCACAACAATCACCTCCTACCCCTCGTCTTCTTCTTTCTTCTCATCCTCTACTGTTGCAAACTTGCAATGTTATTTGGAAATGGAGTATATAATTTATTTATTGTTTTAACTGAGAAGGCAAGAACATGCTTTGCCTTTTGCTTCTAATGCGACAATTTGGTCCGTTCGATGATTAAGCAATCCTGGTTAAAACTACATTGAGTGATTGCTTTAGAGTGCCTGGTGAAACACCCTCCCGATCATCACTGTTATCATTGCAAAGGATCAAGTCGCTTTTCATTCTCCCACTTACACTCGAAATGTCAGCGTTAACTGTCCTTAGCCTTTGGCCTTCGAGGACTCGGATTAGTTCCGTGAACACTTCTGGCCGATCATCACAACAAACAGAGGCCCTAATGAAGATCTTGTGCTTGCTTTGTCTAGTATCGGTGGGGCTTATGTCTTCAGGAAGATCACAATCTATGGTTCATCAATTTCTGTCGGCATACTGAAGTCTTTGCCGATTTCTGTTGCTTTTCATGGAAAATTCCTTCAATTATGTTTAAAATCAAAATTAACAGTATACCAATTTTGTTGACTAAGAAGAAAAATATATTACAACCAACTGTTTTCTATGTCAGTGTGACTATTGTTTTGGCCCCCAAAAAAAGTGTGATTCTATTGCAACCCTTATCACTAGGAAGAATGACAAATAACTGGTCGGATGGCGGCTTTGAGATCATCATAAAATCTTCGCTCAGAAAACCTGTTGGCTCTTCTCCTTGAAGCTGCAGCTATCTTGAGTCTTTCAGCCTCGGGCATCCTTAGAATTTTCAGGATTGCATCTCCATATTCTTCTATACTTTGAGCAAGAAATCCTGTTTGTTGTCCATCTTCATCCAAAACAATGTCCATTTTGGGGCCAGCAGAATTATGAGCTGAAGAAAGGAACGAGCAAAATTAGTGCACGTAAAAACATTTAGCTCCAACCGGTAAATGAAATATCAGTTGCCATGCCCACCAATTGGTATGGCTCCTGCAGCCATGAACTCTACAACACTAATGCCAAAGTGCTCATCTATCATAGAGTGGATTCCAGCAACAGCACCACCCAAAAGTCTTACCAAGTCCCTGCATAGTGTATGAAATTGATGAAGTTATCGGTTAACTAAGAAACAATACATGCTAATAAATTCTTACAAAAATATAAACTCCCGAAAATCATAAAAGCATAATGCCTGATCGAAACTTCAGCAATCAGACATATTGCAATTATGCAAATGCAGACAACGTTGATTCTCTGCTGATCATAATTTTTTAGATGATTTTTATATAGAGAGAGGATCTGACCAAATATGATAATTATCAAAAGGATGTAGCTTATTTGCCAATACCAACCTATACATCAAATTTTTATGGAACTCCACATCTTCATAAATGTTTAATTGCACTGCTTTTTCTTTCAAATTCTGAAGTCTTTCCTCATCTGATTTATTTCGACAACTACCCACAAACTGGAGCTTAGGTCTTGGCAAGTCTTCATCTAGTTTTTTTATGGCAGCAGAGAAGGCCTCAAGTTGAAGACCATGTGCCTAAGTCAAAAGAATCAAACCATAAAGGGTTGCTACAACTAATCAAGGTCCCAAACTTGAGACACAGAACGGTTGTACCCTTAGTTCGAAGGTTATAGAAGTATGCGCACCTTCTCTGGACGAAATTGAGCAACAGATATAATTTTTGGAGTTTCCACTGATCTTTCCAAAGGAAGTGCCTGTTTGATTTGAAAATTGGTAAGAAATTACAGATAAATGGCATAAAACAGGACAAAAACATACAAAATGTACCCAGATTGTGACAAAGATAGAGAAACTGAACCTGAAGTCCTGAAGTATCACAAGGTGGATAAACTCGCTTAATACGCTCAGGAATTCTCCAAAGCTTCTCAATGTGAGACAGAGTCCATGAAGAGTTAACCATTACAAGATGTGCACAAGAGCCCACCATTCCATACATCCAGATAAACACTGTATAATAGATAATTTTACACCGGGATAGCCACATGCTGCCAAGGAAGGACAATATCAGGATCCAGATAACAAGATGAGAAACCAGATATATTGCCAAGACACAAGTCAGACCATTAGGCTGCTCTATTACCAAACTAAATTACCATCATTTATGCAAATCCACTTTCTGTCAATTTCAACAGTAATAGATATTAAAATTAATAAACAGCGGTTAAGGTTTTTGACCTGGAATCATTGCCAAAACAAAACCAACATAGTTTTAGACAGATGATGCACATATCCCAGCTTTGAATATGGAAGGTAACAGTCAAGAATGCAATCTAACAATCAATGATTCATTGCAAAAAGCATACAAACAACAAGTAAAAGATACCCTTTGATGCAGAGCATACACATAAACTGTTAAAGAGTCTTTCGACATGGAATCATTACCAAAACAAAAGAGGACAATAAACGTAAACTTCCAATGCAACCAATTAAATCTAACAATCCAAGACATTGAAATTGCTATCATTAAATTGGGTTAAACAGAGTAAGTAAAAGCAAACCTTTTAGCAATCAAGGCATCATTATTGTACATAGAGGTTCGTTGACGAACTCGAGAAATCATGTCTAAACTGATTGTAGGATAATGTGTATAGCAAATGACCTTGCATCCAAATAAACGAGCAATTGGGTATGTAAAAGCGTATCCACTCGTATCAAAATAATACAAAGGTGTGAACTTGCTTAAGGCTTCCCATGATAAATAAACTGATCCCAAGCTTTGACCGATCATTGTAAAATGTGGGTACGTTGTTTCTTCAATCCATTTTCTTTTATTCAAATGCACCACCTGGAAATTATGAAAAATATTAAAATTAAATCTAAATTAAAAAAAGGAAAGGATTTTTCTTTTTTTTGTAATTCAAAATGAAACTACTTTTGGTGGATAAAGGAGGTGGACGCCAAAGCGATCGGTGGCGCGAGACATTAGAGACTGAGAGGAGGCGTCGTGGTCGCCAGTGAAGATAACGGAATCGAGATCGGGGTTTTCTTCTTGGATGGCTTTAACGGCGCACCACAGGACTCTCTCTCCGCCGCCGCCATCGTTGGTGTAGGGATGGAAGAATCCGACGGCTCTTTTCTTATTTCGTCGGCGGCTGAGAATTTTCGAAGCAAATAAAAGTATTGTGGCGAGTGGGAGGGTGATTAGACACCAAAAAAGAATCCAGTTCATCATCATCTGAATCTTCCTTTTTTTTTTTTTGGTCTCGAACAGATATGGGGAGAAGGTTTTCGGAGTCGTTCAATCGAGGGACGAAGAAAAGGAAAAACACAAAAGATAACCCAAAACGGCGACGTATTGGACCCAATGTGGTAATTCTAGCCCAAGTCTAATATATAAGAAACTAAGAAAGAAAATAGAGAATAGTTGGGAATTAAAGAAAATTAAAATATTTTATTGGGTCCAAGGGCTCTAACGTTTTGTAAGAAGGATTCAGTCATAAATAAAGAGTGTCCACCCTCGTTATATATAACACAACCATTGAGTAAAATTTTTGTGTACACCAGAATCATTGAATAAAATCCTTGCTCTCGTCTTAATCTTTTATTGTTTTTGTTAGCTTTTTTTCGAACGCTTCTTGTGCCGTTTATTTTGTAACGTTTTGGGCACCAAACTCTGCAATCTTTTTAAGTGCTTGAACATTTTTTTTGTGTTAGACTGACTTAAGATGTGAAAATTTTCATTTTTAAGTTTTGAAATTATGCAAACCTGAAATTTAAATTTCAGCTCGTAACAATAATTAAACATTAGATGGATCAATGATTTATTATAAATTTTTTAATCAATTTTCTTCGGGATCAACACAAAAAAAGTTCAAGATATTTTGATTTTTTATGTTTTCAAAAAAATATGATCTAGATCCTAAAATGTTGGATATGTTAATTCAAATCGGTGAATCTTATAATTTAGTATTATTAATATTACTTATTCAATAAAATTGATTGATTGATATGCATTGATTTTCTGTTACGATAAATTGAAAAAACAATAGCTGATCCAATAGTTGCTTCAGCTGCTGCAATAGTTGTAACAAAAACTTCCATTGAAAAGAAGCAAATGAAAGATTTTCATAAAAATTCTCGTAGAATCAAGAATGAAATTTTCATTCTATACATATCAAATCATAAATTAATAACTGCATCCAGTCTTCTAAAAAATTTCAATTATTTCGAACTTTTTATTTTTAAAATGAAATACTTACAGAATCCACATTCGTATATAAGTTATTATGTTAGCATCCTTACCCATGGTAAACTAAAATTATTGTTACTCACGAATTTTGATATAACCAACATGTTTTTTTTTTTTTTCACTTGGTAAAGTATACACGAGAGACACGATCTACCAATTAATCTGTCATTTAAATACTCTAATTTACATGCTATAACTTCTCATCTTATAATACCTCGGGAGTTAATGAAACTATTTTAGCGAAATTTAACTATCTTTACTCCCCGCACTAAAAATTCAAGTTCCCGTGACAATAGAATAAACAAATAAAATTAGACAATAATAATCTATATGTCCACCAAAAAAAAAAAAGAATTATAACAGATTCTATTTAATTCTAAAGGTCGTAGCCTACAAATTCTGCTGATTTCAGTTGCGCAAGAATTCTGTGAGATAAAACATAAGCAAATTTATGTTACTGTTTCCACTAGAAAAATTAAGCACAAAGACAAACGTTGACGAGACAAAGGAACTTAAAGGGGAAACAAAGTATAAATGAGAGTAATCAAATTCCGAAACTATGATCGGTGTGAATTGTTTCGTATATACTACAAAATACAAATATGCATGAAATCATCAGCTTCCCCTATAACAGCAGCCCAAAAATGCCTCTTCTAACAATAAAGAATATTACAAGACATATCACACACCTAGAACACAAAAATGGCATTATTCCAACTTTGATCTTCACTCCATCAGACTAAAGGAACATGAAAGGGGAAAAAAATTCAAGTAGTTGAAGCCTGAAGAAATGCCACTATTACAACTACGATGTTCTTTTCCTTGGAGCATCATGGATCCACTGAATAATAAAATCTTCAATCAAACCTGTTATGTGACTTAATAGCCGCCCATTGGTGGCATGCCGAAAGCCGGCATAGGAGGCATTCCCATTCCTCCCATGGGTGGTGGAGGTGCAAAACCTCCTCCCATACCCGGCATTGGTGGTGCAGGCAAGGCAAGAGGTAGTAACTGAGCATACATGTTCTGCAAGAGAAGGCATTTTAATGAGTTAGAACATCTTTGAACCTATATAAGATCTAGCTACTTCCAGCAGGGGTAGAGAATATAGTTTCAAGAAAACAGAGTGTAGTTTTGGCTTTTGAAGCTGTTATTACCTGTTGTGCAATCACTTCCTTCTCTTCCTGCTCTTTAGCCTTTACTTCAATTTGAGCCTCAATTTTGTCCTTGATAAGTTCATCAACTTTGCCGGTATATTCACGGATAAACTGGAAAAATACAGAGTCAAATAAGGTTCTAACACTATTTCTCCAAATTAAGAAAGATATTGAACCCAAAAATTCATGGTAAAGTGGGAAGGTGCACTAAAATCAATCATCCAAGCGTTGTAGCAAGCAGTATGAGATGGCAAAGCCTAGCTAATAAAACCCCAATTAAATGAAATGATGATACTGAAAGAAACAGCAAAGAAATCACCTGCAACAGATACGGGAATGCGAAGTCAATCATATTGTTAATCCAGGCTAGCTCAAGAGCAACATCTGGTCGAATCAAGTCATAGCAGACAAAGAGGCACGATGCAAAGCATTCCTTCTTGCCCTGTACAAAACAATAACCACCATTACTGTGACAATACCAGAAGAAAAACCACCATAGTGCAAAACCAAGCTTATCTTAAAAGCTTCAATTCCATGTCCCATACCTATAGTACAGTCATTAACTACTATGATTTTATACTTAAAAATGCACCCTCAAAGGACCAACTGGAAGAGAGCAAACTAACTGATTTAGATGTACTGGTTGACCAAGAAGGTATAATGCTTTATACCTCCAACAAGATAACCATCTCGCTATAAACAATTTATCAGTAGGCATATATATTTTTCTACATATTTAGGAATGAGTTGAGTACCTGTTCAATGAAGTAAACAAGCAACTCCTCGGCAAGTTCTCGGTCACCGGACTGTGAAGCTGTTTCCATTGCATCTTTGTAAAGGTTGTCTTTCTTTGACAAGGCAATAGATTGCTTCCATCTGCCTGCCTTTTTGTAAATGTATGCAGCAACACGCCTCATCTCAAGCAGCTCATGTTTCTCAATCTACTCAAGCAATTTGGAAACAATGTCAGAAACTGACCTAACATCAAACAAAAATGAAAGAACAACAGTACTTCACCTTTTGAGCAAGACCAATCTGATCAAAATTATCGTGCAAGTCAATAGATTCTCTCAATCTATCATAATCTTCTTCTTCTACATAAATCTCATTCAATGCCTCATTTACTGCTGACACATTGTTACTCTGAACAGCAACCATGTATGGCTTCACTAGACGCAGATGACCAGCCTGAAATTCCAGAAGGAAATAATTGTCAACCCAAAATGAATTAAAATAATACTAAAGCAAGTCAGTAGTTTTTGTTTTTGTTTTCCTTTTATTTTTTATTTTTTATTCTTTTTTGGTGAATAGCAAGTCAGAAGTATTTATTTCCATATTAGATCTGCCAAAATTGAACCTTTCTCATAATGTCAACAACACGAGTGTGATCCACACGAAGTGCAAGCACGTTCAGCATATCATTGATAAGATCAGGATGTTCTTGCAAGTAGAAGTGGACGGCCTTGTAATATAGCTCAACATTAGCAACTTTGACTGCAATATCTTTGAACTGCATATGATCCCATGCTTCAGGAGAGTGGTTCATCACAGTAGTTGCAGCATTATCAAACTCACCATATTGGATATATAAATAGGTAAGTTCCATCCAATGCTGCTGCTCATCACAAGCTCTTATCAGCTTGGGAATATTGAGACGTGTAGAGAACAATTTAATGTGCTCCATAAGCTTCTCTGGGCGATATCTGGCATACAAAACTCCCAACTCAGTAAAGATCCCCATGTGTGCACGTTCCAATCCTAAACCACTCTCCATGAGAGAGATCAACTCATTGAAGCATCCTCTATTCTGATAGTATTCACTTACTTCTTCCAAGTCATCCACCTACAAAATCAACGAACACAATGGTCAAAATCATGGACAAACAGTCTCCAACTGACAAACATGAGGAGAAGAAAAAGGGAACTGAATGTTCCAACATATCAACAACAAAACAGACAAACACGAGTAGAAGAAAAAGAGAACTGAATGTACAAAAATATCGATAACTTTGTTGTTCCCGAAAATTGTAATTCAACATGAAAGTAAACTCACCTGTACAATAATGTTAAGACCACATATCTGTGCCAATCGGAATTCCTCTGCATCAACACAAGCAAAGCAAACCTCCTTCCATGTCTTGGCACTGTTTGCTTTTCGGGCTGCATCAACAGCACCTTGGAATTGTTTAAGCCTCACCAGTGTAACAGACAACTTGGCCCAGTTGGATATAAATGCAAATATGATTTTTGCAGCTTCATATAGGGCTTCATCAAACAAGCGATCACCAACATTTTGAAGATTAGCAACATTTGGCATGAGAATGAATTCTTCAATTTCACCCAGTCTATCAATCTTTGCATAGGCATAAATGAGTTCACTGTCCACCTTGGGCTCCTTGACCTTCTGTCTAACCATCAGAAGGTACCTCACCAAATCAGGGTAGACATCAGCATCCTCAGAAGCTCGGATGACATCAAGGAACTGAGTAGCATCATCTGCACGAATAAATGATTCAATTGCATCGCTCACCAGCCCCTCCCTCAGTTGTGCCTTTGCCACCTGACTCCAAACAGCATCTTCTTCAACTCGGAATGCAAATTCCACGGCCCGATCGATGCTTCTAATATTATCCAATAAAACATTGACCGCCTGAACATTTAAGTTGAACTTTTTGAAAATTGCAAAAGCTTCTTCATATAGTTGGGCTTCCACGGCCACTTCTCCAACTGCAGGTCCATCAAAATTATCTAGCCTATTGATATAATCCATAACTCTAGATGGATCTGCCTTAATAGCTGTCAAAATAAGAAGATTTTGCAGATTGAAGTTCCCACTGAATGCAGAGTTTTGGAGCACAATCTTCTCAAGAAGCTCAATCAGTTCATGGGGCAGATCAGCTGTCATGAAAGCTTTAACAGCTGCAGAGACTTGTTCTGGACTCTTGCTTTCTGGCAAAGCAGTCGACACAACCTGATCGATTAGCTGTCTTCTATATTCATTTTCAGGATTTAGAACCTTCTCCCAAAGATCACCATCCATCCTCTCAACAACATACCTGTGATCAAAGGATGATGCACAGATAAGCCACTTTAAAACAAAGATCCAAAATACATTATTATAAATAAACCAAATAATTACATACCTGGCCTGCAATTTGAACAATGAGTTCTTATTTGTGACATTGATAAGTTCATCATCACATTGTCCTCTTCGGTAAGCCACAACTGCCAGGGTGGGATCACGCTTCTCACAGTACTTACCAACAACCCGGGAATCATAGTAAGGGTTGGTTGTGAGGAAGTGCTCTGGATTGTTATTGCTGTCAATAATAATTTTACCCAGAGCATTGTGGACATGCACATCTTGGCTTCCCTCACTTACAAGATGCTCCAAGAACTGTGTAAGTAAGCGAAGTCGATTTCTGGATACCACATGCTGAAAAATGAGAATCAAATAGTAACGACAAGAGGAAACGAGGACACAAGATGCAGAAAAAAAATCACCTCTTCTCACATTCATCCACAAGGGGCTCCACCGGAAGCAAAGAACGAACTGAGAGAATGAGACCCTTTATAAAATCTTCAGGGCATTCATCATCTAGCAACTGCCCCACTACCAAAGGAGCATTCCCTGGGTTCACCTATCGAAAGAAGCAAACAAGTTCTCAATTACTTGAGTGTAAATTAAATTGATGCAGTATGCCAGTAAACATATATAGCAGAGAATATCACGTACCTTCTGAACATAACCTTCAATGTAACGGAGCATGTTATTTGTGTAGAGGTAGTGAGTGAGATCAGGAACAAACCCAAATCGATCACAAACATTAATCAGAGGCCTAGCATCAGGAAGCTTGGCCTCCATCAGGAAGTTCTTCGTCTTTTCAGCATCATAAAAGTTTGATTCCCTGGTTACACGCTCAACCTCCTTTATTTGTCCAGTTTTAGCAGCTGCCTCAATGTACTTAAAGTGTATATCTGGGTCCTCACTGTCCCATAATTGGAAGTAAACATCTTAGTAAGTACCATATGAGATATTGCTATGCTGTGAGCAATCAAACAAATGAAGTTTCTTGTTTGCTAAATAGCTTACCTTGAGCTCAAATAAGAGCCCAAGAAAAAGTACAATCCTTCATATGACTTAAATTGCTCAAAAAGTTTTATGCAAGCTTCAACACCCAACTGCTCACAATACTCCTTGGCAACCTGCACCACAATCCAACACACAACTTAGTTGTTGGTGATTTACTAAACATTATTAGCATACCATTATATAACATCCTTTACCTGAACGATGATTTGAAGGTTGCCTCTTAGATTAACCAGCAGAAGGTCCTTCATGCACTCCAAAGCCCATTCTCGTGAGAGAGTACCAAAAAACTCAACAAGTGACTGAAAGCAGAAGTATCATTAAAAAATTGTCAGGAGATTCTACAGTCTCCATTTTACCAATAGATACAGATAGTGAACAACATGTACCTGCGGCTCAATAGCATGTGTATTCACAATGACACGTTTAATATCTGGCAACTCAGTGTAATGCTGCAGAAAATGTGTTACATTTAATTCAAGGAGATACTATTAATTCAGTGTAGAAAGTTACACATAATGCAACAAATATTAACTTTAAGAAGATAATTACCTGCAGAGCTCGCACGTAGAGACCAGCTTTCTCACAAAGTTGTGCAATTCGGGGACGATCATAGTGACTGAACATTCCATTTGCTAAAATGGCATCAGCAACATTTGGAAAAGTTACTAGATTGATTTCCAAGACCTGCATAAAAAAGAATGTTATTAAATTAAATATATCCTTTTCAAAAAAAAGAGAAAACCAAAATTAAATCAACTTAAGCAGCACATTAAAGAAACAACCTTTGTTTGTAGAAAAGCATGCTCTGGCAGATTTGGCTTCAAAACATCTAACAGAAATGCAGTAGCCTCCCGGATCAAGTTCCTCTGAAAACAAAAAGCAGATATCCAAAGAAAACAATCTCACATATTTTGTATAGAAAAATAATGTTATTTTCACAATCAATTCCAAAGCAGCAGACCTGAAGGAAAAGATCCGTAATGGTGTTGTAATCAACCGGACAACCACCCTCCATTTGAGACATCATCAATGCAAAATTAACAGCTCCCTGCAAGTACACAACAAGTGATAACTCATCTCCCTCTAAAAATTACACAGATCCAATCCCATCAAAAAGTCCATAATACTAACATCTATTGATTGGCAAACAATAAAAATGGCTTTTAATCTAATAAGAATATTCCTAAAAATTGACTTAAAAGGCTTTAATGAAGAGACTTAAACACATTTGAACACATTTATCAATTGCTCATATTATTCAACATGCTTCAGCACCTCAAACACTAAAGACTACAAAAAATAGAAACAAACCTGTGGATCTGTACGAAGAATTGTTTGCAGAAGGAACAAGTAATCAGGAGTGTACCCAACCTGAGGAAACAATTTAGTCATGAATAGTTGATGCATGAATTCACCAAAAAGTAAAGAACAACTAGGAGAAATAATTCCCCAACTTGATAGGACGTAAAAAGGGAGATCACACATCATCACACCAGAAAATGCCAATACAAAAAAAAATGCAGCAATCACCTGCTTTGAGTAAATCAAGATTTTGTCAAACTCTCTCCGTTCAGCAAAAGCTGCGACAACTTTTGGAGTTGCCCTAGCTTTAATATATATTTTCAGGGCAAGATCATTATCCACGGTCTATAACAAAAGCAAAGCAAAAATTAGAAAAAGGTGAAAAAAAAAAAACCCAAATCAGTCCCAAATTTTTGGAGTAGAAACTTAGATAAAATCAAATAAGATACTAATAGATTTCAATTCCAGTGGGTACAAATCAAACCTTCACAAGGTCTCCAAGTTCCTCACTACATTCCAATTTATCTTCAGCCAACCAATTCTCCAGAAGATTCTTCTTGTTTTGGTTTACCACAAGCCGAGATAATTCCAGTGACTCAAATACATTGAGCTTCCCTCTTGTTAAAAGTGTACCAAAGTACTGCAAAAGAGGCGGAGTCTGCCCAGCCTGCACAGGAACACTCTGCAACATTTGGGTAAAGGATTTTGCCTTAGATAAAATCAACACAAACACAAAAACAAGTATCCGCATGATTAAGAAAGAAAAATGAAACCTGAAACTTGGCAACCGTATCAGGTGTGCGAAGGATCCCTTGTGGAGACTCTGCAGCAAGCTCAGCAGCTTCTTTATACTTTGTTTGAGCAAACAATTCTTGAAAACGTTGGACAACCTGAGATATCCAAAATCACAGAGTCAATGTCCTAGCATACAGAAAGAACAAAGTCATCAAGAACAAGGATCTAAAAAAAATAACCAATAAATTTGATATTACTGTTAACAACATAGAGCATCAGACATTTCAAACACTAATTCTGAGCATGAAATACCAAATGAATGAACACAACCAAGAAGACAGCATGTCTTCAATCTCAGCATTGCAGCAAAATTGAAGAAATCCCACGATCCATGAAGAAAGTTACCACAAAGTATTCCTCCCAGTTAAAATAGATTATTCTTTTGGATATTATTGTCTGGCAACTAAATCTACAGTTGATAAATATCAGGCTTTTACTCCTCAATTACCATCCCAATGCAAAGATTCACAAACCATAGGAAATATACAAATCAATCCACTTACCAGATTCTCTGCACCAGGAAGGTTTCCTCTTTTAGCCAGATTGACAGCAAGCTCCAAATTGTTCAACTGAAACAGAAAACAACCAGAAGAAGTTGTAAGCCAGTATTTCACACCTTAGTGATACCAGAAAGCAAAACAAAAGGGCATAAAAACATACTTGACCACTAACAAATGGCACTATTGTTGATTCATTTACAGTAGCCAACAACACCTGACCTCGCCTGTTAATGGAATAAAACCCTCCCACAGCTGAAGCTTCAGAGGTTAAAAATATTGGGTCTGGACTGATTCTATTCCTGTATACAGCAGTCGCTGTCTCTAGATCATAAACAAACAGCAGCCCAAGCTTGGTGATGACGTAGATCAAACTATATTTGTGGGATATCTGCCAATTAACAGAAATTTGTCTTATTATTGGCATAACAATAAACAATTTACTAAAAAAATCAAAATTTAGGATATCATGCTACCTGCATTGCGACTGGAAAATCATCTTGAAAATCTGGTGGAAAGAAAAGATCCGCCTGTTTCTTTGAAAATGACGGCTTACCTGCCAACATATACCTTCTGTTAGAAGATTGGAAATATAATAGACTGAAGGACACACAACAGAATATTATAGCTACTAGGCAGATTTCAAGAAGAATGGTTAATTTATAGCCAATGCTTAAGCACGGCCCCATCAAAATTTCTAACTTAGAATAGTCTTGATCATAATTTAGAGCATTCAATAGATAAAATTATACGATTTCTGAGTTAAAACCACACAAGTATTCCATACTTTCTTATTGTACTTTTGATTATTGCACCACAGGAAGGGGCAATGGCAAGCTGTTTTATTTCTTTAATTTTATTTTTTCAGTTTTTGTATTTATTTAAAAAAAGACCATCAGTCCCCTTATTTATAACAAGGAGATAGCAAAAGTATAACAGACAGCATAGCAAGCTCACCTGGCTGGGCACCAAGCTCAATTACATGCAACTTTGATGTAATCTGGCCAGCATTAAAAGTCTTGGTGGCAAACGAAATAAGAATAGAAGGATTCTCATTTCCTGGAACCTGCTCAACACAAACAAGCATATGTGATAAAATGCAGTTTAGATCAGAGTCTATAATATCTAGTGAAATGGAGTAAAGTACAAGAAATCCCTTTACCTTAAATTGTGCAAATGAAGCAGCATGTGCTTCAAGAGCTTGACTACGCTGCTGATCAACAGAGAAAAGTTGCATGCTCCCCTTAACCAATTGTGGCCTCTAAAAGAGACAATACACATATATTAAAATCAGAACTGTGTCTGATTTCCTAAAGAGAGAATTTCAAGCTAATAATGATTATGCAAGGAACTATTCTAATAGTAGAGAGACAGAATGGGGAAAACGAAAAGGGGTATAGAGGCATGCAAATCCAAACTGACACCACAAGAAACAAAATAAATCACCTATAAGGGGTTAATAAGTTAATTCACAGAGTTCGCTTCAGCAGTTTGAACAATGGGTCACACAACAACCACACCAGCTGGAACAACTTCTTAGTCACAGTTAGTTTAGGGAAATATTTTGAATATATTACTTCAAGAGTTCTTTCTTTTGCCATACAACAAAATTAAATTTACATGTCAAAGTTTTCAAATTCCCAAAACTTAATACAAATGAAGCAACAACCTCTTTTTCACAGTAAAAAGTAATCACCTTTAGAAAGCATTAATAGGAAAATCACATACCTCAGGTGCACCAGGGGCAATTCCAATCAAAACTAGCCACTTCTCTGAGGGGTCACATTTATAGTTTATTATCTGATTGTTCACTAAATTAGCTGTTCTCTCAAACATCTTAACTGGCTCGGAATCACCTGGCAGGAGTAAGATGCAATGAAACACATAAGACCAAAGAAATTTATACAACAGATAAAAGTAGATTTTTTTAGAGCTGAACAAAGCACAGCTGCCTGTGATACTAGATAAGGTAACAGAAAAACAACTAACCTTCAATTGACCAATGATATACAGAGGTCTGTGTCACCAGGCCAAGCATTTTTGGGCTTATCCACTTCCAAAATACAACCTGAACATGAATCAAGAACAGTATGCCAAGCTCATGCAATCAAGTTCACTATAAAGGAAAAACAATGAATTTGAACAGGCAGATAGCTAATGATAATATGTAATGAAACATTAAAAGAAATAAAAAAAACAGGAGACAACAAATTTCACCTGTTCAGGCATCTGATGTGATTTCATTTTCGCTTTCATCTCTATGTTAAATATTTGCAAGTGATCTTGAGTTGTTCCCGGTAGTTGAGCTACAAAAGCGATGTCAAAGTCCATGAGCATAAAGCAAAGATAGATAACAAAAACTAAAGGAGACATAAAATTAATACTAAAGATATTGAATTTCCTTCTCCAATAACTACTTTCATAACAGGAATGCCAAGCACTCAATGACTTGCATTTCAAACAATTTTTTTTGTCTTATTGGACACAAATTGAAGCAAATTCTGCTATAAAAAGAAATTAAAAAGCACTCAGCAGTGCTGACAAACAGTTCCTGCAAACTAAACAAACAGATGTGCAAATACACCCAATCAATCTGTCATAAAACAGCAGAGCAGAAATAAGTAATATAAACACTGTAGTCCACACACACTATAATGCTGGAACAAGGCCCTTCCAGTTAGCAGGTATCACATTCATTTGTTCATTTTAGACAGCAAAAAGCAAGTAGCAAACCAACAACCAAAAGGAGCCTAAGCATCAATTCGAACAAGAATCTTCTGCACAAGTATAAGAAAAACTCTCATACTCGATTACATTCTTGATCAGCCGAAGTCTAACCTAACAACAATATTAAAAAAAATAAAGAGTTCAACACTATGACCGAATATGAGCTCTACGGACTATACAAAACACGTGAATTAAATATATAATCCTCTAATCAATGACAAATTGCTAAATAATCACAATCAATTTCGACACAATTCACGTGATCTAATAAAAATAACTAACTGCTGGTAGCTATAGAAACTGACCTTTCAAAGCAAGGATCCTAGAATTCGGATTCATAAGAGCGGAATCTGCTGTAATAGGCCGTCTCAGCGGCTGCATCGGCATGTTCATGTCGATGATCACAACACCATTTTGAGGCGCCGTTTCTCTCACACAAATATACTTATCAGATTCCATAGTTACGTTCGTGAAGGTGATAAATTGAGGATTGATGCCAATGCTCGGCAACTGCAAAGAAACAACACCGTTCAGATCACTCAAAATTCACTATTCTGAAACGCATAGTTCCAAACAGATCTAAGCAGATGTTACAGATATTAGATCTGATAAGGCCTATGAAGTATTAGATTAAGCTTAATAACCGATTATTAGGTATAGTTCAGATGAATTTTCTATATAAACCGATTGAATCGAAGCGAGAACCGAGAGGAAAAAGAGTGAAAGGAGAAGACTTACAGTTAAGACCTCCTTCATGCCGATGGGAGCGTTCGCGGCCGCCATGGTGACTCAGATCGACGGAAGAGGATTCACAAATCAGGAGCAGATCTAACGGCTGAGATTGAATCTTTCAACTATGAGTCAAAACGAATCACTGAGAAAGAGACACGAAAAACCTCGGCTAACAGATCTGAAATTTTGGAGAAGTGAAAAGAAGAGAAGCTGAGGAGAGATCCAATCTAAGGCACTGGAGAAAATAAAACAAGAAAAAGAAAAAAAAATACAAGAAAGAGGAAAGGACGTGTAAATAATGTGCCTGAGAGTGGCGTGCTCATTTGCTGGCTCTTGGTTTTTATATAGCGCCGAACCGCGAATTAATTATTATTTTGATTATTTTGTAATTATTTACATTATCAAGTATTTTTATTTTGGTTTTGCACTTGAAATTATATTTTCTACTTCAATACGAGTGAGCTTTGAACAAAAATTAAGAGAATCAAAATGTTGTCCACCTTGGAATGGTCTCCCAATCTATACGCTAACATGGAACTAATTGTTTAATAAAATTAATAATTTATATATTTATTTTATATTTTATATAAAAATTATATATTATAATTTATATAGATATAAAAATATAAAAAAGTTATTTTTTATTTTATTAAATTAATATATAATAATTATTAAAATTTTAAATTATATTATTTTTATATTTTATTTTTATGTCATATTTATACCATACTTTAAATTATTAAACATACTGTGTGATTTTCCATGAGATGGGACGCTTTAGGAAAAAAAATCAAATATGAGATAATTGGGAGATATTTGGAACTGCATACTTTGTTTGTTTATTCCATCCTTAATAATCTTTTGTCATTTTCGTTTACTTGTACCAAGCGAAAGCCGAGAGGGATCTGGAGCCTACCTTTCGTTTAGTCCAAATCCTTGACATTTCCACCAAAAAAAAAAAAAAGTCCTTCGACATTAATTTTATCATGAAAAGGAAAGGCCCATGAAGATGCTGGTTTGTAAAAAGTAGCCCAAAACCGACTTGTTTGGGGAACATTTGGGTTGAGCATAGGTCAAGCGATGTTTCATCGCTCGGACCAGCCAGAGCCCAAACCTAACTGGTGCTTGGTTTGATTAGTGGAACCAATTAATCGTATATTGTATAAAATATTAAAATTTATATATTTATATTATATTTTATACTAAATTATATATCATAATTTATATCATGAAAACATAAAATATATTTTTTTATTTTAATAAATTCATACATAATTATTATTAAAATAAAATTTTTTATTATATCATTTTTATATATTTTATTCACATTGTGTTAATGTCATTTCTGAACTATAAGAAGAAATACTCCAAATTCATTTTAAAAGCAGCTAAATTGCATTTTTAACAGACAAAGGAGAGGCAAACATGAATTAATTTAATTGCATCATTACTAAAATAAAGAGGATTAAGAGAAATCGTTAATCCATTATAGGAGAAGTGCCAAGCCAGCTGCCAAACGTGACCCATTTAGTCTAACAACAATTCAGAAGCCATTTCTTGACTTTGGAACAATTGAATGCTGAGTTCCTAACCCCATAAAAAGGTGTAAAAGCTAGTCAAAATGTAAACTTGTAGGGTTGACCATGGTAACTGCTACAACTGCTCCTACTCTGTCTTCAAGAACTAGTATCATATCTATTTGAGGATCTCTGATCAGTCAATACCATCCATCTTCTGATGAGGCAATCGCAAACCGTCTTCGCGATACCATGGTGGTGGGAAGCCATTGGAGACCTCAATCATAAGCTACTTGAGATCATGAGATAACACATCCGCATGGGGGCATGATCACAGTCTGATGATCTGCAAGAAAAGTTTGGCATCCCAGCCAATATTGCAGCCATTCAATGCACCCTGTCACTACCATAACCAACTGCAGCATTCTACTGTCCCTGGTCTAAGTGGTCTTCTAGCTCAATAGCTGCAAGTTTCTGATTCAAAATGGAAGACTTGAAGGAGGAGCAAAAGCTTTCTCCGATCCTTTCTAAACAAGTCTTACCCTAGACGAGTCCAGAAACAAAACATTGTAGCTGAATTATCATCACACTAATATCATCAAACGAGCCTCTCCATGATGACAATTCAGCAAGCTTTTTGCAAGCAGAAAATGGCTTAGGTTTATCCACACCATCGCAGAAAGGCCGAACCAAATCTACTGCCTCTTGATTAGTAACCTGAAAGGCAAGAAAAAAAGTTCAATTTGACATCATAACCACGGATTTAAAATGCGGTCACACCGCATTTTCGGTCACATCGCTCGCATTTACCATGGTTACAGATATAACGGATAAAATAACGATAGTCACATCCTGATCGTGAATTTTTTTTATATTTTCACAATTTATCATAAAATAGTTTGATATAATAATATTTATTTATGATATTTTAATCTTACATTTATAGGCTAATAATTTTTTCACATATTTTAGCTATAACTCAGAATCAATATGCTATAAAATTTATAGATATATCGAAGAAAAACACAAATAATGGTTTTAGCATCCCATCATGACCGCAATTTTCTGTTTTACCGTATTTGCGGATGTAATACATCCCTATTTGTGTATACGATGATTCAAACCTTCATTGCAGTGAGTAATAATGACAGAGGGCAGCGCTACCGCTAAATGGGGGCTGCTACACCGCACAGCAGATGCTATTTAAATCCATGACCATAACAACTCAAAAAGGATTAAAAGAACAACTTCAGTCTAAAATATACCTTATTCCAAAGACCATCGGATGCCAGGATCAAAAACTCACACTCAGGCATAATTTTTAACCTTTTCGTCTCAGGTTCTGCAATTACCCATTGTTTAAGATGTTTATCACCAATTGCTCTTGATACAGCAAGAGAACCTTGAATTCTCCAAACACCATGGCAACAATCCACATAACCACCCTACAAATTAAACACCAAAACACAACACTTTCACATTATCAATTTTCGTCTCTAAAATTTTCATTGAATTAAAAGGTCAAATTATGCAATTAGTCCATATACTTATATAAAATTAAACTTTAATCCATACATAATAATTTGCAGAAATTAAGTCCCATACTAGTTTAATTTATCATTATTGGCCCAATTAATAACAGTGTTACTGTGTACACAGATAAGTATCGTCACCTAATCAAGTAACACTGTTATCAAACTAACATTGCTAAATTAAACTAGTATGATATAGGGACTAAAGTTCAAGTTTCATATATAATTTGACCGAATTAAAATTGAACTAAAGAAAATGTTTGATTACCAAAGCTTCAATTCTGTCTCTCTCATCCTTCCTTGAAGGCTGGTGATCAGAAGTCAAAGCTTCTGCTACCCCATTTCGGCTCAGAACAGCACGACAATCACCGGCATTTGATACAACAAGATCACCTTTATGAATCATTGCAGTGACACAGCAAGCACCACCACCCAGATCTTGCTTTAGAAAATCCATGTCTGTGGTTACGTATGCGTCCCTAATTGCTTCTTCAATGGCATCCCCACATCTTTTTGATAGCTCCTCCATTGCCTTCTTATCTAAGTGCTTTGCCGCGAATTCAGCAGCCTTTGAACCCCCATGGCCATCAAAAACACCAAAGAAAGCCTGCAAAAAATCAAAGGCATCTTTTGAAATTGTTTCTAAAAAACAAATTTTAGAACTTTAGTTTTTAAAAAAATTAAAAAAATTTGAAAACCTGTTTGGGATCTCCGTTAAGATCAATAACGGCAGAGTAACAGTCTTCCATTGTCCCCCTTCGACCTCTCTTACAATAAACGGAATATCCTTCCCCTTCCACCTGCACCTCCTCCTCTCCTCGCGGCGTCTCCGCCGCGAACCCCAGCTTGACCGCCATTGGGCTCGGTATTTCTATCCTCGTTGGCCTCTTCCTCTTCACCACCGAACGCACCGTATCGACTCCCGAAGAAAGCTGTTGCTTTGGGACGCAAAGGGACAACGGAGATTTCAATGATGATGATGACGGCGACGGCGGTGTCTTAACTAAGGTGGGTGACAGTGGAATTGGTGATTTGGGAGAGGATAAAGGAAGAGATGACGTCGACGGAGATGGAGGCGCTTGAGAGCCGTTGATGCGTGGAGATGAGGAGAAAGATGAACCGTCCGATTTGCAGAAAATCGAAGAGACTTTTTTGGGTGAGAAAATGGGAGAAGTTGGAACCATTAGAGGCCAAGGCATGTCCTTTTTCGTCTTTTTGCGTAGCTAAAGGAACGAAGAAATCGCCGACACGAGGCCAAGCTAACCGAAAACGAAATCGAGAAAAAGCTTTCTACTTTTATAGACACTTGAGAAGACGAATGCTACGGAGCCGTTTTGTGGTCGGTTTTTCAGGATAGAGTTTGGAGTTTGACTAAGTTGAATTCTGGATAAAGGTAGATAATTCAAGCGCCCTTTCTTCTCTGGCACGTGGGGTCAATTTCCCGCTTTGTGAGGAAAGGCCAATGGCGAGGTTAAATTATTATTAATGATATTTTAAAAAGTTTTTGGATTTTATATTTAAAATAATTATCTAATTCATGATTTGTAAAATTTAAAAAAATTATTGATGATGTACAAAAAATAAGTTTTTAATTATTATATTAGTTTATCAAATTTAAACATAGTTAATAAGAGTTATGATAATTTCTTATTTTCGCTAATAATATCTGAAATAATAATACTTATTTATTTATTCCACATTTTTCTTCCATATTTACAATAGCTTTATCTAAATAATAAATTTGATAGTAGAAAATATTAAATAATTAATATAAAAAAATATTTATCATTGTCAACCAATAAAATTTTAAAAAATTGTTAAATTTATTTTTTATTGAACTGTAAAAGTTTTTTCACCAGTACATCTTTTTTTCGGGTAGATCTAATTGTCAAATTTATTATTAATTTATTCTTTGGCGTTCTTTTTAAATAAAAAATTATTAAGGAGTTTTATTTTTAAAAAATATATTATTTATAATTATTGTATTGCAAATAATAAATAATAATATAGTATTGTATAAATTTCATAAAAATTTGATATAAAACTCATGGATATATTTTTATATAATTTTTTATTATAATTAATTACAGTTTTATAACAAAAAATTATGAATAAAATATTTTATTTTTTTAATGATTTCAACTAGGTTGCCAATGTTACACGCTCTGTACGAAGAGTGGACAAGCTGGTTTTTAAAATGTTTTTGACTTTTTGTGCTTATTTCATTTGCTGCCGTTTAGGATTTCGTCAATTAACCAAAAAAAATCAAATCAGCAAAAACAATTTGGGAACAAGGCGAAAAAAAATAGCATAATTCTGTGGTCAACACACATTAACCAATTCCCCTGGGCTTAATTGGAGACCTGGTCTTTTCTACTGACTATTAATTTTCTTTGAACAAATTTTTTTTATTCAGTTTTTTAGATTCCTAATTGGTATCTGGTTACAGTTGGTGCCAGTCATTGGTCAAAAAATTTAGCTGTGCAAAGGAGAAAATTAACACAAATTTCTTCAATTCCCCCCTCAGCTATGCCTAAGAGCCAGGAAAATCTGGGACAGTTTTGGTTTAATCTAAAAATTAAAATAAAAGTTAAATGAAAATTATTGGCTTCATAAAATAAAAGTAAAATCGGCTTGAAAAATCCATAGAAATTAATGTAAATAGTTAAGGTTTAGAATCTGTATGTAAAGTATTTAAGTTTGAATTCTCATCATTTTTTGTAAATAGATTATTTGTAAATATAAAAAGTTTTAAAAATTTTGTAATTTTTTAGGATAAAAAAATGGGCCGGAAAATGTCATCAAATTCATGCTTTTAATGACAAGTAACTAAGAGCATTTTTTTATAAATAAAGATATTTTTATTATTCAAAGGAAAAAAAAAATTGCTACAAAGAGAAAGAATAAAGTTTGTTAAAACAAAATAAAGAAAATTAAAGAACAAAATAAATGTGCACAAATAAAAAAGAAATTTTCATGAAAAACAATGTTAAATTGATTATGAGTTGGAAGTATTTTAAGTATAATTTTTTATTGTAATTTTAGAATATTTTTTAATATTATAAAAGAAAGAGAAATATGTTAGCTTGAGAATTGAAAGTCAATTTAAATAGACAATAAGATTAGTTTTAATAAAATTAAAAATAACAATAATAATAATTATTATTATTATTAAAAAATTATAAAAAATTTATATTAAATAAATTTTATTTAAATTAATATTTAAATACAATTAATAATACGATAAATTTAATTACCATACAATGGAATTCAAACCCTCCGTTAAAATTGCGAAGGATATGCCAATTAGAAGATAAGTTGTCGATTAAAATTCAAAATTCCAATCAGTAGATGGTCCGAGCATCTTGAGCCGTTCCATTGGGCGTTTGATTTAGTAAATCTACTGACTTTCATAAGTTTTGAAAGCTGGCTCTTTCCATATGAAATTTGCACTTATACTCAATTTAAAAAAAAAAAAAAAAAACCTTGTTGTGGTCGTTGTCGGTCGACATTAGATACAACTTATAGAAAGGCAATTATAAATTTGGTCAAAGCTGGCTGTTTCCATATGAAATTTGCACTTATACTCAATTTAAAAAAAAAAAAAAACCTTGTTGTGTTCGTTGTCGGTCGACATTAGATACAACTTATAGAAAGGCAATTATAAATCTGGTCAAACAAAACGGCAAATTTATGCATTTACCAGATTTGAAGAAAAAAGGATCATAGAATATTCAAATAAATGAAAAAATTAATAATAAAATTGGTCAATTGAATATGAGACATAGTTAGAATGCGACAATAGAAAATAAGTAAAATTGTTGCAGATTCGGTGTGTGAAACATGGAAACTTAAGTTTGAAATATTAGAATAGATTGTAAACATTATGACAAGTAATTCATATTATAACTAGTAATTTTATTATTAAATAGTTTTAAATTTTAAAATCTATTTGTAAAGTATTTAAATTTAAACTCTCTCAATCTCTTATTAATAGATGATTTATAAATTAAAAAAATTTAATTTCACTTGTGGATCGATGGTTTACTCGTTATCCTATCTTTTAACTTTTTCAGATAAAAAAATAAGCCCAAAAATGTCATCAAATTCATGCTTTAATGACAAGTAACTAAGAGCATTTTTTTTTTTATAAATAAAGATGTTTTTATTATTCAAAGGAAAAAAATATTTGCTACAAAGAGAAAGAATAAAGTTTGTTAAAACAAAATAGAGAAAATTCAAGAAAAAAATAAATATGTACAAAGAAAAAAAGGAAATTTTCATGGAAAACAATGTGTAAATTGATTATGAGTTGGAAGTATGTTATGTATACATTTTTACTATAATTTTATAATTTTAGAATATTATAAAAGAAAGAGAAACATGTTAGCTTGAGAATTAAAGGTCAATTTGAATAGACAATAAAATTAGTTTTTGTGAGATTAAAAAAATAATAAAAGTTATTATAATTATGATGAAAAAAATTTATAAAAAAATTTATACTAAATAAATTTTGTTAAAATTGATATTTAAATTCAATTAATAATATAATAAATTTAATTGTGATACACTAAAATTCAAACCTCCCTAAAATTGCGAAGAATATGCCAATTAGATGAGTAGTTGTTCATTCAAATTCAAAATTCCAATCACTAGATGGTCCGAGCATCTTGAACTGTTCCATTGGACATTTTATTTAGTAAATCTACTGACTTTTACAATTTTTGAAAGCTGGCTGTTTCCATATTAAATTTGCACTTACACTAAAAAAAATAAAACCTTATTGCGGCCGTTGTCGGTCGACATTAGATACAATTTATAGAAAGACAATTATTCTAAATTTGGTCCAACAAAACTGGCTAATTTATGCATTTACCAAATTTGAAGAAAAAAGAATCATAGAATATTCAAATAAATGAAAAAAATTAAAATACAAGTGGTCAATCGAATATAAGACATAGTTAGAATGTGATAATAGAAAATAAGCGAAATTGTTGCAGATTCGACGTGTGAAACATAAAAATTTAATGTTTAATATTAGATCAGATTATAAATTTATGACGAGTAATTTAATTTTTAAATAAATTTAACGAGAAAGTTTATTCTTTCTATGGACAACTAATTTATTATGGAAAAATTTTAGACATCACTTTCAAATTGTGCCATGTATTCTTTATCTCACATGTAAGCAATATTTTAATTAATTTCAACACACAATTATTCAACATCTTTTCTTCATGCAAAGATTGATCAAATATTAGTTGCTTACTATTAGTTTTCCTTGCCGTAACGGGACCTTATGAGAAGCATTCCATTTTCCATATTCTTTAATTTGATATCATTTGTTGGTCGGCTCGATTTTCTTGTTCTTTGGTTAAATCAGTCAATAAATTTTAAAAAATTAAAAATCAAAAATTAATTTAAAATTATAATACTTATTTGAATTAAACCTATTTTTAATTTAAATTAAATTCGAATATCGAATTTATATATTAAATTTAGATTAAATTTTAAATCAAAAATAAATAAATCATTTAAAATCTAATTATATAATTTTTATTAATTTTTATAAAATAAGAATAATTATTTTATTAGTAAAAAATACTTGCGTCATTCTATTATCCGACGGTGAGGTTTGTGCGTCACAACCTGTTTCCTGAACTCGCCAGACAACCCACTACGTGGCAACGACATTGGAAACGATAGCCTGTGAACCGATCACTTCATACGGATTAACCCTTTATATATATTTCCCGTCGTGGCTCCGGCATCCCCATCGCACCAATATCATAAGAAACCATGACTTCCCACCAGCAAAGAGAGGAGCTTGATCGCAGGGCTAGTCAAGGAGAGACCGTTGTCCCTGGCGGAACCGGTTGCAAAAGCCTTGAAGCTCAAGAACACCTAGCTGAAGGTAATTAAAATTTTTGTATGAAGCTTTTTGAATACTATATATAAAAACTTGTCACGTGGCCGGCGTTTAGGGAGGAGCCGGGGAGGGCAGACGAGGACGGAACAGATAGGAACGTAAGGGTACCAAGAAATGGGCCGTAAAGGTGGACTGAGCACCAATGATAAGTCCGGCGGGGAACATGCCGTGGAAGAAGGGATTCCGATCGATGCGAACAAGTTCAAGACAAGGCAGAGGATATAACATTCCAACCCTGTTGGTGGGTCGAGCTTATCTTTAGGCTAGACCTAACTGTGCTTTAAAGATGACATCATGATACTATATAATAAATACAATAAAAATAAAAAAGACAAATGTGATATTTTTAAAAAAATTAACAATAATTATATAAATTATAATAAAATTAAAAAAATTTATTTTTTTGTGTTAATAATGATTATGCATTATATAATTGTAAAATATAATATAAATATATAAATTTTAATATTTTATATGATATATTTTTTATCTGTTTCAAGGTGTTGAAAGCTCATTTTTTTTTTCTTTTTAGATCCTCTTAGTTTGTTTTTGATGTATCAAATTAATATGTACTAATTTGTTGGCAAAAAAAAAGTCGAAAATTTTGAATATTTTCTTTTTGGTACGTACGTAATCAATTATTTTAAAATAATTACTTATATAGTAAATATTGCAAATAAAAGTACTTTTAATAAATAAAAAGAATATTATAGATGTGAGTTTATATAGACTAAAGGATAATAACTGGTAATTAGAATGATAAATCATGTTGTTTTGGAGACATTATCTCCAAAAAAAAAAATTGGTGGTTGCATTTTAATTTAAAGATCAGTAAAGGAGAAAGGGAATATTTAGGAAAAGAATTCAAAGTTAATTCTTTGATTGAATAATAAAATGGATAATATTTAAATAAGTTTTTTAATTTTACTTAAAAATAAAAATAAAAATGTAGTTTATTGTATGAAAATTTTATTTTATTATAAATAAAAAAATTATAACTATAAAATGTTTAATTTTTTGTTAAAATCTTTTTTATTCTAATGATTTTAATTTATAGAAAACTTTTATTTAAATTTATTTAGATGAATTAGATTATCAATATTTGAGGGAATATTATTTTAAACATTTTGCTTTATTCATAATTTTCAAGATTTAAAGGATTATAATAAAATAAAAATTTTAATTATAATTAATACATACAAAGATTTATTTGAATATTATTTCATAATAAAATATAAGTTTTCTTGTTAAAATTTTATTTTATTATAAATAAAAAAATTATAACTATAAAAGTTTAATTTTTTGTTAAAATCTTTTTTATTCTAATGATTTTAATTTATAGAAAACTTTTATTTAAATTTATTTAGATGAATTAGATTATCAATATTTGAGGGAATATTATTTTAAACATTTTGCTTTATTCATAATTTTCAAGATTTAATGGATTATAATAAAATAAAAATTATAATTATAATTAATACATACAAAGATTTAATTGAATATTATTTCATAATAAAATATAAGTTTTATTGTTAAAATAACAAATTTAAATTTTATTTATAATCATATTTTTATATATCAACGTATTTAAGTATTAAGCCTGATTTTATTTGTAACAATGATATATTACATACCAATGAGAGTATTTATTTATAAAAAATTGTTTAAATATTCCAAAGTAAAATATAAGTTTTATTATTAAAATAAAAAATTTGAATCTCCCTCTGAATTATAATAAAAAAAATGTATTACAGGAGAAACCAATGGTTTCTTGATTTTTTTTATCACTTTTTTTTTAAGGTTATTGTTTAAGAGAAATAAAAAAAAAAAACTTTATAAATATTAGAAATTGAAATCCTACGTAAGTGAATGAATCATTTAACATAATTACCTTTTAGTTTTGCATAAATTTGACAATTTTTCTTATGCTTTTAAAAAATTCCTAATTACAAATTGGAATGCCATCTTCTCATTGATAGAAACTACTGCAATTGGAGTCTTAAAAAGGAAATTTTTTGGCCAAAAACAACAAGAACTTCTATTTATAATGAAGATTGAATAATTAATCAAGGGGCTTAAAAGAAGGGTTTAAATTTGAAGCTTTACATATTATCAGTGAATTAATAATATTTTATTAATAAAATAAATCAAATGATATTATTTCATTAATTAATAAATTTTTAAAAAATATTATTTTTTATTTATTTTAAAATTTTAATAATACGATAACATCTTTTGATTGAATATATATAAAAAGATTAAATATAAAAATGATCCTTGTGTTTTTTTTATTAATTTAATATTTTAAAAAATAAATTATCAGTTTAATATTCAAATTTTTATTTATCATATTGAGATTAATTTTATCAATCAATTTATTGATATAATATAAAAATTTAATAACATATTAACACATATTAAAAATTTTTAATTAACACTACATCCTTAATTATTAGATCAGCATTAAAAGAATTTTTCTAAAAAAAAAACTTTAAAAAATATAAAATTTAAATACCGACAATCTATCTAATATAAACTCTCCAAACTCTTGAAAAAATACTGTAATGAACAAATACGAGCACATGCAAAAGACTCGTGTCGTTCTAGTTGTCCCATCCCACCTTCGTGGCATAAAATCCACTTCCCTTTCTGCCACGTAGCCTAGCAGGCGTCATTTAAAGTGACAGCCCGTCATTCTGTACTCCCATTATAAAATTCTCACCCCATCTCACCACTGAATAGGGACGGTAATCAAATCCGTTTCCGACGAGTTTTGGTCCGACCCGATTTTATAGGATCGAATTTTTTTTTTAATTTTGAATTTCGGATTGGATCGAATAAATTTAAGTAGTAATCGAGGTCGAGTTGATTCGGGTATGCCTAAAATTCGACCCGATATTATTAAAAAAATATTTTTTAAATAATTAATTAATTATTTATATATATATTTATATAATGATATTTTTAAATATTTATATTTTAAAAATAATATTTTATATTTTAAAAAATAATATTTTATTAATTTCGGGTCGAGTCGGATTGGGTACGATTTACATATTGTCGGGAGTCGGGATCGGGGGTCGAATATTAAAATAATTCGGGTCGGATCGGAGTCGAGTTTGATGAGCAAAAAAATCGGGTCGGGTTCAGGGCGAGCAAAACCCGCCCCGATCCCGACCCGATGCCATCCTTACCACTGACCATACCGTTTCAATCGTGCACGACTAGCAAAAGCATTTGTCTGTCAAAAAAGCTTGGAATAATTCAAGAAAAAAAAATGGCATCAAAGCAACACCAGCCAGAGCTTGAAGCCATAAAAAAACGCCCCAGAAGAGGAAAAAGCTGAGCTTGATGCCAGGGCCAGGCAAGGAGAGACAATGGTTCCTGGTGGAACTCGTGGCAAAAGATTGGAAGCCCAGATACACTTAGCTGAAGGAAATAATAACAACAGTAATCAGTTTTCCTTTCGAAGTAGTAGCGTTTTGATTATCCATCTCTTCTTTTTTTGCTATGAAGGGAGGCACGAAGGAGGGGAGACAAGGAAGCAGCAGATGGGGAAAGAAGGGCACCAGGAAATGGGCCGCAAAGGTGGTCTCAGCAACAATGATAAGCCTGGTGGAGAAGGTGCTGCTGAAGAGGGGATTCCCATTGATGAGTCCAAGTTCAGGACCAAAAGCTGATGTACCTAGTCATCGGTAGGAAACTTATCTTTTAATAATGATCAATGAAAATGTTTATTTCACTGTTTCTTTTGTAGTTTTTCAAGTCACAACAGAACCAGTTGATATGTAAAAACCGGCTGTGTCGACCAGTGTGTTTTCTCTTTAATTATTGCTGTGTGCTTTGTATTAATGGATATGCATGTGTAGTAATGACTAAATGAGTACGTACAGTAATTACCTTTCTTTTCCTTTGTTAATTTCGAGTAGGGCTATAAATAAATTAACGTTTGTAATTTGTTCGATTATTTTTAGAAGCGTTTGAATTCAATTTATGTTTGTAACGACACCTTTTTATTCGATTTAATAAATAAATTATAATTAAATAAATTTTTTGCAAATATAAACGAATTCAAATGAAAAAGCGATTGGATCAATCTAGCAACAATAACCTAGTGATGGTAATATAACAGCATGCCCCATTTTCATGAAAGTTCGTATAACAATGATAAAATTTTTTTAAATATAGTTTCTACTAGTTAATCTACCGTAGGTAGAAGAAGTTATATAAAAGTTTAAACTTGTCCAAATTTTTTTTTTTATATATATTAAAAGAAATCATATTTTTTTTCCTATTTACACTACTTATATCAATTGTAGTTAAAATTTCTTTCTAGGGCAAAAGAAAATATAGTGTTTGGTGAGATTTGGTTTTGGTTTATATAATTATTAGTATTAGATAGTAAATGATATCCAACAGATTTGGTCCTAATTTTTTTTTTTAATTTCGTTAACATTTATAGTTTAAATTCTGAATTAAAGATGATCTTTTAGGCCTTTTAGCACAAGTCCTGAAATCTGGTCGGACAACACATCTATTCATGTCATAGCATTTATAATATTTCAATCGGACAACACATATATTCGTGTCATAACATTTATAATATTTCAATACAAAATATATTTTGTCATTAAATTTATATATAATAATTATTAAAATTTTTAAAAATAATATTTAATAATTTTTAATTTTTAATTTCATTAACAATTATGGTGTAAATTATGAATTTTTAATGCAGGTAGAGATGGTGGTTCAATCATACCAGGTGAATTTCGATAAGACTCAATTTCATGGGGTTTTTTTTTTTTTTTTTAATTAGGTTTTGGATAGGGTTGAGTAATGATGCAAAAAAGTTAGGGTTGAGTTATGATCGAGTTTTAAACATATCTGTCATGTTTCAATCTAGTATATGTTTTAAAAATTATTTTTTAAATTATTTATTTGATTATATATATTATATATATTTAATTTTATATTTATATTAAAAAAATATTTTATTAATTTCAAATCATATCAAATATTATTTATAAAATATCGGATCGGATATAAAAAAAATTGTCAAATTAAATTATTGTAATATGAATATAAAATAGAGTCAAGTTCAGGGCGAGCAAAAACTCATCCCAACTTGATTTATTGTCATCCCTAAATACAAATCTTGAATTTTGATCAAACAACATTTATATATTCGTGTCATAACATTTATAACTGATAATATTTTAAATTATTTTAATATAAAAATATGAAATATATATTTTTATTAAATTTATATATAATAATTATTAAAATTTTAAATCGTATTATTTTTATTTTTATTATATTTGTACTTATCATTATGTCATGATTTATTAAAATTTTAAAGTTACCAAAAAAATTTTAAATTGTTATTTATATATTTTTTAATTATATCATGATATATTAAATTTTGAATTGTACTATTTTTATATATTTTTAATCATATTAGTATATTTTTTTATTATTTTTTTAAGTTTATATTAAAAAATAAAGATATCTGCATCAATCGCAGTGTAATTTTTCTCCCAATTAAAGTTGGCAGCTCAATTCAAGTCCGATGGATTTTGACCCAATCCAATTTTATAGAGTTGATTTTTTTTTTAAATAAGGTTTTAGATTGGGTATTATTAAAAAAAAATCAGGGTCGGGTCGTATTTGGGTTTTAAGCAAATCTGACTCGATATTATATTTAAAAGTTTTTTAATTATTTTTTAAAATTTTTATTTATATATAATTATATATTTATATTTTAAAAAATATTTTATTAATTTCGGATCGGATCAAATCGAATATTGTTTATCAATATCAGATTAAGTCAAGTTTGAATATTAAAAAATAAAAATTTTTTTGAATTAAATCAAATTCAAATTTTATGATTACAAAATCGAATTAGATTCGAAACGAACAAAAACTCATCCCGCCCAACTCGTTGCCAACCTTACTCCCATCCATGGATAATAGCATTCCAAGCATTCATTGGTTTTTTATTCTTGTTTATTTTTGTTGCTTTAAGTTTCTGATCGAGGAATAAAGATGTCTTTTTCTTCTACTGCGCCAGCGCAGGATTGTTCTGCTCCCAACCAAGGATAACAGCATTCCTAGCATCCAAACGGAAGAATCTCTAGGGTTTAGCTTTGGACTGGAAAAAACAAAAAAGAGCGGGAGATACATTCTTAAATTCCCATTGAAAAAGCAATGCGAACTTATTTCAGTTTCCACTTTTCACTCACTCAACTGAAACTACTAATTGTCTCATCGACTCAACTCACTCCTCAAAAGATGTCCATCGGGGTTCGCCAACTCACCGTACTCGGCGAGTTCAAGCCGTTTGGATTAATCGCCGAGGCACTAGATGGAAAACCGCCAGACAATTCCACTGATAATTACGATTATTTCCTCTTCGATCCAGAAATCGCGAGACAACGAGATGACAACTTCTGTAATGACGCCTCGGTTGCCGCTCTCAGTGACCGCCGCGATCACGAGCTCTTCATTCGAGGCAACCGGTAAATAATTTCACCTTGCATTTATTTTACAAGATTGAAGCAATCAAGTTTTGAATTAAAGTAATCAATTCGACTCCTTTTCCTTTAAATTCTTGTAAGTTTGAACTTAGCGATAACAATTATCTAAATTTGCCTGCAACAGTATAATTTGGAGCATTGGTTCCAGAGTGTTTAAGAGATTTACCCTACCTTCTCCAGTAATCATGGTGAGTTTGTTAAACGATTAATGGATCGTGGAATTTATGTTTTAGCTATATGAAATTGATAGTTTTTAACTGAATGGAATTTGTTTTGACAACAATTTGACCTAAATTTTAGGCATGCTGGTGCCGTATGGGTGACATTTTCGAAGCTCTTCTCTGTGTCTTACAAATTGGTTCTTTAACAATCTATAATACATCTGGTAAGCATTGTAGATGAAAATTCGATCCTCAAAAAATCTTGTGATTTTTGCACTTACTTAATATTAATCCAACGAAGAAGCCCTAGGCAAAAGAATTGCAATTATTTTGACTGTAGTGCTACCAGGGTTCAATCTGAAGCACTCATAATGTTAGGGTTCATGTAGTACTTGTATGGAGCATGGACCTTGTAGTTGTGGATGGTTTTAATTTCATAATTGTATACAATAAACCATAGTTGATGTGAATTCTTTTATAATGGTGTGTTTTCATCTACTTTGTTCATTCTTTGTTCTTAAGTAAGCATTAAAGTGTCTTTCACAAAAGAATAAGGTAAGCATTAGAGTGTGGTTCATTCACTCTTTCTATCTCTCACTTTACTGTTGAAGAATAACTGAAGATTAAATGGCTTATTTCCACTAGAGGGGAGCCAATATCTTTATTATTAAACTGGTTTATTCCTTCCTAGGAATACTTTTTTCATCGAGTTCATTTTGGCTTATTGAATTCAGACTCTCAGAGTATTAGTTCAAGCCTGATTTCTTTTTGCAGAATGAAACTGATTTCCCAATGCTTTCGTTTTGTATAACAGGTGAAGTAGTGTCCATTCCGCTTCCTTGTTCCATCATATCTATATGGTCTCTTCCGTTTGGACTGTTGCTCCAGCAGGTGGCTGAAGGAAATTCAGTAACACATGGCCCTTTTTCATATTCAAGCCCTTCACTAGGTTCACGTGATATAATTCATAATAGAACAGAAATTAGGCACAGCACACAACATAATTTTAGTTTTCTGACCGCATATGATCATCTTATTGAGGGAGAATCAAGCTCAATATCCTCACATCTAATTCTGAAAGATCTATTGGAAGAACCACAGGTGTGTAATGGAATGCATCTTATTTTGAAATTTTGCATAAATTCCTGTCATTAAGATGCTTGTGTGTAGGTACATTCAATAACATTGATTCTTCATTTTGAGCCTTTTTGATATTTGATTTTACATTTAGAGTTAAAATTATAATTTGCAGTCAATTTGCATTGAAGAAAGAGGAAAACTGAACATAATGAGGGATTTTGATGAAAGAACAATTTGGACCGGTGATCAAATTCCTCTAATGGCATCATATAATAAAGGTTAACATTTAACTCTTGTGTGATTAATACTTTTCCCTGCTACTATTTCTTCTTTTTAAAAAAAAAAAAAATTGGGAGTGAAGATATGTTCCATCTATATCATTTATTTATGCCTTTGTGACTTTGTATGCAGTTAAAATGCAGCATTCAGTTTGGGTAGCTGAAGTTATTAATTCTAGTCTTGAAGTGGAAAATGCTAGTTTATCTGCTACAGTTCCTGCTGGTGTATTACCAAAGTGCTTTTGCTTCCGTAGAATATGGCAGGGAAAGGGTGCTCATACAGCTGCTTCTAAGGTGCTTGATATGTGTCATCATTAGCTCTATTTCTTGATGACTTTTCCTTTTTTAATTGGTTAACTATGGTAAATGTGTGTGTTGTAAAATTCTTGAACACTCGAAGGAGATGTTTGTTGTTGTATGACACTTGACAATCTTTTTCTATATGTTAGAAAAAGTCATCCAGAAAGTTGCGGCTAATGTTTTTGGTAAGAGTTTAGCTGTCTGCTTGGAAAATCAGATTGGGTTAAATAGATAGGTGCCTAGTCTGCCTGCTTCTTTCTTTCCAGAGAGGAAAAGTTAGTCATACTGGTCTTCAGCCTTCAGCCTTCAGCTGCCAAACATTCTTGTATTATAGTCCATTTCAATGCATCTTAGGTTCACAAATTTCTTTTTCAAAAACTTCCTTTTGAATTGATTATTTGGATGGATTTGCTTTATTTGGTAACAAGAATTGTTTGGAGATATGCTAAACACCATGTGTTTCAACTTTTGAAAATTTCTTTGCCATGATGTGTGGGAACAGTAGCCTTGGTAGGTATATCATATATGAACTTCTTTGACCTCTCTGGTCCAATTTTCATTTATGGTAATGGAAATGCATGCATTCAATCGTCTCTGTTATAGGAAGTATTCTCTTCAATGAAGGTTTTTTTTTTTTTTTTTATATATACCTGTAAATGCGTCCATGTACAAAGGTGTGATTTAATGGATGATAGCCATGTTGAGAGAGGGAGAGAAAGACGAAGGAAGAAATATGTCGAAACTATAAAGATAGATGTTACTTTACTAGCTTATGGATGATATGATCTTGAAGTAGAGTAGGATGGTGCAATATGATTCATATAGCTGATCCCATAACATATAGTAGGAAACAACTTAGTTTGTTGTTTTTATATTCCTTTCTTAGGAATAACTTTTGTTACATCTATTTTACATATTCTTGTTCTTCCTATCCCACTGGCTTCTCATCCACATTCTTTGAAGTTTATTTTTATTTTTATGGTGCTGTTTCCTTTATGGCATTTGATGATTTAGCTATCTGTATTTAACTAGTGGCCTCATATGTTTCCAGGTTTTTCTTGCAACAGATGATGATGCAGCTCATGTAATTTGTCTTCTTTTCTTAGAACAAAAAAAGTTACTGTCTTTAAGGCTTCAGACTGTTGAAATAAATAACGAGATTCTATATGATGTTAAACCTGATATGAGCTGGAGCATACCTGCAATTGCTGCTGCTCCTGTCATTGTGACACGACCCAGGTATCATTACCTTTGCTTTTGTTTTATTTTAAGTTGCTGATTTTTTATGATACTTAGGTATGATTTTCTCTGATTTTTTTACCAGAGTGAAGGTGGGACTATTGCCATATACTGATATCATTGTTTTGGCACCAGAAAATATATTACTCCTTTATGTAAGTTCTTCCCTTTTCATGCTTTTTACCTTAAGTTATAGTCTGGTTTTTATTATTTGTATAGCCAGTTCTTTGTTATTATTTTTATACTTTTTCTAGCAAAAGTAATTTTTTTGTCTCTTGCACGTTTCCTATTGCTGATATTTTATGATACTGCTACGGTCTTTCTGTAGTTTCTTCAATCTTGCTAACATGCAGTTAGTTATTTCTTTGCTTGTAACCCTTGCTTCAATTTTTCATGGAAGCTCAAAATTTTTTTTTTTGCTGAGATAGGTTTTCCACTTTTTACTGGATGTATTGTCCATTTGGAAGTTCATCTTACCTCCTTGCCTTGACCTTTCTATTCTAGTGATCTCCATATCGTGTTGCAAAATTATGTTCCTCAAAACTACTACTGGTGTTTGGGTCCCATGATGGATTATGCAGTGGCTCTTGGTTTTCAAGCCTTTTGATCTCAGTTTTTGAAATGAGCTGATATGCGATAGGGATTAAGGGGAGTGAGAGATATAGCGTTAATGGACAGGTGAGGGCATAGTTTGGTAAGATAACTGAAGCAAGAAGAAGAGGATGAAGTCTAAATGTTTCATTTATGTAGGTATTGGGTCATTGAATGTATGTGGGAAGTTGGGCTCGCTTGGGTCTTGAAACTCGAATTTGGTCTTTTAGGTTCTAAGAAGTATGGTGGCTACCAGCTAACATTCCTTGAATTGGGAGATAAAAGCCCAACAATCAATAATAAATAAGAAAATATTTGTGAACTTTCAATCAAATAGAGGTAATGGTACTCCAAGATAAGTCAGTTTCTTAATGCCAATTATACAATATGATATATCCCTGAAGCCAATCTTACATTTAAGGCTCCAGTTTTATTATGTCTTGTACAAATTTTGAACAGTAGGTGAGTACAGCCTAGATGCACATAAGTCATTCATGCCCAATTCCAGGGAAAGTAAATCGTTTAATAATTTTCTTCTGCTTTCATCTTTAATCTTTTGATTGTATTATCTTCTATTCCTGATTTAACATCAATAAAAGATTGATTGACTATTGTTTTGCCAGCTGTTCATAATCTACTTGTGCTGTAAATGCAGTCAGGGAAGCAATGCCTTTGCAGGTATCTGCTGCCTCCATGTTTGGGCAAAGGTCGTCCCTCCCATAATTTGGGATTCTTAGAAGCGGCATCGATTTCTCATGACCTGAAGATTGTGGGACTCGCTGATGCCGTTGAGGCGCATATCAATGTGAAAGTAAATAATTGGCAGGTAGTAACTTATGTTCTTAGTTTATCATCAAGTGCTCTACTTGTGTTATTCAATATGTCATTATTTCTTTGACAAGTGTGTGGTTTTATTTTTATTTATTTATTTGTTCTATTGCATGACCTTTTTGGCCCTTGTAAATGAAGCTTTTACTTTCTGTTTCTACTAATATTACAAGTGCTTATAGTTTTATACTAGGGACAATTTTGGATGCCCTTGAATTAGTTGTACTGATTGGCCAAAAAAAATTAGTTGTTCCGCATTGCAATCTATAAAAGTTTCTTGCTTATGTCTTAGTTATAAGCTTTAACGGCTTCTATTTGCCATGTATATGCAGATGTTTCGATGTGCACTACGAAGAAGTCCTTCATCATCGTTGGCAAATGATTCCATCTCAGCATTGGCTGAGGGGCTCAGTCCGAGTTTCTATAACCATTTTCTTGTTTTTCTTTGGGGAGATGGTGATTCTGGCTACTTGTCAGAGGGTAATTCTACTGTTGATTCAGAATGGAACTCTTTTTGTGATACCATCATGCAAATGTGCAAGAAGTCATCTGTAGTTTCTCAAGAGATTCCAAAATCATCTTGGGAGTTTCTTCTTAATAGCAAATTTCACAAGAACTACTTCAAAATAAACTCTATGATTGAATTGGCTTCTATAACAGCACTTGATAAGCCAGGATTGGATTTCACGAGATCAAATATAGATGGTACAAAAAGTTCAGAAAAATCAATTTACTCTGATCTATTGATGGAGAGTTTGGATTCTCTGCATGCAGTTTATGAAAGTTTGAAAATGGATAATCTCCGGGGAAGGTAAATCTAAATCCTATCCATGTGAAGAATGTTTCTTCACATGCTTTAGTTTGTAAAGACTTTTTACAACTAATCTTTGTCTCTGTTGTTTATTTTTTATTGCTTTTTTTTTTTTTGTTGTTGTCTTGACAGCAATTTTTTTCAATGCAGTTACTTCGATAATCCCTGTTCCATGAAAAATTTTAAAATACTACTACGTTAAATGATATTGAATAATGTCCTAGTAACTAGATGATTTGTGACAAGAGTTCTTATAATAGGGATCATGATTTATTCTCTAAAGAATTTGGACAAGATTTCTGTTCTGATATAATTGTGAGGTTAAGTGTTGCAGAAATTTTGAATTAATCTGAGAACTTGAAGTTGGCTATAATGTAGTGGCTGTTCATATTTACTGATCATGTTTTTTTATTTACATCAGTAGTTTGCAAAAATATCTCTGATTTTGTGTTTTTTGGTGCAAATTTCTAAAAGGGATTTGGAGCTTCTGGCAATTCTGTTGTGTAATATTGCAAAATTCTTGGGTGAAGAATGCTATTTGGATCATTATGTCCGTGATTTTCCTGTTCTCTGCAAGACAGTCAGAATGGGTGCAAAGTCTTTGTCCAGGAAAACTCCTTTCAGTTTATTCAGATGGCTGGAAAATTGTTTGCTACATGGATGTAATCCTGATAATGCTAACAATCTTCCACTTGTAATTTGTAAAGATGGAAGTTCTGTGGTGGGCTGGACAAGGAAAATCATCTCTTTTTACAGTTTATTATGTGGTGCTAAACTCATAGGAAAGAAGCTTTCATCTGGTGTTAGCTGCAACATTGCCTCTGGATCATTTTGTTCTAATGAGGAGCTCACAGTGTTGGCAATGGTTGGGGAGAAATTTGGATTGAAAGAGTTGGATTCTTTGCCTTCTGGTGTATCTCTTCCTCTTCGACATGTAAGCTCCAGTAACTCATAATGCATGGAATCTTTAAATTAAATTCTGTGAAGGCTTGAAGATAATGATTTTAGTGCTAGTGTCTGTAAAAGTATAATAAAAAAGGAATACTAGGTTAGTAATGTTCAATGTAAATATTACCAATCACTATTATTGTTCATTCTGGTCTTTGTATGTTAATATGTTTTTCATACTAAATAGATTTGTTATTCATTCTCAGCCATGATGATGCTTTGATTTTAATTGTTGCACTTCTACATTTTCGTTGTGGTCCCTCCATTATGAAATCATTCTTCCTTTATGTGATGTCTCTTTGTCCTGTTACTTAGAGAAGAAACTTCGATGTTGCCCCCGAAAGGATCTTATCAGATTTGTGATTTTTAATGATAAATTAAGAGAATGGAACTTCTTAAAAGTCTGTCTCATTGTATAAGCTGTTAAATAACTTTTTGTTTCTTGACTGATGCATCTGTGTTTCGTAGGCTTTGGATAAGTGTCGGGAATCTCCTCCTGCTGACTGGCCTGCAGCTGCATATGTGCTTCTTGGTCGAGAGGACTTGGCTTTATCTTGTTTGGCACATTTATGCAAATTTAAGGAACTTGAAACACAAACAAATATGAATTTGGTCTCTATGTCTACACCTTACATGCTACATTTGCATCCTGTAACCATTCCTTCAACAGTATCTGATACCATCGGTTTGGAAAGCACCAGATTAGAGGATACAGATTCCATTGATGGATCAATGGCAGATGGCATGGAGAACATATTCAGCTGTTGCAACCAGTTGCGTTATGGTCGGGATCTACGATTAAATGAGGTCTGTTTTGGTCCATTATTTTGAATAATAATGTCAAAGTGCTGTATATTCCTTCAATTGTTGTTCGTATTTCTTGTTGTATGTTTATGGATCTTTTTTATTTAATTATTATGGAAAATGTAAATATGGTTCTTGAAATTTCTTTTGTCTCTTCCAACTTGCCACTGTCACTGCTACTAGGTTAGGCGTCTTCTATGCTCTGCAAGACCTGTGGCTATTCAAACATCTGTCAACCCTAGTGCCTCTGATCAGGAACTCCAACAGGTATGCTACTTTCGTTGCTTGGTTTGAATGTTGTATAGTTAGTTCTTTTCCCTCCAGCGTATTGTAGCTTTGTTTTTAACTGTTAGCTAATAAATTGGTCTGACAATGTGTGATACGACATGCTTCTCTATATGTTCTTAGATCACCATTCTTAACACAGGCAGAATGCAGTAACCTACATTATTCTTCCATTTTTTAACGTCCCTGATAATTTCTTTACAAGGAGATAGTGATAATGTGTAAGAAGGCTTAAGATTTTATCATGAATCTCTGACAGAATAATGCAGTAACAGCTTACAGAATGGTATTGACCTAGTTTGGTATTCTCTTCTCTCTTACATGTTACCCATCCTTTTAGAAGAGAAATAATATGGCGGCTAGTTTCTTTGGACACATGGCTCAATGCAGATTACATACTACTATGTTGCTTTATTGTTTTGTTTGTACAGGCTCAGCTCTGGCAGCTTGCACAAAGGACTACTGCTCTTCCTCTTGGCCGTGGGGCATTTACTCTTGCAACTATTTATACTCTTTTAACAGAGGTACTCATGCTTTGTGTTTTTACATCTATTTTCATCAGTTGATTTTTTATTTTATGAAATTGATTACTCAAAGTTAGACACTACCTTTTTTGATGGAATCTCTTGCAACTTTATGTAGGCCTTTACTGTCCCAAAGCTTGTTTTAGCAGGTCGGTTGCCTGCCCAACAAAATGCTACTGTAGGTTCATTCAAAATTCTTGCTTCAGTTCATTGCTATTTCTTTTCTTTTTCACGTGCATTTATTCTTTGGGTGATATCACATATGCTGTCAAGTTTCGCTTTGCATGAGTAACTGTATTATCAATTATGGCAATTTTGAATGGAAACTTTCAGCAAAATATTATTGTATTTGGAATATAATTCTTGCTCTATGTTTTCAAGATTTATTGCCTATTATGTTTTGACTGTAGGAAGCTTGGGTTAAGATTTTGTGTTTAGCCACAGAAACTCTGTATAATAATGCTCTCATCCTTACTCTCCTTTGCATCATTTGCACAGTGTTTTTTCTTTTTTGTATTCATTGTCTACATTTGTTGCACTGATAGGTTAATCTTGATCCTAACATAAGGAACATACAAGAACTTAAATCATGGCCAGAGTTCCACAATGCTGTTGCTGCTGGGTTAAGGCTGGCCCCACTTCAGGTTTATATAATATCTCACAAATATATAGTTAAAAGTACCTCCCGAAATTTGAGACTGTATGTTCTTATTTATGTCGATTTGAAAGTCTATGCTCTATCTAGGTTCATTTTCTGTTGCTTCAGCTGTCTTAGTGCTAATGTATTATGTGGTATATGCATGCGTGCTTTTTGGTCTTGTTTGTCCTGAATTATTATGTAATGCATTTAAACTTTTACAGGGAAAAGTATCAAGAACATGGATAGTATATAACAAGCCTGAGGAACCAAATGTAGTTCATGCTGGACTTCTCCTTGCTCTGGGATTACATGGATTTCTACGTGTTTTAACTATTACAGACATATACCAATATTTTTCACAGGTTATTCATTTACACTTTCTTCATGCAATTGATTGGTTGTGCACAACATCATTAGTTATGTGATGATCCTGTGTCTTGTTCTGGAATTCTCAATATAAAAGAAGGGGAGAAATCAGTATTGACTAAATGCATTTTCCGAAAGAAAGAAAGAATTTTAAAGTGAAAAATCTTGTTTCAGAATAATTTTGAAATGACCTGAATGTAAGTGCATTTGCTTTGTGATTTCTGGTATCTCAATAGCTGTAATCACTGACGTGGAAGCCTTTTAATCACAGCATGTAATAGGCTTATTACTTTTGATAAAAAAACATTGAATACTCAAATAGCTTTTCTTTTCATTAGGTTTTAAGATACTTAACTGATGTTTTTCACCAACAGGAACATGAAAGCACAACTGTAGGCTTAATGCTTGGCCTGGCAGCTTCTTATAGGGGGACCATGCAACCTGCAATATCAAAGGTAATAATATATACTCGTTTGAGCTTTAACATGTGCTTCTACCTTGATCTCTTGTTGTTTATAAGCTGAGGTACCCAAGGTTTTTTGTTAATATAACATTCTTCCACCATTTATCTGCTACCAATTATTTGACCTGAATAATGGTTCTACCCTACACAGTGCCTTTATGTGCATATACCTGCTCAACATCCATCTTCCTTTCCGGAGTTGGAGCTACCAACATTGCTGCAGGTAAGACATTGCACTGCTCTCACTATATCATTTACCACTGCTCTCACTATATCATTTACCTATATGCTGGAGGAATTTATACACAGATTCATTTATATTTGTCATCGGATTGCCAGCATTGACATTTGAACTGAAATAAACCTTGCACATGCAACTTTAGTGAGTAGTGAAAAAATATTGTTGTCTGAGCTTCTTTATATGAACATTAAAGTTGCCTTATATGTTTATTTTTATCTATTCTTTAAAATAGTTATTCCTACAACTTTTTGTGGATCTACAGACTGCAGCACTAATGTCAGTTGGGCTTCTTTTTGAAGGATCAGCACATCCCCAAACAATGCAAACATTATTGGTATGTTGTTTCCCCTTATAGTTCTTTTGCTAATCAAACTAAGATGATGGTGTTTTTCTTATAATTGTAGGTCAACAAGTTTCCTGACTACTAGTTGGGAAAAAATTCAAAACTATATTTGAAATGCATACTAACATACATATATACAAATGGATATATACATACATAATGAATGAGTGTGTACACACACACACACACACACATACACATGTTATATATCCTTTACATTCCACTTTCTTTGTACAACTGATTTCTGGTAACTACAACTATTTGCATTAGTCTATGGTTTGTTGGTCAATGATGAAGCTTCCACTTAAAAAACAATTGTTTTGAAGTTTTGGTAGGTTACTAACTAATCAATTTTTATGCATGAGTTTTGATTGTTGAAGTTGAGTTTTTATGTAGAAAATTGAAGAAATCTGTAGAATAAAACTATTTTATTCTTCTATATTTTTCTTATTACAATAGTAGAATTGCATGAAAATATATAGGCTAAAGACTGAATATTCTTGGCCTTAAAACCCAAGATTTTCTTGCATTAAAACAGCTAATCAAATGAGTAATTTACTCTCTACGGATAATAGAAAAATATCTAATGGATTTGGTGTAATTACCCAAATCACTTCTTTTTCTAAAAATAAGAGACTTAACTAAAATAGATAAAGCCAATCAATCAAGTAATAATGAAGATTAGATTTCCACAAAAGTAAAGTTGGATTCTGCTTATTAGCATCAATGGTTAATGGGAGCATTTCAACTACAAATCTTTTTATTCTAATCTGCAATTTTCCAATCATAACAAAGAATTATATAGGGGTCCATCATTTATATGTATGAGTTACTTATTGGACCTTACACAATTCTGAATTGTGTTTGGTTAACAATTGGTTAATTGTATGCAATAATTGTAGGTAATGTGCGCCCATGGTTAATATGGTTTATTCTTTGATATTTTGTTATAATAATGCAAATGCTTGCCCCTATCTTTGTAAACATATGCAGCACCTTTAGACTGTTTCTACATTGTCTCTAGAATCTTAATTGTATAGCATATGTCTTGTGGTTAAACTTATGTGTTATTACTTGCAGGGTGAAATAGGCCGAAGAAGTGGAGGTGACAACGTCCTTGAAAGGGAGGGTTATTCTGTTTCTGCAGGCTTTTCGTTGGGTCTTGTTGCATTAGGTATGGATCATTCAGGGCTTTTATATTAATGAATGTCTTTAAGTTTTTGTCCTAGCTAACTGCTATCTTAAATGAAGGCCGAGGGGAAGACGCATTCGGATTTATGGATACACTGGTTGATCGACTATTCCAATATATTTGTGGAAAGGAAATTCGTAATGTATGCTGTCCAGTTCAAACTTGCTTTGTTCTTTTGCATTTTCTTCTGGTGGATGATATGGATTCATAATCAATGCTTTTGCAGCATAGTTCTTAGTTCTGTACAATAAGAACTATAGCATCTTGATCTGCCCATATGACTATCTTGGGAAGGAAGATGTATTTCCACATGTTTTTTCCCTTGATTTTCTATACATTTTCTGAAGTGAAACTCCTCTCTCTCTCTCTCTTTCTCTCTGCTTTTGCCAACTATTTTCTATCAGGAAAGATCCCTCCTGCTTGCAGCGTCAATGGATGAACACAGCCGAGGCACTGGGCAGGTTTGTTACCTATCTTTGACTTAATGAAGTTAACTTTAAACCTTGTGTTTGAAAAAAATGTCATATACAAGATTTGTTTCCTCTAGGCAACTGATATCTGTTGTTTTGGTATATTAGATGATGGACGGAACCACTGTCAATGTTGATGTCGCTGCTCCTGGGGCTATAATAGCTCTTGCTCTAATGTTTTTGAAGGTAATTTTCAACATAGAAAAATATAAATGGAATACCCAATTTTTTGTATATGACAAATCTGAATTACTCACCTTTCCCATTTTACACGACAGAGTGAATCAGAGGTGATTGTTTCTAGGCTTACAATCCCTCAAACGCGTTTTGATTTTCAATATGTGAGGCCTGATTTTATAATGCTTCGTGTCATTGCTCGGAATTTGATAATGTGGGGCAGGTAATGTACTTAATAATTATGTCTTAACAATTGAATCATTCAGTATTTAAGCTTCTAGTCCTTAGATCTGAGTTTAAGGTTATCCTCTTCAGGATTCATCCCTCTAAAGATTGGATTCAGTCCCAGATTCCTGAAATTGTGAAAAATGGTGTCAAAGACCTTAGAGATGATACCGTGGATATTGATGAAATGGATTTAGAAACTTTTGTCCAGGCTTATGTCAATATAGTAGCTGGGGCATGTATTTCTCTTGGTATGGTATTTCTGCTGATTCATATGTTATTCATTATGTTTAGTCTTGCATATTCTCAACCTTAACACTCACCAAAAAAGGGAGGCCATCTTAAATCTGTTATGATTAATTGTTGGCAGGGTTGAGATTTGCTGGCACAAAGGATGCAAGTGCACAGGAATTGCTGTATGAATATGCTGTCTACTTTCTGAATGAGGTCTTACATACAATATGATACTGCTCAATGAGTACAATTTGTTTTGGGGAGATAAATGAGTTATTCTAATGGCTGCAGATCAAGCCTGTTTCCACTACAAGCTGGAATACCTTCCCCAAGGGTTTATCTCAGTATGTTGATCGAGGCACATTGGAGATATGCCTTCACCTTATTGTCCTCTCCTTGTCTGTGGTGAATGAAATTGACTATCTGATCATTATTTTCTTATGCCTAATTTTGTCTAGTAATAGTGGTGACATCTGAGGCATTTTGAAAGCAGGTTATGGCTGGTTCTGGACATTTACAAACTTTCCGTCTTTTAAGGTTTCTCCGCAACCAGAGCTCTGTAGATGGGCATGCTAATTATGGTATCCAGATGGTGGTAAGGTTTCTACTCATGTCATAGTGAGGGATCCAACCGAATATCAACTGCTTATTCTGTACTTTTTTCCCAGCAGATTTTATGATTTAAGAAACTCTAATGTGCTTATTTTTTTGATTTCCTCGTGCATATAAGCTTTAAAATTATGTTTGAAAGTACTTATTGTATTCTGAGTGTATAAGATAAAGATATGTAGTTGGTTTATGCATATGGATTCTACAATTCACCTGTTATTAAAGAAAGTATATGTTGTTTATCATCACATAGTTCAAGCTGTTAACATCTTGTCCACTGCCATGTTAAATGGCTATATCATCGTTGAATCTGCATAATTGAGGTCTTATAAACCCATCGAAGCATGAAGTGTTAAATGATTCTTTTTCCTTTTCATTCATGGAACATTAGGAATGTCTATATGGCCAACCCGTCATCCAAAAACAATCCAGAATATATTAGTATGGTATGGCTTCTTGGTCGTAAGTCACTGTGCTACCCAAGATGGACTTCTTCCATGATATGAAGTATATTATGTTTGCTTGCATTAATCTAAAATTGATTGTTTAACTAACATAAATTCAACCAATTTGCTTGTTTCTAGGCATCTTAATTTATTTGTAAGTATGCACTGATTTTAGGTGAGCTTAGCAATTGGTTTCTTGTTTCTTGGTGGAGGCATGAAGACATTTTCTACCAGCAACAGTTCGATTGCTGCATTGCTTATTACTCTTTATCCACGGTTACCTACTGGACCAAATGATAACCGTTGCCACCTTCAGGTATGTTAAGGTTGATTATAAGGGTGGTTTCAGGCTGCTTAAAATTGATTGGGAATGGTATATGGTTCAGGTTCAGCACAAGCACTGCAAAAGATTTTTTGCTATTTGTTTTAGGCAGTATACTCCAGTTGGTCCTATCTGTGCTTGAAGAGACTAGAATTCTTTTTTCTTTTTCCTTATTAGGACATATGTTGTACTTTTACCTCCTTTCTATAAGTAAGTGTATTTTCCAGGCATTTAGACATTTGTATGTCCTTGCAACGGAGGCTCGCTGGCTTCAAACTGTTGATGTCGACACTGGCCTCCCTGTTTATGCTCCACTTGAATTAACTGTCAGGGAAACTGAGCATTATTCTGAAACAAGTTTTTGTGAGGTTACTCCATGCATTCTGCCTGAGCGTTCAATTGTAAGTTTCAAGATCCATTACAAACTTACTAGGATTATCATTATCTCCAGACTTTCTTTAACTTACATTGAAGTGAACCTGGGAGTTTAATTAGCATGAATCTGTTGACATGGAAAGCATTTATGGCATGGAAGAACTTATTTTCTGTTGCTAGTGTAATGAATCTTGTAAAATAATCCAAGTTACAGGCAAATTGCATGTCAACTATCTCAGAACTAGCTGTTTGCCATGTCTGTTAATTAGAAAAATGGTTTTGTATTTAGTGCTTAATTTAACATGCTGTTGCAGTTGAAGACAGTTAAAGTCTGTGGCCCTCGATACTGGCCTCAAGTGATTGAGCTTGTTCCTGACGGTGGGTGGAGTTTTGTTGCTGCAATTTTCTTGCTATATGTCAATTCGCATATTTCTGATAATTTAAATTGTTCCCCTACAGATGAGCCTTGGTGGAGTTTTGGGGACAGGAATGACCCATTTAACTCTGGTGTTCTCCATGTGAAAAGGAAGGTTGGAGCTTGTTCATATGTGGATGATCCCATAGGGTGTCAGTCGCTACTTTCACGAGCAATGCACAAGGTTTTGTTGACAGACTTTACCACTAACCATCCCTTTCTCAAATACGGTTCAGTCCTAACATGGATGTTGGTTTGTCTATTACTTAGATGTTTGGTTTGACAAGTCTTAGAGCAGGCAATCCAAGTAATAACAGCAACAGTGGACCTGGTGCTGTTACTGTTGAGCAGCTGGTCAGCACCTTCTCATCTGATCCTAGCTTAATAGCTTTTGCACAACTTTGCTGTGACCTTTCCTGGAATGGCAGGCAAGTCCGAAAATCTCCATTTTTATTTGTTGCCAGATTCAGGCCTCCACTCGCATGGGCCTAGACTTTATTTGTGCTTCCATACGGTCCCTTCCTCTCTCTTTCTCGTTCTCATGGTAAATTTGGGTGCTCTATTCATGGTCTTTTGAATGGTTTGCTAATCAGGATTACAATTGTAATTCATATGAAGCGTTGAAAATTATTTATTCTGCATGTTCAAGGTGCATATGTTATCATCTATTTTGTAATTTAGATGCAGTGATTGTTGGAAAATGAAAAGAAAATGGAGACAACTGTGATGCTCTTTTTTTTCTCTATTCAAAAGGACTACTTTTTCATTCCCAAATCAACATGCTTGCAGATCTCATGTTGATTTCCAGGAGTTTTGCTTGCAAGTACTATTTGAGTGCATAAGCAAGGACAGACCATCTCTTTTGCAGGTAGTCTGATTTAGTGATAAATTCTGCTTTATTATATAGGACTTTTTTCAATTACAATGCAATGTCAGTTGTAAATGAATTAATTTCTTGGCATACCAATAGTCTGTTAATCTAATCAAGTCTCATCAGTGTCAAGTGAAAATGATCTTTTTTACATTTTTTGTAGTTGTTTAAATGTTTTTGTCTATGCTTACTTTGCTCGTCTTCTATTTCTCAACATGTGAATGTCTTCATAATAATTCACAATTATTCATGGCTTTCTGCTTTTTAGATCTATTTGTCCTTGTACACCACAATTGGTTCATTGGCAGAGCAGGTTTCCAGTAGCAATATTGTTGTTAGCGACTCACTGTCTCTCTCTAATTTAAAGGTACTTTTCCATAGCAGCTTTATGTATGCTTGTTTCATGGTGCAGTTATTTAAGTTGTGCAATCTGTTTTTTTTTTTTTTTGTTGTGTAAACAACTAAAATACTTATGTTATAGCGATCACAAATTGCATAAATACTAGTCTTGGTTGTTAAACATCTGGTTCTGTTTTAATTTCAGAAATGTAAGAACAAAATCTTCTGTCTATAATGCTTCCAAATTGTATTGGATGTGACATGTAGAATGAGATGCTGATTATACTCAGGGGGCAGTTAACATAGATAGCTATGAACAGAGTTGAGGAAGGGGCTGATTTTGGGCCTGTTTTGGTTCAAATTCTTCAAATGGTTCCTGATTGTCTGAAGTTTACCCTCTTTATGCAGCATTGGTTTGTTTTGGCTTTTGGGTCATCAGATGCACTTGTGTCCATCTGCCTTCTTTATTGTTTTCATGGCCTTTTGGAATTTGCATGGCCCTAATCTATTACTAGAGAAACTTGATTGTCAGTCTTATCTTAAGAACTCCATTACCATGTTATATTTCAATGCATGATCTGTGGGATGAGTTGCCATAGCTCTGCCTTCCTCGATCCGTCAATGTATAGCAGCAATGTGGGTTGATGTTAATTGATTTATTGGTTTGTGCAGTTATCATTACAAACCTTATGACATCCTTCTTTTTTGCAGCTTGCACTGTCCTATAATGAGGCTGTGTTGAGGGGAAGGCTAACCACTGCAAGAGGCAGCATTGTTCAATCCATCTTTTTAGGGTCTCTTCGGAAACGAGTCGAAGAACTTCTAAATTGTTCGGAGGCATTAAAAACTGATTTGTGTAATTATTTGAACTTCGGTAGTTGGCCTAACGATGGAGTGAAAAATTCAGCACTTCTTTCTTGGTATCTTCAATGGTTCAGTGTGCCAGCTACTCCTACGATCAAGGCAACAATGGACAAAATTAAGCTCAAGAACATCTCATTGTCTGCTGTTCCTTTGTTATGTTTGTTATTACCAGGCACTCACATAAACGCAATTGAAGAGATAAATCAGTTTCTGTTGTCTTCCTGAGTGGGCAAATGAAGACCTGAGAGCATTTTCCTGTCTGGTGCCTACTTTTTGTTGTGGCATCTTCCAAGGTAGAAGCTTATTCGAAATCGTTCTTAAATGAACATGGCAAAGGGGCAAAGTGAAACAGATTTACAATGAGAAGAATTACATGCTTTCTGCCGGTCTATATTCCAAGCATTTGATGCTGACATGATCTGATGTGAAGAAATGTATTGAAAATTATATATGAAGATTTGCGAATTTGTATTTTATAAAATATTAAAATTTATATAATAATTTTTGTTACTACTAATATATAATTTTTTTATTTTATTAAATTCATATATAATAATTATTATAATTTTAAATTGTATTATTTTTGTATTTTATTTTTGCATCGCATTATCAGAGTTCATAACGAGAAGAAAATGGCTGGAACCAGAGGTCTGGGGGTTTAGGATTTAATACATGGGAAGCCCGATCTGCTTGGAATAGGTTGCCAGTATTCTCTAGTTTGACGAAGTGAAACAGATGTAAATGTAGAGTTTTGCAGTTACCAGTGAACTAATGTCTAATTTAAATGTTTTTTTTTTTTCTATAAACATTATATATGCTGCTGGGTATGAGTTAATTTGGATCAAAGAACAGCAATTCAAGTTCTAATTTTCTACTTGAACCATTCAAAAAGAAAAAAAAATTGCACCATTTTTTTGGTGTTGAGGCATCATCATATGTTCACTTCTAGGAATAAATCAATCATCTCATCGGAAATGGGGTGAAAAAAAAAAAAAGTTCTTAGTCGAGTCTGGGATGAGCAACTTACCATTAGAGCTGCACAGATAGATATTGTGTATCTTGGGGGAGAGAAAACAAAACTGAGAAAATTGAAAATCGTGTTTGGTTTAATTTGATTTTTTTTTCGGTCTGAATTATATTTGGATATTAAATATATATATATTAAGTTTAAATCAAATTTTAAATCGAAATTTAAAAAATTGAAAAAAAAGAACAAAATCAAATTATATATTTTTGTTACTTTTTATAAATATTTTAAATTTTTATAAAATAAAAATAATTATTTATATAAAAATTTATTTGAATATATTAAAAATCATATCAAAATAATATATAAAAAAATTAAAAATTAAAATCCGATGAACCCAATTAATAAAATTTCATTCAAATCAAATTGATTTAAAAAAAAATTGATTCGGATTTTAATCAAAATTTAAAATTTTATAATACTATATATTATGCCAAAAAAAAAATAAAAAATCTTGAACCTGATCCGTTATCACTTTTAATGTATCTATCCGGTAAGAGGAAAAGGGTGATTATGTTGAGGAAGTGGAGGTATTTTCAGGGAATCAGTAACATTATAAGTATTTTGTGCCCAATTCTTTCCTTGAATTTTCTCCAGCAACAATTTTGCATCAAAGCTTAACCCAGAAAGAGAAAAAATCATTATACTAAACAAGAAAAAGAGCAATATTTACTTGGGCAAAGAACAATCTCTCCATTTCTGGTATAAATAATCCTCTCTTCTATTCTTTAGGCATGTCACCATCTCTGCGAGAAACTCACTCTTCTTTGTATAAAGAGTGTGAGCTATTATAAAAAAACCCACTCTCCTGAGAAGATATCACACTTTTCCTTTTGTTGTCACCATCATCCTTTTCTTCTACTATAATTTAGTACAATCATCGCTCTCTTGATAGTTTTCTTCTGAACCAGCTTTCTGTGTTTCTCCTTTTGCTTTTCCATCATTTTCTTCCTTGAACTCGGGCAAAGAACAATCCATGCATTTGCCATCTCCAATTCTGGTAAAAAGAGTCCTGTCTTCCATTCCTAATGCAAGTCACCTCTTCCGAGAGAAACTCACATTCATCTTCTTTATATAAAGGATGGGTTTTATTATAAAAAATCCAGGTCCCTGTGAAGGGATCACAGTCTTTTGGTGGCAGTTTCAGCTCCTCATCTTCCTCCAGGATTCCTAGAGGTCGAAACCTTGACAAGAAAATTGACCTTCCCACCTGTCTAAAATCCCCTTTGTTGATAAACCATTTGAATAGAAGTATCGGTGTCAGGGAAACCAGAACAAGTACCTGATAACTTTTACTTTTATGGCTGATGCTGCAGCTGTGCTTCATAAGTTGAAGACATGAAACATAAAAGACTAAGGAGAGGACCAGAGGAGAAGAAATGAAAAGCCGGGAAGAGAAAACATTAACTCCAACTAACTGCTGCTTCAGCTATCTGCAAAAGCAAAAGATTTGTCTTTCCCACTTTTTCTTTTTCATCAGTTTCTGACTACAATCTTCACATCTGACAAAGAAAACAGAATTCATTCAGGATATGTTGATATCTCTGGAGTTTTCAAGTCTTAAAGTTACTATTAAACCACTTTAGACTTGAAAACTACACGGTGGATAGATTAAACTTGCCAAATCTAGGAAAACCTGTAGAATATAGACAAATGCTACAAAAGATATGGCCTTCACAATACCACAAATTAAGTAGCCGTCCCTTCTCTTCTATGCAAATGCAGCAGGAGCACAAACCTGCTTTCATCACAATTTCCTTTCTTAAAATTAAAGCTTGCATGAGGTAAAGGTTACTGTTTCAAGTCATTGCTGTAACTGTGAGCAGACCAGCTTTGTTTTCCAGTCTGCATTCTTCAGCATGCTTAAGTTTTCTTCACTTTTTGAGAATCAAAAAGTCTTGTACTCTCCAGTTTTCCTCCAGAGTTAAAATGCCATTGAAAACAGATGCTTCAAGAATTTGAGAAATAACAAGGTAAACAATGGAACATGACTTCCGGTCAAAAAACATCAGATGGAGATGCGGAGTATCGATCCCCGTACCTCTCGCATGCTAAGCGAGCGCTCTACCATCTGAGCTACATCCCCGGGTAGTCTTGCACTATGTATGCTAAATAAGTGTTCTACTATCCAAGCTACATCCCCTCTATCTATTAGTCATTAACAATTGTGTTCTTTTCAATCTCTTTCATGATAAACATTTTCCAACGTCAAAATTTGTATCAAACTAGTATTATGTAGTATTTCTATAATCCGAAATCATCCAGAGCATGCAATGGAACCATTGTCTTTTCCTAACCAGAAAAAAATTATGGAGCATATATCAACAATTGGATGGGTTAATATAGGTAATCTGTAACAAAATGTGTAATATAGTATCTTAATTTGATTCTTCTTTCGTCAAATTAAAGGAAACGAAGGGAGTCATGACTTTTACTTTGCTTTTTCTTTTCTCAGAGGCTGTTTATATAAGAAGCACCATAGAAAATACTATGACATATGATTTAACTTATGTCACTGACTTGTCTTTGCTAATGTTTACCAACAAGACCTTTGTGAGTTTTTTTTTTTGGCTAAAATTTTCTTGTTTGTGTAATTGGCTGATGAGGCTGTTTCTGACCAATCTAAAGGGGTTCTTGAGCAATTTCCATGAATTGAATTGACTCTATTGAGGCCAATAAGAAGCTCTAATATGTAAAGAAAAAGAAAAGGAAGAAAAACAAAGAATGAATTGAAGAAAGAATTGATGGTGTATGAAAAGGAAATTATGTTTGTCAACATTTGCATTGTACAACTTTGTGCATTGGCTTAGGCCAGCTTTTGCTCATTGAGCGATCAAATTTGGCATTCTTGGCTCCCAACATCAGTCCCTGGTAAATCAATAAAGGAAAAACTAAAAACCCTGTATGAAGCTATACATCTGATCAAATGTTGAAGAGAAAATTGCAGAAGCTTACAAGAAAAACAATTGACTGAGGAACAAAAAGTAAATGGATAATGTGAATTATGTCTACGTGTAACTGTCACGAGCGAGCAATGATACGGGTGTAGAGGAACTCGTTCCATGTGTCGGGTAACCCTGGAAGGCACCAATGGATACAATCAGCATAAGTGGCTGGGTCAGCCTGCTGCACCGGGGTCAGCATTTTGCCTTGGCGGATGGTATAGACTGAGGTATGTGCATCTTTTCTGTATTCTGAAAGGCTTGTAATGTTAATAAAATGGACAGGGAATTTCATGTTTTGGGTAATGTTGCTGGCAATGACAAATAGCCTGCGGTCAGTGCCCACATTTAGGTACATTGACTGGTTGAGAATTGGGGTAGTCTCCAGGGCACACTTGATCCCATCTGGGTTGTTCCAGTCCAAGCTCCTGCATGCAGACATTGGTAGGTTGTAAATCATATACGTCAGTTTTGCATGAGAAAAGAAAAGCTCAATTGAGGAGACAAGTGGATTTATTACTTGATATGAAGAGGAGACATGCTGCTGAAGAAGATAGTGGTTCGATTTGGGTTCACATTTTTATCAACCCATTTAGACCATGTGGTCAATACCCTACTATATGCTATTGGTCGTTCGATCTCATCATATTCTGTGTCCCCTTTATTGAACGATCCTCGTCTGTTACATCAATCCAGGAACAGATATCCACTCCACATGATCAGATCACTCCAAAAGATGATAATTCGATTAAATCAAACATTGATGTAATGCTTAATAACTTACAAGACTTTCATAGTGAAAGTGTTCATCCACCAGATATAGGTGTTGAAGACCAAGTAGTCCACATCCTTCCAGTTCTTGCCATGTTTCTTGATTGATTCAGGCATGATTATACGATTCAAGATGCTGTGCATGTTTGGGTCATCTGAATTTGATTGCACCAGAAAAGGGGCCCAATAAAACTCCACTGTTGCATTGTAATCCTGCAAAGACAAATGTTCACAATCTCAATTACTCCTTGGGGCAGTTCATGTGGCAAAGGTCCATCAACTTGTTTTTCTGGAGGTCCACAAATAAAGCCTGTCTTTGCAGCCACTACTTCTCAGAAAACAAAGTACTAAGAAAATGTCTGGTTTTTGGTCAAAAAATGTTTAAATATATATTCAGCAAAACTTGTATCATCATGTTCTCACCTAAACTTTTATATACTACATAAAATAAAGCACCCTTGTGATGTCATTATGATTATTAATCATCATGAAAGACAAAAGCATTAACTTCAAGTATACTAGACAAGTTTTGACAGTAAGATTAATGAATACCAGAAGAAAGTGACATCTCATCAAATCTTTTCTAGTGGGAACTTTACCTCAATTCTAAACACTGAGAGAGACCCTGACTTGTTCAAGCTCTTCCTTCCAGGAGGGACAACAGATTGAAGCAGACAAACCATGGATTCCCATTGATTTCTGTTCAATGAGTCTCCAACAAACATAAGTCTTCTATTCCTCAGCTTCTCAAGCAATAATCTTGGTTTGTACCTTATAACAGAACAAAAAGCACGTCAAAATCAACAGCATCTTTAAAGATTAACAAAGAAACAAGAAAACAAGATATATAATTCCAATTCAAGAAATCCAAAAAGGGTCTTACTTGGGTAAATTACAGTCTCTAGGCTGCCATCTCCAATTCTGATAGAAAGAATCCTTTCTTCCATTCCTCATGCAAGTAACTTGTGCTGTAAGAAACTCACAGTCATCTTCTTTGTATAAAGGATGTGTTTCATTGTCAAAAACCCACTGTCCTGTGAAGAGATCACAGTCTTCCGGAGGCAATTCAACATCCTCATCATCTTCTTCAACGACTGGTAGCTCAATCTTTTGTTCTTCTTCTTTCTCTTCTATCTTCTGCTCATCATCTTCTTTATCTTCTGCAAGCCTTTGCTTATCATCTTTCACCACTATGGATTTCAAGACATGATCAGGTTCCTTTGTTGTTTCCTGATCAAGAGTCTTTCTTTTGGTGTTATCTTCTTGGTGTGAAATTCTTGAGTTCAATGACACTACGTTTTCTTTCTTGTTATTGATAGTATCTTGAACTGGGTTGCTTTGTTTGGATTGCTCCTCTTGGATTTCACTAGCTTTAGGACTTGAAAATGGAAACTCTGCTATGGACTTCACGTCCTCATTGTACATGAAAACCCCAAACAAAAACAAAGAGAAAACTACAACAAATAAGGAAAGATTATTCTTCTTGCGGTGCTTCATCACTCCTGCTTCAGTGAAGAGAGTCTTACGACGAGCTGGCTGCAAGGGAAGCATATTGCTTTGAGAGAAAAGAAGAGAAAGGGATGGAAATATAGAGAAGGAAAGAAATGAACAAAGTGAAACTTAATTGAGGTTGTTTGGTGAGGGTTTTTTCTTCAAGAAACTGGTTAGTCTTTCTGGTGGAGGGAGAATTGTCTTTCTCAGTTTTATTTTTCTTTATAATTCCATTACTAACTACCTTCTTTTAGCCTCCTGTTTCAACACAATCTCTCTCAGAAACAAAACTGAGGAGTGATTTCAAAGCTTTGCCAAGTTGGTCTCAATCTAACTAAGATGTTGGGACTTGAATTGGAAGGTGTGGTGTGGTGTTGGAAACTATCTGGTAGACCCCTTGTCAAATAGAGTCTGATATGGAAGCTTCATCAGACACGGCAACTGGTCGGCTATACTATTTTTCATCTGATTCCCCTGGAAATTGGAAGTCAAACTCATGACCCTTTGGTCAACAACCTGAAGAGGATAAGGTATGCTAATCAAATGGTTTGTGCTTGTTTCTTAGGGTGGGTCAGATAAAATGAAGGGCTCTGATGCATTTCATAAACATTTTCTGCCAGAAAGCTGAAGACCAAAGCATTGGACCATAGCAGAGCTGAAAGCTGAGGCAGAGAAAAAGATTCCAGAAAACAACAGTGAGTTTCTAATAATCAAATCAGGATTGCCATCATGCTTTGCCTTAACAAGTCAAACCAAATAGTTTTGATACCATAAACCATATATACAAATCTGGTTGAATCATGAATGTTAACTAAAACTTTTGTTTTATTTGTAAAAAGAAAGATTCAAACATTATTCAATTTTTATATACAAATCTTGTTGAACATAAACATTACTTTTTTATTTGAAAAAAAAGAAAGGTTCAAGCTCAATACAATATTTTTAACGAAAATCGTACATGAATTATTGAATCAAATATTTGAATACAAACTATTATTGAATCTTATGAAATAATGAACCAGGCTGCTCTGGTTTTAACCAATCCTTCTATTCTGATTCCATTTTTGATACTATAATAATCTTAACAAGCATTTTCTTTAGTAGTCTTGTGATGGAAACTTGATTTTAAGCTGTTCTATATACCATTTTCAATCAATCATTTTAAAAATATATATACACAAAATCCAACAATTAACTTCCTCATTCAAAGGGTATTTGTTTGTAAAAATGGTTATGGTAAAAAATTCACCTAATCACCCTTTCAAATGTCAATGTTTTTAGTTGGTGCAATGTTAATAAAACCTCTCTAATCATAATTATTAACATCCCCAAACTAAAAACCAGTGTGTGTGTGTATATATATATATATACACTTTATTTTTCAATAAAATCTTAATAAATGATAAAATGTCATGTGATCTTTCTTTGTCCACAACAACTATACCCAATGGGCTGTTGATGCATTATCAAGGCTCTTGACAATAATGATGCCATTGGTTTCATTTTCCTAAAAAAAAAAAAAAGCTAAATTCCAATTTATTAGTAACTTTATGTTTGAGAAAAGTAAAGATTAAGGAACCTTCCTTTTTTTTTTTTTTGCTGTGAGTAAATCAGATATCATGTTTGGAGCCATCACATTTATTCCAAGCTAAGGTAGCTACACTGAGTATAATACACATAAGACAGAAAAATTTTTACACTCTGTTTAAGTTTCTTGTAGTACATCTTTTTCTAACCAGCTCATCAATTTGGACAAGTTTTTCTGTCTGTGGAACATGGTTTACTCAGTTTTTTTAGCCCTTTTTTGGGGACAAAATGTTTTAATGCTCAACATCCCTGGAGACATGCTAGCCTTGAAATGTAATACATGTCCAATTATGGGTATTCCTTTGTGTTAATAGTGTATGTTTTGAAACATATAAGGATGTTCTAATTTCATCCCATGTAAGTTTAATGCAATTTTATGTCAGATAAATATACTTGCAGTAATGAAAACTAATAAAGCATTAATGTCTAATTGTTTGAAAATAAAAGCAACATCAACTGATGACTTTTTCAATCATAATGGAAACTTGGCTGGCTTACCCTTGGATTCAAGATTCTCAACTTGAGAAAACTGCCACAACAAAAAAAAAAAATCAAAATCCAAACCAATGAGGTTTTTCTTGTTTGGATTTACAATTAATGGGTTTAATCAAAAGCCCAAATTAAAATTTTTTTACTAGGGCAAAAGCCCAAAGTTAGGAATGGTGAGAATACTGGAGCTTGGTTTGATAATTAGCCTTCCTCTTAGCCCTGTTAGATTTCTTGTTCTAAGACCCTTTACTTTCCAATTGGGAAGTAGAGTCATTTTACAATGGATTGAAAAATGAAGCATTGATTAATTTGGGTCTGTCTCCGAGAAGCTGCCAGAATCATGTGATAGAATAAAGGATAAAATGGGTTTTAGATATGCAATTTCTTTGTCACATATCTAAAGTATTTTCAACTGCAAGTGGTAAGCTGATTTTGACTGTACAATTGTGGGAACCTTTGACAAAGACCATAACTCACAAGAAATGGAAACCGAAAAAATCAGAGTTTCAGACTCCCAACTGACAATACAACCGAACCTCGTTTGACCACGTCAGCCACTTCTCATCTAATCCACAAACGTAGAAAGTGAACCCATTTTTTTGGTTGTTTTGTGGGTCAAATTCTCCCACCTAACAGCCAAAAAAACCCAACCAAAACAAACACAGCACTTTGCCACACACTGGACCTTTTTTTATCTTTCCTGGTTAGCCCATCTTGCCACAATGGAAATGTAACAGAAACCAGAAGCAAATTGTTTGCTGCTGTTTGTTACCGCTAGTAGTACGAAGGAAAGCAACAAACAACAAGCAACACTAGTGGTTGGAAGTGGAGAAGAGAAGCCATTAGCCCATGATATTATCTACTTTCTTGGCTATAGTCTCTCCTTGTTAGCTTTCCTCTTATCTGAGCCTGAAAAAAAGAAAAAAAAAACTTTAAGAAGCTTTAAGGCCTGGAAGGCTGAAACTTGTGCGAGTACTTGATTGCATCAGGCTCTGGGGGTTCAATGGCCTGTTGGGTTTTATCGGAATGTGGCCTAAGACCCCTCCCTAGAATTAGAATCTATCCTAAACCCAGGAATGCATTAGCTTTAAATAACAATAATGTTTTAATGATTAGAACTTTACCAGGTTCTAAAGCTGATAGTTTTGGTTCTTCATTCAAGGTCTCAACTCGGTCTAGAAATAGAAACTGGGGGGTGCTGAATGTGAGTGCTCCATTGAAGGTGGCAATTACTAGTGAAGATGATAAGGATAAGGAGACGATTGATGGGATTAATGAGATGGGAGATGATGGTGAGTTTGACCCAGCTGCACCACCTCCTTTTAAGTTGGCTGATATTAGAGCTGCTATACCAAAGCATTGTTGGGTTAAGGATCCATGGAGATCTATGAGCTATGTTGTAAGAGATGTTGTTGTGGTTTTCGGATTGGCTGCTGTTGCTGCTTTCTTTAACAATTGGCTTGTTTGGCCTTTTTATTGGATTGCTCAGGGAACAATGTTTTGGGCTCTTTTTGTTCTTGGTCATGACAGGTAAGTCAGTTGCTCTTTTTTTCCTGAATTCAGTTGCAGTTTGTCTTAAGCAAACTTCTAATTTTTTGCTTTTGATGCCATTTCATGAAATTTGATATTGACTTTGGACATTCATATGTTTTTACTGTTTGCTTGCTTTTGTTTTTGCAGTGGTCATGGTAGTTTCTCAAACAATCCAGCTTTGAACAGTGTGGTGGGTCATCTTCTTCATTCTTCAATTCTTGTTCCTTACCATGGATGGTTAGTTCCTGAACACTCCCATTATGTCCAAACTGATTCTATTCCCATTATTTGAAGATATTTTTACCATATACAAATCCTACTGCCAATTTTTAAGTAACAATTTTGATGATACACGCAGGAGAATTAGCCATAGAACTCATCACCAGAATCATGGACATGTTGAAAATGATGAATCATGGCATCCTGTAAAGTCTGCTAATTCATACTTCAGGAGAGTGTTTTGATTGTATTTTTCTCTTTCAGTGATTTCAATTACTTATATATACACCATTTACTTTATGCAGTTGTCTGAGAAATTTTACAAGAGTTTAGATAATGCAACCAGATTACTGAGATTCACCTTGCCTTTCCCTTTGCTTGCTTATCCTATCTATCTGGTAAGCCATTGGATGCTTCACTGGTTGAATTCATTTATGAGCCTATGATTTGCATTTACATCAATTTGTATTATAATATGTATTTCAATCACAGTGGGGTCGAAGTCCTGGGAAAAAGGGTTCTCATTTCTATCCAGACAGTGATTTGTTTGTCCCAAATGAAAGAAAAGATGTAATTACTTCAACTGCTTGTTGGACAGCAATGGTTGGGCTGCTTGTGTATTTATCTTTTGCAATGGGTCCAATCCAGTTGCTTAAACTCTATGGCATTCCTTATTGGGTATGTTCAGCTCCTTTCTAGACATTTTTCTCTCCAGTTGCAGAGAGTTTCTTCAAGTCTTTCTTTTCTGGTTCCAATTTATTTCCTGAATTCACATAAAAATGCAGATTTTTGTCATGTGGTTGGACTTAGTGACTTACCTACATCACCATGGCCATGAGGAGAAACTTCCATGGTACCGCGGAAAGGTATGAAATTGCTCCTGCTAGACTCTTGCTTCATAGTCCATTCCACCAGCCACAGCTTGAACTATCCAGTCAAGAAAATGGGAAAATCTTGTCGAAGTTGGCAATTGAATTCCTGTGTGTTTATTAAACAGGAATGGAGTTTTTTGAGAGGAGGGCTTACAACACTTGATCGTGACTACGGATGGATCAACAACATCCACCATGATATTGGAACTCATGTTATACATCATCTCTTCCCCCAAATCCCACACTATCACTTGATTGAAGCTGTGAGTAGATTCTCTCTTTCCTGCATCAATTCACTGACAAAAACAATTTAGATTCCCATACCTTTCTTATCTGCTGAAAGTTTTTCATAAACTTGAATTGCAGACTAAGGCAGCAAAGCCAGTGCTCGGGAAATACTACCGGGAGCCAAAGAAATCCAGCCCCATCCCATTTCATTTATTTGGGATCCTCATAAGAAGCATGAAACAGGATCACTATGTGAGTGACATTGGTGATGTTGTATATTACCAAACAGACCCTCAACTATATGGAACGAGCAAACCAGATTGAAGTCCTGAAATATTTCACGCTTAACAGGATTTGAGCATGATTTGATTGTCATTTGGAGCAGTTTTTTTATTCTTTCTCTCCCAATTGACAAGAGCCTATGATGTTTTATCATTCATGCTCTTCTGTGTGTATGACATGATAATACAAAAGAACTCTGCAATTTCAGTTGGGAATGGCTCTCTTTGGTGCTCTATGATCAGTACACATCGTGTGGACGAAGTAGAGAAGATAATAGATATTTAGTCTCTGTTTTGTTGGAGACGACCTATAAAATTATAGCCAGACAAGTGAATGTATGAGAGTTACGGTCCTCAATGATAAATACAAGTGCAGCCATATGGTAACAAACATGTGGCTTTCATAGTTTTACACCACACACTGACCATGAGCCCGTTTAAATCATTGAACTTGCGAGAAACCACCCAACTCTTTGAGGATTGTATGTTACATTTGCATGTCAGCTAAATTGACAAAATGTCTGAACGTTACTACAATTTCACCTCAAAAATTGACCATACTTGTAGTTCAAGGTACATATATTATGCAGTGAATGTACATAAATGTAAACTAATCCATGTCTGGATTCAATTGATACCAATGGATGAATAATCTTCACTCCCCAGATCAATCAATACCATCTTGAGCGCAAATACGGTTACTTACATCAACTCCATAAGGTCTGAGAGTATTAATGGCCTCACAAGTATTGTCAGGGTTGATTCCCCATGCCAACAGCCAGCCATGATTCCTTCGAATCTTTTGAAATTTCCTTTGCATCTGGTAGTGAAATGAACTTTTGGACTCAGGCCAAAGGATCATTCCAATAAAATTGACATCAGCTTCTGCTGCGATAGCAGCATCTCTAGCTGATGTAATACCACACATTTTGACCAACAGGTGATTCTTTTCATGCTCCTCATCAGAAGAGAAGACTTGGTTCAATTTTGTAATGTTGCATCTGATTTTATTCTTTGGGTGTGGCTTGATTCTTAAGACCAGCAATTTTCTTCCTTTTCAGCCTGCTACTACAAACACTCTTTAAGAAAGAAGACTCACTAAACATTCAAAGAATCATCTGAAATCAGAAATTACCAGTGAAAGTTCAAAACTTTAGGCTGAAATTGACTTCCAGTAGTTAAAACTGTGTCGACAATGAATATAACAGACAAAATGCACTAAAAAACATTTACTTCCAGTTCCAGCAGAAATGCACAACAAAAGAGACAAAAGAGTCACAATTTAAGTTTGTGTCCGACTAAAATCAAGCTAACATATAACACAAAGTCCATTTAAACATATTCACATTGGAAAATAAAACATATTGGCTTTTTGTTTTCAGAAAGTTTTTCATATTATGCGCTGGCATGTCAAATCAAGTTTTGGCCAAAGCTTGGACAAAATCAGTATGGCAAAAATGTGATTTTCTGTTTGTAGAAATGCTAGGGCAAAAATGTGAAACAAATTTCTTCCGCTGAAAGCCCATTTACTAAGGAGTTGGGTCCGACAGGGGATCAAATCTCCTTCCAAGTGGGACTATTAGGCCAGATTCAGACCCACTAAAAGCCCACATAGTGGTTTGATGGCCTAGGGTAAGACCCAATAAGCCCATTTTAAAGCCATTTATCTAAGTCCAATTAGGGGTATAAATAATTGAATTCGATACACCATTAAGCTCGAGTTTAAACTCGACTCTGAATTTGAAACTCAAGTTCAATCAAATTTTATTTTTTTAAGCTCAAATTTGACTTGAAATAAAATTTGAACTACTAGGGTTTATTGAATTAACCTTGATTAATATATAAAAATAAATTTTTATATTTGATAAAAATTTAATTATTTGTACTTGAACTCGAACTCAAGTTCGAAATATTTTACTAATTAAAATATATTAAAATATAAAAACTTGATTAAATTTGCGTATAAAAATATTCAAACTCGATTTAATTAATAAATCGAACTATTCGAACTCAAACTCGACTTGATTATAATTGAGTTAAATTTAAATTTTATTTGAATCAAATCCAAATAACTTACAAATAATAATATATCATTTATACTTTTAGATCCAATAGCTGAAAACCTTTGCTAGATTACAGACCCGTAAGCTCAGATTTGAAGGATAGCGGCAATCTTCAGATTTATCCTACTTAGGAGTCCAGAGCTCCCATGTAGCATTTGGAAAAATTATTGTGATAAAGGACTTTAAGAGCCTGATCCAGATCAAATACTGATCCCCTTGTTTGATGTAGTTGGTTACAGTGATTTTTGACTCATCGAACCAAAGCCAGTTTGAGCTCAGGTTCAGCTTGAAAATGCCATAGGAACAGCTAAAGCAGCTGCGCTGTTCAATCTTTAAAGATGGTTTCTTTAAGGCTGAACATTTAACAGAAAATAATGTATCATATCAAAACAAATTCCATTATGGAAAATTACTACGAGTCATTGATGAAGTGCATGATGGAGGATTTCGTTCTAATATTACAGAATTTCATCAGAAAAAGTAGGTAACAAACATTTTCTCTGCCACTAATCTCCATAACTTCTCCTTGCTAAAAACATAGAAAATCATTCCTCAAGGGGAAAGGAAAAGAATCAATAAATTTCTTTGTTCGTCCAGCTTTTTCCTATTTCTAACATGAGCTATGTTTTGCTTCTTGACTGATCCGTAGATATATTGCCTTTCATCTTCTACCATCCAACTACAGCTATCAAATACTAGTAAGAATCCAAGAATATGAAATAAGTTAGAATAAAGCAATGAGCAAACGGAACTTCCTTATGCCACCATCTGCTCCTGTTCTATGTACATTTGCTCCACCCATGGTGGAAGTGTTTCTCGAACACCTTTACCAATACTGTATTGCTGCTGCTGTTGCCGCTGCAACCCACCTCCCAGAGGAGTAACATCTTTCACAAGGGAATGAACCCAGGACACATCTGGCTCATCGACATCAGATGGCATCATGTCTTTTGCTGCTGTTGCTGCAGGATTGTTGTTTCGAAACCCAAAGGAAACAGACTTCCTAAGCTTGTTGAGCTCATCTCCTTGAATGCCCCAATCCAATTTCCCATCCGGGGAACCCCAATCAGAAATATTTGAAGACATCATAGTTGCAGAATTAGCAGGTGCAGTAAGTCCAGCACGACTGGTCATTGTTCCACGGTCTATAAAACTCTGGCTTCGTTTTGCAAATGGAGACGACCTGGAATTCATTACTGCTGCCGCCACTGCCGCAGATGAGTCAAAACCAAAGGCCAAGGGCTTCCTCACTGCAGATGATGAAATGCTTGTTGGGTAGCTTGCACGGAGTTGGTTCAAGTTTTGGCGAATTTGACGCCCAGTTGGAGATTGCAACTGGGTTGGTGTTGCAGATTTTGCTGACAGTCCCTTCAATGGAGACAGCAGGGAAGGATCAAGGGATCCAAAAACATCATCAAGATTAGCAGGCTTCAAATCCCCAAGTCTACTGTATTCCTTACTCCAGCAAGATGGGGACGAGAGACTAGATATCTCATCCATCAACTGTTGCTGTTGCAATTGGCTAGCATGGTTTTGGAGCCCAAGTAATTCCATTTCCAATTCAAAATCTCTGGCACTGAAAGCAGTCTTCAGGCGGCTACCCGATAGCTGCAAGGCAGGTGGGGTGAGGTTAATTTTGTTCTGCCACAAGCTTCCAGTATTTGGAGAGGAAGAGGCAGCCAAAGGAGACATAGGTGGTGTTGAAGCAGTAGGCAGTGGCAAGGATGATGAACTAAGTGCTAGAGGACTCAAAGTTGCCATGTCCACTGCATTGACTGCAGCAGACCTTGGTGAAGGCATGGCTGAACCGGTGGAAGCATACACCGGACGCAATTCATCAGGTTTGTGAGCAAAAAAACAAACTTTGCGTGTGCAGCTGATCTCATCTTTGCAAAGCCTTGTCCGGTACTGGGCAGGATGAAGCCAGGATTCAAACACACCATGTGCATATTCACAAGCATCACCCTTAGGGCAAGCCCCCTTTCGGAACTCTGGGCAGGGCACACAGCTATAAGGGAACTTCCTTGGGTCCCTTCTCCTTGCATTCTCACCAGGATGAACAAAAGGGCATTCGGTCCAATCATGGGAGTATGCCCTCGAACAAGGCTTCACCTTAAAGGTATACATCCTGAAGTCATCAGTTCCATATATCCCGTTGTTGATATCAGGCAGTGTTACATCAATAGGATATTCTTTCTTCTCAGTCCCTTCTTTCAGCAACTGAGGCAGAGCTGCCCTTTCAGATTCTTCTTCCTGGTTAAGAATATTATCACTAACACCGACAACATCATCGCCTTTCAGCAACAACTCAATCACCTTCCTTCTGGAATTACTCAAAGATTTTAAAGCCGGCACAATCAGATCAATAGGTTTGTTCCCATTAGCATCAACACAATTAGCATCAGCTGATGCATGAAGCAAGAGCTTGACAACCTCTACTGAAGAATTCGAACCACCAGCAACAGCACAATGAAGGGCAGTAACTCCATCACTACCACAAGCTCTATTCACATCAATCTTGCCACTTCCAATGATGTATTTCAAAACATCAACGCTACCAAACATGGAAGCGATTAACAAGGGTGTTCTCTCTTCAAACCCCATCTTTCTTGACCCTATTCTTCTACCATACCAGAAGCTTGACTCACCAAGATCCAAACCTTTCTCTTCTACTTCACTTTTAAAGGCCACCAGATCATCAGAGGCAGCCAATTCAAGCAAAATAGAGCATTTACATAGAGCAACAGCTTCTCTCTCCTGTATTTCACCTTCCATGATGAAACTTGAGGGAACAAGTTCACTCTTTGAACCACTGCACATCCCCTACAGGCCCTGAATAATTATTATAGCAACAAGAATTCAGTTTCTCACTCCATAGCAAAAATTAAAAATGAACAAAGCATTCATTGTGCTAGACCAAAGTACAAAGAAATCTTTATGGTCTACATACAACTTAAAAGAAACAAAATTTTCATTTCATAGAACCTGAAAGCAAACCAAATTTTGTATTTTCTGTTACATATACCTCAATTCCAAATAAAGAAAAAATTCAAACATAGTATACGGAAAACATAAGGCTAAAACATAAATCCTCTAAAACAAAGACCCAAAATTCACACTTTTGAACAAAAAACCAAAAACCCAACAGGCAAAAACTCATCAACTAAACAAATATTAGAGCAAACATACATCGAGTTACTTTTATTAACAAACAAGAAAAAGGCTATCAAAGCTAAAGTTCCAGTCTTTTTACCTGTAAGCAGACTCTGTTGGAGAAAACAAAGAGAAGATAAAAGGGTATTAGTTAAAAAATTGAGTGAGGAGAAGAGAGTCGGATTTGAAGAAACTTTGAGGAAAAAGAAGAGCAAATTGAGGCCTATTTAAGTTTGGGCATTGAGGAAGAAGGGAGGAAAGTGCGACTTTTCTTCCCTTCTCCTTCTGATATGGTCAGAGTCAAAACTTCAAAGGGTAGGTTTTAACTGCTGCTCTCTCTTGCAATGAAAGAAGAAATGAAAGGAAAATGGAAGTGAAATTTGTAATGAAATGCAAATGAACTTCATCAAGATTTCAACGCCAAACTGGACTTTGCCTCCACGCGCTTTGGATTATCTCAATCTTTTTCTATTGTCTGTCCCGTCCTATTGTTGGAAACTACTTGCGAAGGAGCAGGTGAAGAGAAAGAGATTGAGCCTCACTCGCTGGAAGGGTCCGAGCGAGTGAGAGATTCCAAGCAGTGATCAAGTCAATGAGGTAAACCCTTTACGCGTTTCTCTACCTTTAGGTGGGTGACAGGATATGCCCCTGACTCACCCTTCCACTTTCACTGTTTGGACACTGACCTTTTCTTCTCTCTCCCTATTAATTATTATTGTTAGAATTAACAAAACTTATTTAAATTCAAAAGATTCCGAAATAAAATTCCTTACTACTTTAATTAAATAATTTTTTATTTTTTATTTATATATGAATAAATTTTTATTTCAAATAAAAAATTAATTTATATTAAAATTTTATTTAAATAAAATTAAAATTTAAGAATTTATTTGAATATAAATTAAAAATTAAGTGTTTATTTATATATAAAGAAATGTTGAAAATTTATTTAGATATAATAAAAATATAAAAATTTATTTAAATAAAATGATAAATTTTAAAAAATTAATTTATTTAAAAATTTTAATAATTTAAAAATTAAAACAAACCAAATTCAATTATCCCAATTCAAAATCATTCGAATAATTTAAAATCTTTTTCTCGAAAATAAGTCCATTGGCCCAATTATCATTTCAAAATATAATCAAAATTTGGTTACAAATATTTATAAACGTATGTTACGATTAATTAAATTTTATTTTTTAAATATTTTTTCGTTTACCGTACTATTCTGTCACATTTAAAACAAAGCAATCCAATCAATTATGTAAATATTTACAAATATCATGGGCAAATATTTATAACAATTTTTTATTATTTTTATGTTTTTCAATAGTATTTTTTAGAGTTTATTATTATAAATTAGTTGTTAATTTATTGTTGGATTTTTCTTTTGGGGGGCACACCTATGATGCTGAACTCTCGGGCCCATTGCCTTTGACTTGCAAAGCAATTTCTTTCATGTGACTAAACAGTATATTTTTGACCAAATTAACAGTTTGTCAGGTGTCTTGGATCATGTTATTGTTGGGATTTCAAAGCATGAATCAGATTTGGAAGGCTTCAATCATATGTTAAATATGAATATATGATAAATGTGATCAATTATTTTAATCCCTAAAATTTTTCAATGCTACGGTTTAAAGAAATTAGGACTTACAAATTGTTTAGATATAAAAATGTTCAAAAGGATGGAATAGATTCAAATCTTAGATTTTAAAATTATCAAAAAAAATAAAATTAAATCCGATAATTTATATATTTGTATAATATAAAATATTAAAATTTATATATCATATTTTAATTTATATAAAAATTATGTTTTATAATTTATATTCACGTGAAAATATAAAATAATTTTTTTTACTTTATTAAATTCATACGTAGTTATTATTAAAATTTGAAGTTAAATTATTTTTGTATATTATTTTTATATTGTGTTCATATCGTATTATCGTATTATATTTTAAATTATTAGATTTAACTAAAATCTTTTAAACCAAATATTATTCATTTTGGGTAATTGATTTTTTTTAAAGAAAAAATTGAATTATCATTTTTTTATTTGATTGAAGTTTGTAATTATGACGTGTTTTCCCTATTTAAAATTAATAGAAATTTTTATTATTTTATTTAAAATGATAAATGTACTTTCAGAACAGTCATTCAAATCGTTTTTATTAATTTTAAATTATTAAATTTTAACTATAGATTCAATTAAAAACGTATTTATCATCTTTAGATAAAATAATAAAAATTTTTATTGGTCTTTAAGTAGTGAAGAAATCTTTTCCCTATTAAAAATTGTGAAAATTTACTATTGAATCAAATATATAATTTTTATATTTAATTTTTTTTAAAATTAAATCATTATCACTAAAATTATGAGTTTGTACTCTATCAATAAATCATACTATCGTTAATTATAAATAAAATTTTTATTTTATGTTTATGAGTCCTTTTTCAAAAAAATTATAAAATTTTTAAGCTAAAATGAATAATTTTTACATTTTTTAACATGGATCTCTACAATAATAAACTTTTTAAGTCACGTTTATACAATTTGTAGAGACTTCACATAATGTTTAAAGAGTGCTGCTAAATGTATCATCGTTTTTTTTTTTCTTCACACCTCAATTTTTTTTGTAAATTTTTTTTAAGTGAAATTACCTAATTACCTTTTTTACAACTTTCTAAAGTTCTATGAGTTTCCAAAAATAAATTTTCAAAAAGTTATATTAGTTTTGGAAAATAAATTTTCCAAAAAGTTTATAATTTTTCAGAAAACCATTTTTGAAATTTTGTGTGAAAGAAAAGGATTATTAAATAAGTTTACTCAAAAAATATTGAAAAAAAATGGAGTATGAAAAGAAAAGATTTAAGATGTATTTAACAGCAATACTGTTTAAACTTTAGAAGGGTAAATAAAAAGGCATTATAAACATGTCACAAGACGAGGGAAAAAGCCAAGAAGATGTCACAAGAATAAGACAACAGATTATAAGAGTCAAGCATGAATTAGGGGAGATTGGTTTCCTAACCCAATTTTAAAACAATTTGTTTTGAAGTTGTGCCAATGGAAGACAAATAACAGAGCAGTCAAGCTGTATCTAAACGAAAGGAAAGAGTTTGATTATATATGTATAGCCGTCAAGGATGATTTTAGGTTGTCTGGTCTGGCCAACATTCTTTGATTGCATATAAATGGTTATCCTTGATGGATTGACTACACAAAAACAACTATCAATTGCATCATTGGAATATCGTAAGAATGGCATTGGAAGTGTAAATAATATATTAATATTCATAACTATTTAGATTTGATTTAAATAAAATTTGAATTTGATTTAATTATTATCAAATAAAGTTTGAGTTTGAATAATTCAACTTATCGATCGAACAGAATTCAAATATTTTTATATTCGACTCGAGTAATTTACGAATCTAATTGAATTTTTATATTTTAACCTATTTTAATAATAAAAAATATCGAACTCGAGCTCAAATACAAATAATTAAATTATTATCAAATATAATAATCAAGTTTATTTTTTTATATTAATCAAACTTAATCGAATGAGTTTGAATAATTTAATTTTTATATCAAGTCAAGTTTAAATTTTAAAAATAAAATTTAATCAAGCTTGAATTAAGTTTCGAACCTTAAATTTAAAATTGAACTTAAACTTGAATTTAATGTTATATCAATTTAAAATTGATTAATTACACTTCTAAATAACACTCAAATACAATTTATGTATTAGAGGGAAAGATACTCCATGTCATGATTATAATTTGAAATGTACCAATTCAAATATCTCAAGTACATCGATGTTATAAATATATTATGTATAAAATAATTGGTACCAATATATACTGGCATATGCTACATTTAAAAAAAAAAATTGAATCATTTTTCGATGCGGTATTAATAATTTTGGTTCGAATTCTCTTTGTTTAAAAAAATTCAGTTACAAGGCTGATATTGGGTCTGGCCTAACCAAAAGGTCTGCCGATCTCCTATTTTTGGGCTGGTCCTGATTCGTAACCCAACTAAACTTCATCTAAACCGAGCCAGAGACTGATTTCGTTTGGTGGACTCTATGTCCATATCTATTTTGCTATTTGGGTCACATGGGCCACATCCCACTATCATACTTGAAATAATCAAACACATCATATTATTAGTCTCCAAAATTAGGAGATTTATTGTATATTTTAATTTGATCTATCAAGTTAAATGTTTGGGTCAAGTGATTAATTATTTTAATTTGATCTATCAACTTAAATGTTATCATATAGTACGTTTGTAAAAAAATTATTAAATAAATTGTTGACGACTCTCCAGACAAAAAAAAAACACTAATTTATTATTTCCTTTTTTTTTTAGAAACAAGAAACGTTGTTCAACTCAAAATCAATTAATTTGAGTTAATGGGGAGTTTCATGTAAATCACAACGCATACATCCAAATTTTTTGAAATAAAAAAATTCAAAAATATTGTTATGAAAGTAACAAAAATTTCACTTTCATTTTGGCTGAAGTGGCAGGCAAACAAAAAGTATGTACTCTTCATGTCAAAGCTTATCCACACGTTGGACTAAAATTGGCTTCCACTGCGTGATTTAGTCTTTCAAAATCCCAATAATTGCAATAATTAACCCACGTGCTTAAGACTTTATCCAATTAGAATATTTTTTAACTTTCTTTTTTCTACATGTTGAAAATTAATTTAATTCAATCACCCAAATTAATGGCCAACTGTCAACTGTTGTCGACAATGATAGTAATAATAAAATCAAGAGCAAGTGGTCTCGTGTTTACTTAAACTTTATTTGATTGGATAATGAAATTAATTACAATAAAATTTTAAAAAATAATAATAATTATTATAGTTATAATTAAAAAAATTTATCATAATTGTTATTGAAAAAATTTATAAAATATTTATATTAAATGAATCACACTAAAATTAATATTTAAATATAATTAATGATTCAATAATTTCGTACAAAAAATATGATAGAATCCAAATTGACACTAGTTTATGAAGTGAAGCTAATCGTGTTGTCACCGTCCTAAATCGTTGAGCTTAACATTCAGCTACAAGAGAAAATGATAACATACACTAATATTTGTAGCAAAATTGTACGCGTGGCACTTGAATCATACAAAAACCAAATACGAAACCAATATGGCTGTCATTCTCCAACTTTGCCCAGTCATTCTCTGTCTAAATTATTTTAACTTGTTAAGTTACAGCATGGAGAAATTCAAGAGTTTGTGCTTCCACGGCCAATTTTATGATCAAGTTATTTTGTCAAATTAAGATGTCTGGGCACTTTCTTTTCCTTTCCTCCAAACAGACGCATAAATTTGTGTGCTTTTATGTAGGGTTAGCAATATAATTCGTATCGATCACATTCTAATCTAATTAATTTTATAAGATTATTTTTTTAATTGAGTTTTAAGTTAAATTAAATTGAGTATTTTTAAATAAAAAAAATCAAGATCGATCGAAATTAAATTTTATGTAAATTCATCTTGATCTAATTTAATATATATATCTATATGTTATTTTTATTATTTATATTTAAAAAATAATATTTTATATAAAAAATTAATATTTTATTAATTTTAGATCGAGGATCAATTGTATATTTAAATATATATGGATCGCGACTCATTACCGTCCCTATGACTGTGTCATGACACTTGAAAAACTTCAATGGAGTGAACCAGAAACTTTTCACCTGATCTGTGCTCCAGGGCTTTTTGGCTTTCGCTTTTTTGGGTTCCCCTCTATACCAACTGATGGAATCGATCCGTTAAACTTAAAACGCTAGCCAAAAGCTTAAAGCTACTGATCTGATTTTAACAGGCCAAGAACCAAATTTGAAACTTTAATTATACTATTAATAATGCTGACCACCATTATTTTGGAATTAATAGAGATGATCATGAAAAGGAAGAAAACTTGTGGGGGCAGATTCAAGTTGATCACGCACTGAGATGGGAACACAATCGCTCTCATAGGGTCATGGCTGAGTTTATACTTATCAGCGGATGAATTGATTTTGAAGATGGAAATGTGTGTGTTCTCTTCCATATTTGCCTGTCTGCTTCAGAAGAGATCGACGGGCCTAAAAACACACTGAATCACTAGGCACAGAAATCCCATCTATCATTGAAGCTCAAGATTCAAAGTTTAATTGCTAAAAGAATAGAAGATGACGCGTCAATCCCCTGAAGCTTAGGTATTACGGCTCAAACTTATACAACATGACAATAATGATCTGCCAAAGAGGATTGTGGCTCAATTATCTGGATTCAAATCTAGTTGGTAGCCTCTAATTGGTGCTTATCTGATACGTAGCCAATGAAACTTTTTTAAGATTGCACATTTTGTCCTGATTAAAGTCTTCAGTCATCAGGCTCTCCCCCACAAGTACAAATCACCTTTTCTTTAAGAAAAAAAACCCCATCTCTTTCACGTTCTCTTTCTTGTCTATTTCAAGTTTCTCTACTTCTCGACTCATCCCCTATAACCCTTTAACTACCACTCCTCAAACCCTTCGCAAACCCATCTCTCTCTTTCAATTTGTTGTTTTGAAAGTCTAAGGAAGTAGGACTTTGCTTTGCTTCATCGTTCTCCTTCAACTTGGGAAGCTAAACCTACTAAAAAAGAGTTTTTTTTTTTTTTTTTTTATCGTCATGAACAGTCTACATGACTGGCCTGAACCAATAATCCGTGTCCAGTCCTTATCCGAAAGTGGCTTACCAATCATTCCAGGTAGATATGTCAAGCAAGATACAGATAGGCCTTCCTTAAACCCCGACAACAGCGATGTTAATATTCCAATAATTGATCTTACAGGCTTATCAGAAGATGAAAATACTCTTCCTGCCACAACGCTTGAGCAAATTTCTCTGGCCTGTCGAGAGTGGGGATTTTTCCAGGTCGTTAACCATGGAGTTAGCCCTGGATTAATGGACCGAGCACGCGAAACTTGGCGAAGCTTTTTCCATTTACCTATGGAGATTAAGGAAACTTATGCTAACTCCCCCAAGACTTATGAAGGTTATGGCAGCAGACTAGGAGTTGAAAAAGGTGCCATTCTTGATTGGAGTGATTACTACTATCTTCACTATCTTCCATTAACACTCAAAGACTATAACAAATGGCCTACCTCTCCAGATTCTTGCAGGTAAGATTTAGAATAAAGTTTATCGGATCTTTAATCTAAAGCTGTCAGATATTAAATTCTTATCTCTAAAACTAAAAATCCGACGTATATATCACTCGCTTGTTTGCATTTGTACTGTTTTTACTGTAGCATTTGCTTATTTTTTTGGCTTATTCAACGGCTGTACTATGCTAATTTGTCATGCTATGCACTTCGTCACTTCTTAGTCAACTGTCTAAAGTGTCTCACCTTTGCCTGCTTCTCATAACTATACGTTAGGGACGAGCTCCAACTGAGGGTCAGATCTTAAAATCACAAAAGAAAAAAAAGAGCGGTTAAGGATAAAGGTAGGGTTGCATTTTATGTTTACACTCTTACGTTCAAATAAAAAATCAAAATAAAAGAAGTCGGAGGGAAAAGAAAATAGGAAAGTAAAAGAAATAATTAGATAAATAGATAATATTTGAATAATTTTATTTATAAACAAAAAGAGAGAGAGGTTTGTAAGTAGAATAATAATGTAACTAAGTCGATACAATACTGTATATATCAAGTCGATTCAAAACTATAAAATATCACTTTTTATCTGCTAACAATTCTAATAATGAAAAAGACTAATTTACTTTTTAGACCAAAAAATACCCTTAACAATATATTACACTATTATTTCATTGACAATTAATTTGGACTTAACCTAGCCTAGTTAATCTGATCTTTTTTAGTTTATTCAAATTTGGATCGATTTTTTCAGTATATGATTGATTAAAGTTGATTATTTGATGACTTTAGGGAAGTAGTTGATGAATATGGGAAGGAATTGATGAAGTTATGTGGGAGAATAATGAAGGTTTTGTCCATAAACCTTGGATTGGCAGAGAACCATCTTCAAAATGCATTTGGTGGGGAAAACATTGGGGCATGTCTTAGGGTGAACTTTTATCCAAAGTGTCCACAGCCTGATCTGGCCCTTGGTTTGTCATCCCACTCGGACCCTGGTGGCTTGACCATTCTCTTACCAGATCATGAAGTCCCAGGTCTTCAGGTTAGGAAAGATGGCAGGTGGATCACGGTGAAGCCTGCCCGGTTTGCGTTTATCGTCAACATCGGTGATCAAATTCAGGTGAATTTTTCTAATCCCTGGATTATCCGAACAAACTGGAAAATGTTTGGCACATGGAAGGGTCATGTTTTGATGGGCTAATGAACCAACTATTGCTATACAATTAAGCTTCTCAAAACATTATAAAACACAAAATTTTCAGATTTCTTTTGTTTTTTCTTAAAGACAGACAAAGTGGATAAACATGATGATTTTAAGGTAATGAGATGTTAGAAGATGTTTGATTATCTCTAATCTCCATGAGTTAGAAAAGTATTACATATCATTTGTGTTTTCTTTGCCATTTTCCTCTTTTAACTTTCTAAAACTCCTAATTGTTTAAACAATTTATAATGTTATCAACAACAATTCAACAATGGAAAGCTAATCTTAGATTGACAATTACATGCCCTTGCCCCCAACAGGAAGTTTTCTAGTTAAATAGTTGGTCCAGAAATATGCTTGATTGATTTTCTTTTTTTTTTCAAAAGAGATCATAATTTAAGATAGGGAAAGAAACTGTAAATACTGATATTTAAATTTTAAATTTATTGAATTTTATTTTTTAAAAGTGATTATATAAACTAATTAAATTAAAATTAATTACATATGCGGCTAATTGCACATTTTTTTCCTTTTTATTTCAATTTTCATAAATACTAAAAAATCTCAATTTTTTTGTCATGTGATGATTTTATTTTTAAAAATCATGATCTTAAAGTATTGTTTGAAAGTGTTTTTTCCAGTTAGGAAAATAACACGATTGATTTCAATTATGAAATTATGATTATCCAAAAACTATTCTCTTTTTGAATTCACAACGTCACTTCAGCGTCATGAAAGCTAAAAATAAATAATTGAAATATAACGATTAATAATTTTTATCTGTTAGTATAACAATTCAAACTCAACCTATTAGTTGTCATCACTTATAACTTAAGAATATTCAATTTCCCCCACTTTATTTGACCTAATCCAACCTAATTTAAAATGAAAAGAAAAAAAAAAAAAAACTCTCGTGTCTTATTTTTTTGTAAAAGAGGTTGTAACATAAGATAAAGGAACATATTATTTTTAAATGTTATATTTTAAAAATAATTATATAAATAAAATGAAACCCTAATTTCGGATTTACCGTTTATCTTTATTTATATGGATTTTGCTTAATAAAGATGCTAAAAATCTTGGTTTTTTTTTTTTTTTCTTAATTGAATCAGGTCCTAAGCAATGCAAATTACAAGAGTGTTGAGCACAGAGTGATAGTGAATTCAGACATGGAAAGGGTATCTTTGGCCCTCTTTTACAATCCAAAGAGTGATATACCAATCAAACCAGTGGAAGAACTGGTTTCAGCAGACAAGCCCGCGCTGTATTCGCCGATGACATTCGATGAATTCCGGCTTTTCATCAGATTAAAAGGTCCCAAAGGCAAATCCCAGGTGGAATCTCTCAAATCTCCAAGATGATTGAGATTTAATCATTGTTTTTTAATTTGAATTCACTGTAAATCTCATTGCCAAATAATTCCTTTCTTTTTTCTTTCTAAGTTATTATTTAACTATGAATTTTGTAATTTATCCTTACTTTACAATTAAAACTAGGAGTTAAAAAAATTGAAAGAAACAGTTGGAACAGAAATTTGATTATTTTGTCATTGTACTTTTGGAAAACTTTTTCCAGGTCCTGAAATTTAGATATTATATTTTATAATATGATACAATAACACAACACAAAAATAACATGAATAAAATATACGAAAATGAAATTATTTAAAATTTTAGTAAAAATTATAAATATTTTAACAAAACCAAAAATATATATTTTATATTTTTGTGTCAATACGAATTGTAACACGTAATTTTTGTATAAAATATGATATGAATATACATATTATCAATTTTTTACATGATACGTATATATGAATTGTCAGATCTACTGAAATTAATTGAAATTTTGAAACAAAAATGAGATGATTATAGGTTTAATAATCAATTAAACCTATATATTAGATAATTATATCAAATGAGTTAAAAAAATTCATCTTGAGGTTTTTTTTTTGCTTGAAAACAATGTAATAATATATATATATATATATTACAAATAAATCATATGATATTTAAAAATAATTGAATGTTGCCATAAAAATTTATTACTATATAATGAATGTGTAAGATTTTCAAAATCAAATAAGAAAATAATAAGATTTTCAAAATCAAATAAGAAAATAATTTTTGAAGATACAAAATGGTCCATTTTAATGGGACCATTTCTTTTATATTTGTAGCATAGTGTAGAAATTCTCACATGTTAAATATGCTATAACATTAAGTAGTTTAGATAAAGACGGAAGGTTCAATTCAAGGATTTTGACCCCTCATTTGAATGATAAGAACACTTAAATTAAGGCTGAATTATTATTTTATATGTGAATATTTTGTATAAGCACTAATTCCCCTTAACAATTAAAGAAAAAAAAAACCAAATTATTTGGACAGCATTGACTTCTATGGAATTTTTAAAAAAAATTAATATATTTAATATTAAAATTTAAAATTTTTATAAAATTAAAGTTTCAAGATTTTTAATATTAAAAGTAAAAAAATCATAAATAATTTTAAAATATAAAAAAAGAGTTTTAGATGTTTAAAAAAAATAAAACATAATTTTAAAACATCCAAGAAAAAAAAAGAACAAAGAAAATGAGACAGAGAAAATATTTATTTGTCTATTTATCAATATGGAGTACTATTCATTTCATAAAAAATTAAAAAAAAAAAAAAGCAAAAGAAAGCTAATATATTTATCTAGTTAAATATTTGCTTTTTTTTTTTTTTTACAAAGAGATTACAATTTGAAAACTGAAGAAGAATTTTGTAAGTATTGATATTTAAATCCTAAATACTTGTAAAAGTAATATATGAATCAATTAAATTAAATTTTAAAATTTTAATTTGTGTCGATTCATCTAGTGTAATTAAGGATTTAGAGCCACTTTTCAGTTTTAACTTATCCTATTCATGTCATTTACACCTTTATCTCCCACTAAACATAGAAAGATATTATATATAAATTAAACAATCTAGTCATCTTTTGTTTTCTCCAAGTCATGATCAATTAGAGGTTAATTTTTTTATTTATCAATTCAACAACCATTGCTTAAAGTCAACACTGTCAACTATAAATTAAGGTGGCTCTCATAGCATAATATTAGTTTAATTGTGTAAAATATGATCACATGCTTAATTATTATGATCATGTAGCTTTTTAGTGATATTTTTAAATATTAAATTTGAAAAACAATAATATTATAATGGAAAAGAGTTCGCTTGAGTTCTATTTTTAAAAAATTTAAGTTAAAAATATTTTAGGGTTTACATTATTTTAAATAGTTTAGTTGGTTTGAGTGGTTGTTTAGTGTTGATTTAGTGCATTAAAATTGATAATGATGCAACATTTGGTTCATAAAATCCATGAAAGAATCAGTGTTTGGTCATCTTTTTATTTGTTTTTAGATTTTTTTTCTTTTTTTTAAAAGAAAGTTTCCATTAAATCATGTTGTAATCCCGACTTTGTAATAATCTATCTTTTAAAAAAGATCGATGAATTATTTCTATTAAACCTCAAATTCTAATTGATAAAACTTTGATCAGTTTAATAATTACGTGATTAAAAATAAAAGAAAAATGATAAGTCTAAATGTACGCATTTCCTTGACTTGTAACAAAAATTATCCAATAAAAAACAGCAAAGTACCCATTGCCAAATGTCTGTCCATATCATTAAAATCGAAACCATAATTTCAAAACCAGATTTTAATAATGTTTGGTTTGTTTTCAGACAACGACTTATGAAAGAATCACAAAAAAAGACAAGAATCGATTGCCCCAATCGACTTAATCATAAAACCTAATACAAATTATATGAGTTTGATAGCTTTTTGCATGATCATCAAACTTTTAATTTATTAAAAAAGTTTGGAGGGATTTTTAGATAATTAAGGAGAGATCAATATTTTATCTAACAGGTGGCATCTAAGTTATATTAAAACTAGGTATAATATGTAATTATCGTAGTTGAGCTTTGGCTTGACATTGCCACTCCCTCGATATTATAAGATTCTATAATTTTAGATTTTGTAAAAAAGATTCTTATCATATCGACATATCATTTCAAGACTAAACTCTTAATCTTTCATTGTTTCATTTTATATGATTTGAAATCGCTTATATATGTATTATAATTTTTTTTTGTTACAAGTGATTGATTTACAAAAAAAAAAGTATGAAAGTTCGCATTCAATTTACGAAATATTATTCGTTTTGATCGAAAGTCTTACGATTTTATCTCATAAATTTTTTTTACATATTTAGATTTAGTTTCCACTTATTGATGATCGTTTTAATATTATTTGTGAAGATCCATACTGAATTTATAAGATATTACTTATTTTAAATCAAAAAATTCATAATTTATGTCTCAAAAAATTTCTCATAATTATAAATTTTGAATTTTTATACATATATATATCATATCATATCGATATATTTTTTTTAGTGTAAAATTGAAACATCATAAAGATAGTAATTAGTTAATTTTTTATCTCATAAATTTCATCTATCACCGGCTTAGAAGTTAAATCCGAAACCATAGTACATGTTAACTTAACCTGTGGAATTAGATTAAATGAGATAAAGACATGATTAAAACAGTTTGAAGGACAAGTTTGTGAATTGAGTTTCCATTTGGTCCATAAGTTTCTTGACAAGAAAATTGAAGAAATGAAACAAGATTAATGTGCTAATGTCTGGATCTCAATTCCAGTGATTTTTTGGAAAGAAAAAAAAATCTTCTGACATTTTGACTATGAACAATAAGTATATGATTGATTTTTATTGGAAATGACTCTTCCATCACCAACCTACAAAATGAGTAGTACTACCTTCATAAAGAGAAAAAGGAGATCAAACAAAAGAGAGGAGAATCCTGAAGGATAGATTTAAATGATACGTAAACATTCGTAAATTTTTTAGATTCAATTACAATAAAATTCAAATATTCAAATTTAATTTAATTATTATTGATATTATTAGAACCAAGCTTAAATTTAAATAATTCAACTTATCAATTAATTTGAAAAAAAAGAGGTAAGACAAAAAAATTAAACAAATTTAAAATTACGATATACAAATGATATGTTAATATTTGTAAATTATTCGAATTTGATTCGAATAAAATTTAAATTTAATTTGATCAAAATTCAAATTTAATTTGATTATTATCGAATCGAACTTAAATTCGAACAACTAAACATATCGAGCTAACCGAATTTAAAATTTTTAATATCGATTCAAATAGTTTACAAATCTAATCAAATTTTTATATTTTAATATATATTTTTATTACTTTAATTAAAAAATCACTATTTTACCTTTATATATAAAAATTTAAACTCAAATTTAAACACAAATAATCCAATTTAAAATCGAGCATAAAAATTAAACTCAATTTTTATTTGATAGATGAATCTAATTAAACAAGTTCGAATAACTTTAACTTTTATTTCAAGTTAAACTCCAGTTGAACTCAAACTCAAGTTTTTTACTATATCGACTAGGTTCAACTCAATTACACCCCTGTAGATAAGAGGAAACTTCGATCATCTACTTGTGAATTTCATTCCATGACAGAACAACATAAGCACATGAAAGAAAGGAAATGGAAATTTCAGTAAGGGAAACAGAGAAGGCATTAACAGATAAATTAATCTGCAGAATGCATATGCATCATCCATTTGTATGTCACTACGTGTCATTCATGTACCTAAAGAACTAAAGTAATTGGCATCCAATTTAAGGATTTTCCAGTACCAACACAATTATGGATTCACTATAGCTGCTTTACAGCATCATCAGTGAATAAAACCGACCAGGTTAGTCACTCCATTGGCTGCTACTGCCTTAACTTTTTTTGGCATGAAGGGCATTTGTAAAACTTAATCATTTCTGCCTTGGCTGGGGTTATCTTCACACACTTTCCATGGTACCACCGTTCACAATTATCACAACCGATCCAAAACTCATCAGAATTGTATCCTCCGCCACAGGTCCCACAAAAGGTATCACCCTGCTCTTCTTCATCCTCCTCGTAACTTTCATCGGCTAACTTACGATTGCTTCTTGGCTGTCCATCAATTGACCTCTAACAGGCAAAAGGCAAATTATAAACAAAAAATAAAGCATATGAAAGAACAAGGACGATACAATGTTCACATTTAACAGTTTGAATTGCTTCCGTCATTCACCTTTGTGCTGTTTCGTGATTTGCTTCCACTCTCCACCGTGGGCTTGTCTTTCACAGGATTCCTTCTGGTTACAACTTCAAAGACAGTGGGAAGATCATTTATCATGCTAAATAAGCGAATCCTGTTGAACAAAAAGTGCAAAACTCATGATTTATAGTCCACTCACAAAAAATTTCAGAAGAGAGACAATACAGAAGATTGACTTAATAGGAACTAACAGCATGGTAGCTAGTGTTGGTCCCAGGTGATCTTACATACATGACCTTCTCTAAAAGGAAAAGTGAGAATAAAAAATGGTCGAAAGCAATCTTCCAGGGAAAAGCATGAATGCTTGTTAAACATATGTAAGCACATCAAGGCTGTCCAGCACAAGTAAGAACATGGTATTACCAATTCTTTAAGGTCCAAAGGGTGAAAACAGGGATTCTCAAGTATGTAGCATTAAAGATGCAAAGTGCTGGTTGAACCTGGCCCTTATCTACTTTAGCATACATATCATTTACTGACTGCAATATAAACATCTTTGATTGAAAGAGTTGTTACAAGGATCTTCCATCAATATTCTATTTTGCCAGGTCTAATGCGAGATGTATGAAACTGCAAAATACAATTTTACCCAAAGAAACAACAAAACCAGATCTAAGACAACAGGCAGAGCCAGAAGTAATTAACTAGGGAGAGGCAGAGAGCTAAGATTAAGTTATTAATGAAAACTTAAGAAGGAAAGGGGGTTGGCTTGGCGGGGGGGGGGGGGAGGAGGAGGAGTTCCAATGGTGTATTAGGAAAAAAATTTGGGGTCAACATAATAGGCTTTAGTTTGTTAACTTGCGACGACCATTATGCCGTTGCCTTGGCCACAAATAAAATGGAGAAAAAGAGAGTAGGAGGGAGGGTAGGGATGCTAGAAGAGGCTTATTATGAATTTCATGATATAATTAAGAAAATAATCTATCTTGCTTTTTCTTTTATCATTGAAAGGAGAACTATATTCGGTAGCCAAGAACTAGAAAAATGGCTACAATAAGGAACCCAATTAGCCACTAGCAAAGGGGGAAACCAAGAAAAAAACTGGAAATACTGGTTTTGACAACGAAATGCTGACAGGGAACCTCCTTAAATGCCATAAATCTCTAAATTCCAAATGAGTGATCATCCATTTACCCCCATCCAACTGAAATTTCTTCAGGAATGTTTCACTCCAACATAAAACATAAATCAATACTGCAGCCTCCCTCAATTCTAACAGAACACTGAAACACCCTGAATCATCAACAAGCTAAATTTCAGTGAATTTAAACCATCTAAAAACAATATTCATGGCTTCAAGCAATTATAACGTACCCGGCTTTTACAAACCAAAATCAAAGTAACAATATGGAATCAACAGACCAATTTAAAAACTAAAATATGAAGTCCACAATGACGGTAATCGGGTGTATGAAAGCACATATAAACCACAAATTCAAGGATTTATATCCAAATCTTGGATTTATATACATTATGAAAGCACGATGTACCTCTCATTGCGATTAAGTCGAGCTCCAAAGTAGAAAGCCACGGAGAGCAACCAACAATCACTATGCACAGCAACAAGTGAAAGCCAGTCTTTACGATTCATCCCATCTCTTGCAAAATTAATACCCAAGGCTGGCTCAGGGAGCTCTGGTGGGACTTCCTCTGCCGGTAAAGCTACCTCCCATGCCTCATTTGGGTGACCATACAAACACAAGTTCTCCTTATCTGAGCGGCAACAAATTACAATACTTCAACAAAATGCGGCAATCAAAATCACAAATTCTACAGTCTATAAAAAGCAGAACTCGAACATAATGTTCAATTTGGTACCCAAAAGAAAATTCAGGAAAAATGTATTGCATATGAATAAATTTTCCATCCCTTCTCAGTACCCAAACAAAAATTCTACAAGTCTCAAAGACAAGAAGCAAACAAATTCGCATCGCAATTGAACAGCTAACATAAAAATGACAATCCAAAGTTGGAATAAAATTTCGCTCTCAGATTTCCATCAACTTCTTATACTAAAAAGCAACTCATTTGCAATTTACTTAAAAAGAAAATAAAGATGAAGAGTGAAAATCCGATGGCCTACAAAAAAGTACAAACCTTTAAACAATTGAACAAAACTGCATGCAAAGAAAGAAAAATCTAAGCAAAAACAGAAACTCAGCTCCAAAACCGAACCGGGTCGGTTCAAATACCTAGAGACTAATTAGCTCACTTCAAATTAAAAGTATCACCAGGCAACAGAATTCCCATCTCCATTTTCCCGTCAACTTTCTCAGCAAACAAACATAAATAGGAAAACTTGAGAAAAGAAAAGAACCCAAACTGACCTGGATCGCATTGCGAATAGAAATCATCAACATCTGACCCGAAGTCCCAAACCACATGAAAACATAAACATATGAATAAAACAAAAAAAAAAAAGAAATAGAAAATAACAAATTCAATGAATGAAATTAGGGTTACAGAAAGAGAAAATTACCGTAAGTTAGAGCGCGAACGAGAGCGGAGCGCCGAGCGGTGTAGTCTTGGACGATCTCTTCGACAGTGCGAGGACTAGAAGAAGCCATTATTTTCCAAATAACTTTGTGTAATTGTAAATTAAAATTTTTTAATTTTGTGTATGTAAAAAGAGAGATCGTTCTTTTTTTGGATAAATCAATAATTACAAACACAAAAAGAAAGAAGCTATTGAAGCTCAGATGGTCGGAAACAGACAAGACACGAGAGAAACAGGGAAAGGGGATTTGTCGGTTTGGTTGTCGGAAGAACAAATTTGGCAGATTTTCGTGGAATTGAATTGGGCATGTTTGGTTTGGCCCAAACAAAAATAATCGGGCTATGTTTGGTCTTAGCTCAAACCGATATAACAGGGTCTGTTTGGTTATTACATAACAATAGTGGGGGCCAACTTGATGGCACTTGAATTGTGTGTTTGGGCCACTTTTAGATTTTTTTTTTTTGTGCGCTATCTATTTTTCAAAAAATTGATATAATAAAAAATATTTTTTAAAAATTTTTAAATTTTATAAAATTAAGAATAAAAAAAGTATTCATTACCCTTGAGCTCGATTTATTTAAATAATAAGATATTCACGTTCGATTGATATTCGATTCGTTTAAATTAAACAAACTCATTTGTAAACATTAAACAAATATATTTATGAATAATAAATAAATTATAATTAAATAAATTTAAACAAATAAACAAATAATTATAAAATTAAAAATAAATTATTAATAAATAAATAAATTTATTCATAAATATAAACAAATTAAACAAACATCTTTTCGTATTTAATTCGTTTAGCAAACAAACGTAAAAATATTATATTATTCAAAATCGATTGTTAAATTTAATAAACAAACAAAAACTATATATATTCTCAAATGATTCGTCGAAAGCTGGTTTACATCCTGGACAGTCCTTGGCAAAAGTTATAGTAATAAGGATCAACGGTCATAAGCAATCAAACCAAGCAAGAAAATTTGAGCAACTACAAGTGTCCTTATAGTGATGAAGATTTACCACACTAACACTTTACTACAGATTATACATGGTAGAATACGTAACCAAGCAACCTGGAAGAAGAGAAGAAGCCCAAAAAATTATGGGATTAAGAAGCTAAACATATTTCAGTTTTTGACACCAGGATTTGAATCATTGTAATTGGAAGTAAAAGTCCATCACTTTACCAACAATACAAGCGGACTAAACGCTAAATCTGTGTACACCTAACAGCGACATTAGGTTTGAAAAGATACTAGGTAAGAATGATTTTGGGAGGAAGACAAACTACTGGTGTTTTCCCCTCAAAAGGAAGGCCATCATAGGGAACAAGTTTCACAACAGAGTGAGTGTTGAGGTTGTACTTTTTTTCAACTTCTGCAAATCCCCCGCTAAGAACTTGTCCCACCCAATCTGTCACCACCCTATTCTCATCAGATAAATATGCAACTGCTACTAGTTGTTCCATGACTTTTGAGTCTATCTCTAACAAACACTCAGAGCTGATAAACTCGCAGAAACTCTGGTTTATGTCGTTCGATACTTTCTCTGCAAGTGCATCAAAGTCAAATGGCTTGAAAACCACATTTTTGACAGATTGACCAAGGAAATCTTGCAACCAAGACATGGGGTTCTCAGCAGCAGATTCGTTGTCAACAGTTGCATCATCAGTTTCCTGCACTTCACTTTCTTCAGCTGGAATGTTCAAATCTAGATTCCCAGATGATGTCGTATTCGCCCGTTTGGCTGTTTCAATGATCTCATTCTGCTCCACAGTTTCATGGGAGCCAATCAGCTTTCTTTTATTCAAAAACCCCTGCTTAGAGATGGTTTGTCTTGTTGTAACAGGAGTCATCAAGTTTTGGCCAAATATGTTGTTGTCATGCTTGATCAATATCTGCAGTGGCCAGCACTTGGCTCTCAATATTTTATCCTCAGAATAGTTAGAAGTTTGCGATTTATGACAAACAACCTGATTTTCCTTTGTTAATGTTGAAGTTGTCACGAATATCGCATTGTTGGTGCTCACTTCTCTTCCATGCGAATCTGAAAACTTGCCAGTCCGGATAGCCTGGGATAAGCTGCTCCGAACCTGAATATCAGCTTTATCTACATTTTCAAGGAAGACAACAGACCGGGGCTTTTTGCTTAACTCTTCAGCAACATAGTCAGCAACAGTCTTCCCTCGAAACCTTAAATCATAATTCACATCCTGGCAATTAAAGAGCAACTGTGTATCCATCACCCCATCTTGGGAACTAAGATCCATGCAAATGAAATTCTCTCTGCTTCCATAGATTATGTCTGCAAGTGCAACAGCAATTTTCTTTTTGCCACACCTATCAGGTCCACTGAAATTCAACCATATATCACCTCTTCGACTGGCTCCATGACATTTTTCATTTCTTGCTAGGCCGTTGGCTACTGTTTGGCAAATAACACTTGCAGCTTCATCTTGCCAGCTTACTCTTTCCATGACAGCTGTAAAAAGCTTCTTGAAATTGTTTGGATCAAGCTGTCCACCAAAGTCAGGAGATGAAGAAGATAAGGACCGAGCTGGATGGCCAGAGACACTCCCATTGATAACATCAATGTTTGCAGGAAGGCAACCTGAGAAGTCCAGTGCAAACCCTGTACGGTTTTGATTTACAGGTTTCATCAATTTGTTGCTTGAAGAAACTGAGCATAAACCCAACCCTAAATCCGTTGTCACAGAAATAACAGATGTAGGAGATGCTTGACTAACATCACCCACACTTGAATTGGACAAACTGCAAGGAGATATGGGTTCAATTGCCTCTTCATCACCTCCTTTGAAAGGTTTTTCCCGTAGTTTGGACAGGAAACTTCCATTATCAGTCTTGGATACCAAAGAGGAAGGGTCATCAGACGGTGATGTAGACATCTTTTGAAAATTAAAGGGTGAGCATGAATTTACATTTATGCAATTATTTTCACTGGGCAGTGTATTTGAGTTGTTGCTATCATGACCGTGAGCATTATCCCTCTTGTCTTGGATGAAATGAGAGCCCAGAACAGTTGGAAACGGAAGATTTGCTCGATAAGTGTGTGACTCAGGGCCTGGATGGGCGTGATGAAGGCGCTGGCAAATATTGTCCCACTTCTTTTGCAGTCCTGCTACCTTGGTGTTTAACAGTCCATCATCTTTGGTCTGCACTGAAGAGAGACAAACTGGTTTTCACATAATTTCATAAATATCCAAAATAAACTGATCGAGATTTGGGGGCACAGAGGCAGGGTTGGTTACATTTAGTGATCCAAACATACAAACCATTCATTATTCCCCCAAATGAATACACATAAGATCTCGTGAACTACAGATATTTTAAAACCACTCTAAGTGTATGCTTCCCAAAGATGTTCTCGAAATAAAGATCATCCAAAATCTGTCATAATTTCTAAACTAGACCAATCAATGTTTTCAAGGGCACCGACTTCAATTTGGGGCTACTTAGCATATAAATAGGTGCAGGGTGTGCCGTGAATCTTACCTTCAACAGGCTGTGGGCGCAAATGAATGATCTCCATCTTTTAAGATGGCAGTAGAATGAATCAGAATCGGAATATAGTCGGTGTATTTTCTACCTTTAGAGTAATAATAAAGGATGAAAGTTGAAACCAGTAATTCCATTTTGAAACAAACAAATAAAAGCACAAACTAAGACTTGAAGCATAAATTAACCAACACACACCTTCACATCCGATCCCTTGTTTGCGCCGAGGTCTGTCATCTGCAACCAAGAAGACAAAGTAGATTGGCACTGATCTGTCACGGAAACATTGAATCCTCCCTTTGAAATCGCAATTACTTCTTCTTCACACCTCTCATTGCATAGATGACAGCGGGGGACATGTTGATATGAGCTACTTAAAGACCCCTTTGATTCGGAAGGTGTAGAAAAGAACCCCCCAAATGGAACAAATGACTCCAACAAGCTGTGGTTATATTTTGGCAATAAAACTATAAGAACTGGTCGGATCTAATACAAAGACGGTAACAACAAATTACAAATGGAAACAGAAGAAATCGACAAAACCAAAGTGGGAAAAAAGTGACGCTGCATTGCATCAAAAAGAATGAAAACAGATAAAAGTGGGTGTCGTTAACTCACTAATATACCATTCAACACCTTAGACAAATTTAAAATATAAAAATATATGTTATAAACACATAATTACTCACTGCAAACAATTAAATGATTTAAACTCTTACCATATTTTTTTTTTACTATTTTCTAATTTCACGAGAGTGTTTTGAGTTGCAAACTCACCTTAAATCACATATCACAACCCCTCTAAAACCCGGTTTTCACCATGGTGAAGAATTTAACCCAACCGGTGCAACTCTGACAAAGGTTATGACTTATGAGTTATGATGGACGAGGCAAAATCTTTAAATCACACAAAACATTAGGTTATGCAAAAAACCGAGATTATAATGGAACAAGAAACCTCAGATGAACTTAATCAGATCATCACTTAATAAACTTCATTTTTTATCCCCCTAACTAGTGCACCGTACATGAAGGACAAGAACAAGCAATTCAATTCGACTTACATTAAACAGCATCCTAGATTAACTTACATCGTTCATAATCCTTAAGTAGTACCTTATTACTTTATTCAACCAAAACCCAGCAAGAAATTACAAGCCACAGCTTACTCTACTTAACTGAGGGGTCCTTTGGCAGCATGGTGGGAGGGATTCCCATCACGCCGCCGTGTTGTTTTATGCCTGGAATGCAGCTGCGGCGAGGTGGGAATCCCTCCCACCATGCTAAACTCGACCATTTGTCAAATAAACAATTCTCTAAACAAAACATAAGTACTTCACCAAAACAAACTGGTTAAAAGATTTTCCACAAATAACATTCACAAAAACAACCAAACATCCCATGGCAACATCATAAAATAAATATATAAACAAAAATGCCATGTAAAATTGATAATATATTTACAAATTTTCATACCTGGACTTTGGATAAGACTCAGCCAATGAAGTCCTAAGAGAAGTAATAGGCAAAATCTGCAAATCCCAATCTTTTTCAACTGAAGGAAACCTACTTAAGAACTTCAGATATGTCTGGTAACTAGTTACAGCTCCCAACAGCCAAACTTTCCCTCCATAAACTCGTAATAACCTTGTTAAATGTCCAACCACGTAACTAACTCCTCCATCTTCTTCATCATCCTCACTTTTTCCACTCTTGTCACTGACAAAAATTTTCAAATCCCCATAATTCAGCACCAACCCGGATCCTCCCATTTCCCGCTCTATGACCCGACCCATTTCTTCAAACTTTAAACCAACCTCCCCTTCTTTAAAACCGTCATTAATGCACTTTAAAATATAATTTTCGATGCAAATTATGTTTAAACCTGAAATTTCTTTAACCAAAAGACCCTCTTTCTTTTTCTCCAAACTTTCTGTGAAACACGCGAGTGCATCGTAAGCACATACACCGACAAGTAGTGGATTCCTCCTTCGCGCCAAAACTTCCCCTATTCTCTTACAGTTTTCTTCTCCTTCAAAATAAGACGCAAAACCCGGAAAAGGGAAAGTGAAGCCCCGACGACCCGGAACCCGGGTGGATTCGTAAGCCGGACCCGAATTTTCTAAATTGCCAAGGAAAACCGGTGGGCCTCGTGATCGAGAGTATCTTAAGAGGTTGGGGAGGGGGCGGATGATTGCTAGCTTGATTTCGGAGCTCCGGAAACCCGCTTCGCCGAAGACCCGGCTAACAACCGGGTCATCGAGGATCGATAGAATCAAGTGTTGGAGCTCGACTTTGACGCACGAGATATTTGAAGGGTTTTGCTGCGAGAAATCGCGGTAAAGGTGGAAATTTTCGGGCTGTCTTCGCTGGTTCGCCTGAGACCGCTTTATCGCGGCCATGAGCGAGTTGGATACGGGCGGGTCGTTGCTGAGTTGACTCGAGGGGACTCGGTCCAGTGACACGCTAAGGCAAAGCTCCAACGCTCTGAATTGGAGTCGAGGGGAGTAAGCAGCGTTACGAGCACGGGCACAGGCGTCGCGTAGTGCGGACGAAGGGAGAGATAGAAGAGCGGAGACGGCGTGGAGCGACGTCGTTTGCCCGTGTCCTCTCCGTCGCGCGACGCTCACCGCCTCGTCTAGCGCGTGAGCTGCCTCTGGCGTTAAGCATTGCCGCGCTACACTAACCGGCGTTGGCATCGCCGGCTATCATAAAAACAAAAAACGAAAGAGCTTAAACTTAAAAAACAATATTTGTTTGTTTTTAGAATTGAAAGAGAGCGATTTTTATAAAAGAAAAAGGCTTTTGTGGAGAAATAATATACTCTTTTTTTCCTATTTTATATATCCATATTTGATTTTTTTTTTTAGTAAAAATTTAATTTTGATCATTATTTTAAAATTTTATATTAAATTAAACTTTTTAAAAATTCAAATTCACTTTCAAATTTTTCAAAATTTTTAAATTTATGTTTTATTAAAAATAATAATCAAAATTAAATTTATTTGATTTAAAAAATTAACAAAAAAATTAAACATAATAAAATATGTCAATAACGCACAAAAAGTTAAGCTTTAAATTCTTGACGTAAAATATTTAAATTCAAATTTTTATAATTTTTTATTGATAATTAATTTATAAGTCTAAAATTTTTTTAAATTCATAAATTTTTTATAAGTTAAAGTAATTAAAATTTTAAATTTTACAAATAAAATTAACGTATCTTCAAAAGATACTAAAAGATATAAAAATTTAATTAAATATATATATATAAAAGTAACTTAAGCACAATTATAAAATTAAAATATTAATGTATAAAAATAAAACTCTTATTTATTACTTTTCTCTAGTGTTGGAGAGGGAAAGGAAAGACGAACGGTTGTCGGTTTAAGTTGGGGTTAGTGGGGTCCACTGTTGTGGAGATATTTCCGAAGAACAGACATTCTGTTATAAAGAGTGTTTATATTTGATCTATTTTGAATGTATTTTATATATTACCTGTATATTATTAACAAATAAATATAAATTTTTATAAGTTTTTAAAATAAATATATAAGAATTAAAGTTTTCAAAATTTTTATTAATAAGATGATATTTACAGATAATATATTAAATATAAACTCATATATATATAATTTTATTATTTTTCTTGCATATGTGTATATGCCTATATGAATGAAAATTAATTCACAAATTTTAGTTTAAATAAAATAATTTTGTGATAAATTTAATTTTTTTGTATTTAAATATTGTTTTTGAAAATATTAAAGATTGTACTCTTATTGCTTGGATTAAAAATTTAATATTTTATCATTAGACCAGATTAATTATTTTAAAATTTTTTTAATAATTTTTAAATTCAATAGTAATTTTAATATGAAAAATTTTAAATTTAAGAAAAATAAGTATACAAAAAATATAAGAATATGAAGTATTCAAAAGTGTTAGTTAGATTAAAAAAAAAAAAGCAAAATTTTGTTAAAAATGTTATTATACTAGCATAGTAGCATTCAATCATTATATTTACAATTGCTTGTGATATTTAAAGTAAAATATTTTTACAAATAATACCTTAACAAGTATTTTGAATTATATTTCTTACCAAAATCTTAAAGTTTGTTGATAGTTTTATGCTCCTTAATTGAAGAGATTTTAAAATTTATAGAGTTTAAATTCAATTATAATTTTATGTAAATTTATTCAATTTTATATTAAATTTCATTCAATTATATGTTAATTATATTAATGCATTGATTTTTAATTGATTTTTAATATAAGATATAGTAATTGATATTTATTGTAATTTCTACTTCTATTAATAATTTTATAAAAAAAATATGGATCAAAATTACTAATTTATTGTATTTTTATATAAAAAAGATTAAAACCTAAATAAATTTTTAAAAAATTGTAAATGCTGTATAAATTAGTTGTTTTTTTATCTTGTACAAAGTATAATGGAGATGCCGTGTCCACTGAGTTGGAGTGGGGCAAAAATCACAGTCAGCGTCACACGTTCCTTACGTGTTTTCTTTTTTTCTTTTTTTTCCATCTTTTCTTGCCTTGTTCGTTGGTGCTGTTGTGTGGGAATCGATCTACACAGCTGAGTTGATTGAGTTGTAATAGAATCTAACTAAACTCAACTCAAATCAAATCAAATTAAATCAAACAAAAAATTCAAACTCATTAGCATACGGCTTTTGGCCACAAAACTCGTCAGCATCGACAAAAAGTAAATATAATAATTTAAAATATGATACGATAATATAATATAAAAATAATATAATTTAAAATTTTAATAAAAATTATAAATAAATTTATTAAAATTAAAAAATATATTTTATATTTTATATTAATATAAATTATAACACATAATTTTTATATAATATAAATATATAAATTATTAATATTTTATATAATATGAATAAATAAATTATTAGATCTAACAAAAAAAAATGCTAAGAATAGCCAATTTTTTGCAATGAGAAAAATAAAATACTGATCTTTGGAGATAATAATTATTTTTGTTTCATTTTAAAAATTATCTTAAAAATAATAATATTATTTTATATATAACTATTATTCTATAAATTGACAGATTTTTTAAATTTCATAAAAATTATTAAAATATTATTAAATGTTTTTAATTTATTAATTATTTTAACCATACACTAATAGAATATATGATAACCCTCTAATTTTAATAACAGAGTTTAAACACTTTATAAACCGAATATAAATAATTTTCTTATATATATATATATTAGAAATATGTACATCCATTACGTGGGTGAAAAAAAGTAAATCGTGCGAAAAATGTTTTAGAAGAGAAAAAAAAAAAAAAGATAAGTTGGGGTGAATAATTTTTTTAAAGAGAAATGAGTAGTTTTTAAAATAAAAAAAAAGTAATTGTTTTTAATATGCTCAATTAACATTGAATAATCTAGAAAAAGAATTTTGAAAAGAGAATAATTTTGAAAAGACCAAAATTTTGACAAGTTCCTACTTATGTCTGTCTTCTTTTCTCCTCTTACTTTATAAAGATAGATTTATGTCACCAAAAAGAAAAAGAAAAAGATTTGTCTTAATCACCATTGCCAAACACACTTCAAAGAATCAAAGAATTTAATTTCTAATTTACAATTCAACAGTAAAAAATTATTAATTAAATCAAATCAAATTAAATCGAATTTATATAAATAAAGGTGAGTGAAGAAATGTTGTTATTATTGATAAAGAAGTTAAACAAGAGGTGGATAGTTTGAAATTGATCAGAATGTAAAAGAGTTGAAAGTGATGGGTTGAGAGAATAACCCACCCACCACCACAAACATACCATCATCACTTTGGAACGATTTGATACAGTGATGGATACCATTTGTTAAAGAAATGGGTTGTGAAAAAACAATTTTAAATTAATTTAAAATTATACTGTTTGATTTAGTTTAGATTAGTTTTTTTATTTGATTTAGATTAAAATTTAGATATTAAATATATATATATTAAATCAGATTAAATTTTGAAAAAATTAAAATATAAAAAACTCGAATCATATTATATATTTTTCTTAATTTTACATATATTTTAAAATTTATAAAATAAAAATAATTATTTTATATCTAAAATTATTTAAATATATTAAAAATTCATATTAAAATAATATATAAAATAAAAAATAATATTTAAAAATCAATAAACCAAATCAAGAATTAATAAATTCTATTCAAATTAATTCAAATTAGGATTAGATTTTAAAAATTTATAATATTATATATTATCAAAAAAAATTAAATTGAATTTGATTTAATCTAAACCATTATTACTTTAATATTGTCCTCCAATATACGTTTGGATGAGATGTGATGCACTGATATGCGCCTATTACATTGCATCCATCCAAACATGACCTTAATAAAAAAAATTTGGGACTCTATTATGTGCCCACGCCTCCATGGGTTTTTTTTTTAGTTCTTTCTCACAACTAACACACTCAAAGAGAAAGGGTGAAAAGGTGTTTGATTTGAGAGATGTGGTTTTGTTGTTATCTTCTTTATTCACTTTTGCAAACTCTTTTCACTTTCTTTTTCTTTAAATATCAAATGATATTCTCCTCCCCGTATATCACCTTCAAATTGATTTGATAATTTAAAATATAACATGATGATACAATATAAATATGATACAAAAATAAAATTTAAAAATAATATTATTTAAAATTATAATAATTATTATATATAAATTTAATAAAAAAAAATTTATTTTATATTTACGTATCGATATAAATTATAATATATAATTTTCATATAAAACACAATATTGATACATTAATTTTAATATTTTATGTGACACAAATATATGAGTTGTGAGGTTTACCTGCAAACCCTTAAAAAAAAAAAATTTTCTTAACAATTGACTCATCGAGTCAAAATCTACAATTTTTTTTTTTGGATAAGTTGAGTCAAAATCTATATTATTTTCTGTACCATAGCTTTAAACCTTTTTTTATATATATTATCACCATATCAATGGTCAAAATAAAATTTATATTATTTTATGTACCATTGCTTTAAACATTTTTTTTATATATATTATCACCATATCAATGGTCAAAATAAAACTTTATCAATAAGCTTTTGTTTACATCAATCTCGAATACATGATATTTATATGATTCAAGCCATAACACGAAAAACTAAACGTGTCGAATAAAAATAAATAAATAAGTAAAATTATCATCACTTTTTTAAAATCTTTATCACTGTTAGAAGATTAAGAAAACCCTAATCTTGTAATATTCTAGACTTAATCATAATCAACATATGACTAAGAAAAGTGATGTACCCAGACAAAGCTTATAGAAAGAACCAAATCACTTTAACAATAGGAAAGTGAAAACTTTATCACATAAAAAGGATATAAGTTGGGATTATGCTATAATATAAAGCTAAACGTTTTTTTGACCAGCTCGAAAATAGAATATGTTGGACTAAGGACGATAAATACATCCGAACTTGTAAGGTTTTGATCTAATCTAATTTTATAGGATTTTTTTTCTCTTTGAAAATTGGGTTCAGGTCAAGTTAAATTTTTTTGAAAAAAGTCAGGGTCAAGTTAGGTAAACATGTCCCAATTCGATATATATAAAAAAATATTTATTTATTTATTTAATTTTATATTATATATATTATATTAATAAAATTATTATGTAATACTTTAATTTAAGATATTAACTTAATAAAAGTACTATATTTATGTATAATTAATATATAATTTATATTTAAAACAATATTTTATGAATGTTTATTTTAAAATTATTA